ATCATCGTCGACGGACTATATATTACGTGTAATTCGTAATTTGCAATATAAAAATAGATCAAACAGATACGGCAATCGATTGCAAAAACTGTAATGGAATTGTAGGTTAAATTTATTGCTACTACTAATACTAATAATATCACTCAGCGCCGTCTAGTTCTGAACTATACAGAGATATGAAAATACTTATAGAATCTGTGTTACCAAATATATTTCCGCCACACACAGTTTTACTACAGTTAAAATAAAATTCATGACCCATAGATATGAACTGTCATCATCAGCATTTCAGCTCTTAACTATTCAGTGCTGCCTAACAGTATACTATGCCTTAAATAGAGATTTGCCAGTAGTTGTCACGTTTAGCAGGCAGGTTGGCAACCGCATTTAGGCTTTTAAAGATCTTTTAAGATGGACGCTGTTGCCTCTACCATTAAATTTCCTTAGTCGTTTCTTACGACACCCAGAGAAAAAAGGGGTGGTCTATTCTGTGCTGGGACCACACAGCCAATGTACCATATATGCGCCCTACTTAGGTAATATTAAAGTCATTTATTGTTAGGTATTAATTTATTCTTTAATTAATTATTTTCTTTATGTATTTTATTTTCTAATTTTTTGTTATTAATTGTTTTTACACTTAATCTAATTATGATTGTTTCATTAATTTACAAATGTTTTAATAATTAAAGACAAGAGTTATTTAGCATATTACATACAATAATTCTGATTAATATATTTCATAGAAAAATAATTAATAAATTACATTACCTGTTTAAATTACACATGCTTTTTTCAAGTACAAAGTGCAAATAACACGTAAATAGCGAATTTACTTATAGTCCAATAGAACGTAAGCTATCATCTCGCCATTACTGAGCAGGTAGATTTATTTATGCATAGCGTGACCGTGACTCACCGTCGTCATACAAACTTTATTGTATGAATTTTTAACGCGACCCAATGTGTTATCTGCTACGGAACGCGGGAGTGCTTGACAAGGGAATCATTAGGTCACCAATACGCCTCCAAGTCGTAGATGATTGTTTATTTATATAAGGTATAATGGAATCTATGTAACAAACAACAATCCGAATTAGTACTCTTATACTAGATATATTCCCCTGCTTTGTCTGTGTATGTTAAGATAAAAAATTGTCATATCTATCCAGGTTATGGTACATCTCATTTCAATTCTCTGCTTAGTTTCTTACCTGTAATGGTATCCTATATACAATATGTTATTTAATAATTTAAGATTGTATTCCACAAAAAACGACTTCAATTGTAGCAAAACTAGTTATTTTGATTTAAAACTAAACTTCTAATGTCTATGGAACCAATCTGTAAGTATATCCTTTTAGATAAAAATATAATTTTCCAAAACGGTTTATAACCGACGGAGTTATGAAGTAACAAACATAAAAAGAAAATACGACCGAATTGATAACCTCTTTTTTTAAATCAGTAGAAAAATATTTTTTTTAAAGTCAATTCCCGCTATCATTATCATCATCCCCTACTACTACACTACAAAATCTAATGGATCTAACATTGGTGAATGTGATAGATTATAGTCAATTAAGCAAAAGAGAAAATTATTACCGAGCATCAATCTTCATGACAAATACCGTATTGGATAAGCAGAGAGAATCGAATACCGAACGACTCTATCCTTACATCCATCTTTTGTGTAATAATAATAATAAATTCTTTATTGCAAACAATAGAGATGTATATAAGGAGTATTTATACAGAATGTGCATATAGAAAAGGCGATCTTATCGCTAAAAGCAATCTCTTACCAGATTTAATCTCTAAGGTCATTTTTGTTTTGAAAAATATTTTACTTATATGTAAAATTATTTATCCTTTACATCTTTGCATCGCTAATTATTTTTAACAAGCTGCCACATTAATTATGCTCTGTTAAATTTCTCTCGTTAAAAAATTACAGAAATTTCATATAAAAGTTACTTTCTATTGCAAGCGCTGTGGATTACATATTTATGAACATTTTGTCGAATTGCATGTGGTCCATCAGGCGGAACTTACGCTTATTTGACATATAAAATGATTAATATTTTTTTAAATATATTTATTAAGGACACATAAAGTAACAATAAGTAATAAATGGTATTTTCTACCAATAGTAGAAAATACATATTATATATATAATAAAAAAATACACCATCCTAAACTTTTACCATGATTTCGATAGTGAAATTATAGAGTACTGAGTTAATAACACTTAGGCTTCAAGAATGGTAACTAATGAGGTGTACCATGAGCGTTACAGTTCTGTGTATTCTGTTATCCATGACTATAGACGACGATTATCAAAATAAAAAAAAGGAAAGAAAAAAAAACATTTATTGCATTTTGTCGAAAATTACCAAATCACTTGCAACGATAAAAGTCTTAAAACGGCACCCCGCGCCGGAAATATCCGGCAATAACGCAAAAAACTGTTCCCCAAACAATTTCTTATACAATTTTATAGATCCAATCTCCTCGTAGCGAATATTTCCTTATGTTTATAAGAAATTTAAGAGGTCAAAGCAAATCTCTCCCCCTTTCTTTCTTTAAGATTTCCCTTCCGAAACAAGAAATTTATTCGACAAATTATCAGATACAATTCAGTAAGCAGTAAACACTTCGTGAGAAGGGGGAGACCTTTATCCTCGATCAGAGAGTTGATTTGTTGATGATTTTTCACTCCAATAATCACTGAATAATATTAAATCAAATCACTGTCCGTGTCTGTCTATTTTTACTCCTAATTCTTTTTAACCGTAGTCGTAAAAAAATCAAACTAAAAAACTTTCTTCTTTAGCAAATCGCTTCGTGACGATTCGAATCGCGAAATGACGATTACGTCACCAATTCTGAACCGATTTTCGCAATTCTTTTTAATACGATAGGACTTCCGTGTTGGTCCCATTGTACTCATAATATTGTGTCATTTTTTTTGCGGAGCAAAAAACTATTATGTTTTATGCTCCATACTTACGTGTGTTCAAAATTGGCAAGGCTTAGAAATATTAGAAGAGCTAATTAAACTTAATTTACAATTTAAATTTTTATTAGCAATCTTCTTAATGGAAACAATTTATTTACAATTTCAATCCAATGCTATAATTCATTGACGTATGTAGTAAAACGTGATATATAACAGTTATAAATCAAAATTAAATTATCATAAATATTAATTACAAAGATAAGACGAATCGAAATAAGAGAGCTGCAAATCTTTAAAATATATACAGCGAATAAAATTATCTTTGAAATATCTACGGAGCTGAGTCACTTGCCTTCGAACGTCACTATGAAAATTGTATTAAAAAATGTTACACATTTCTTTTAGAATTCTTCACCACTTCATTCCAACGGTCAGACAATATTTGAAACTTGTTTACATGTACGCATATAACTGGAAAAAAGCTTTACGCTCGATTCAACAATAAATTTCAAATATGACCTATGTTTATATTAGTTTTAATGTAGTAAACTACAAAATACCAAAGAACACAGGTGTTGAAAACTGTATAATATATTATTGGGGTTCCTGGTTACTGTCCGACGTTTTTCGATTTCAAGGCAATTTTCTTTTTTACACATAGTAACATTGAAATAGAAGAAATGGAATTGGCGTCTTCTCTCTCGTCATGTGTAATGATGGCTGTCCCCAAAATAATGAAAGAGGCGATTAAAAGAGCAAAACTTAATATGCCAGTATTGCTAGTACAAGAAAAGGAAAATCCGAAATAAAGTATACCAACCACGTGACCAGTACAATAAAAGTATACTAATATCCTTCTCCTAATAAGAGTCTCGTAAACATTAGTGGAACGATAACGCCTTTAATGATAATACCGTCGCTTTCGATTATTAGTCTTTTTCATACTATTGATAGTATAAATAAGCAAAGCAAATAAACTGATGGAATAAAATAAAAGACTGATAATTATTGACTATATTTACATATAAACCATACCTCCACACTTTTTTTACATTGTCAAAACTTAATTTGTTCATAAAGTCATATAAAATGGAAAGGAACAGAGGACAATGCAAATGGTATTGATTTTTTAGTCTGCATCTATAACATTTTGCCTATAACGTCAGTAAACTATTTTTTTTTTCACATGATAAATTATACATATCTGATAACAATATTTCATTGATATTGGCTTTGGCTTCGGATTTTATTGATTCATGATTTACAGTAATGTTCAGCTTACAAACCCAACTATAGCGCAATAACAGGTAACATTAACGTACGAACCAACGAGCAACAAGAGAACGCTAAAGAATTAATGCTAGCACCATGCTAGTCGTCAGATAGTAATTTCATTGTTGCACTTAAATTTTATTACACGACACGTTTCGTTTCACGGATGGGTGCGCGTGTTATTTTATCACTAAACCGTTCATGCTCGTCTATTATGAATGAAAAGGAATACGTCCCAGTGAAACTGCTCTCGCATAAACTTTACGATTACGTGCCTGCCTACTGGAGCGGTTTTTGCAATCAAGTATCGTGTCCAAGCCGAAAAGAATTTTATCTCGCGTAATAGAAGGTCTATTTATAAATAAGCTAATATAGAGAGTACAGAATTAGAAACGCTTCAAAGGTAGCACAGTGCTACCGGGGGGGGGGGGGGGGGGGGAACTTCAAATGCATTAGAAGTAGTTTTAGTGTTTGTTTGTGTAATAGTATTAACGGATGTCTTACACACTCGTAATTTTAATGGATTCGCAATTAATGTTTAATTCTTTTTTCATATCATGCAGGAAACAAAACAAAAATGTCCTTGTTTACGCATTGTCACTTTGTCAGTTCAGAATAGAATAAAGAAGAAATATTTGTATTGACACAATACTACGATGATAATGCTCTATTAAATTATTGAGGTCAAATGTTTTTTTACATCACAAAGAGAAACAGTAAATAATTGATAAGGATTATTGTAACATTTACTTTCTATTGTCTACAGGTCTTAGCGGTTCGAAAGCGGACCTGCAGCATCGGCGCGAGGTGTTCGGTTCAAACCTTATCCCGCCGAAACCTCCCAAGACCTTCTTGACGTTAGTATGGGAGGCACTGCAGGACGTGACACTGATCATCTTGGAGGTGGCCGCCGTCGTCTCCCTAGGGTTGAGTTTCTACAAGCCGTCCGATGACGCAAGTGATCCTGGTGAGTTTGCTACATTCAGTTTTTTCTAACTTCAATGCTCGATGAAAATACAAATATCTTTTTCAAATTATTATTTAATCTAATATTGGTTTTAAATTCTTAGATTTAGAATGTATGTTTCATCATACGTATTAGAAAAATATACAATAGCCAATTGAATTTGCATGAAAATACATGATCTTGCCGAAGCTTCGTGTATCAAGAGCCCACTCTGAATTATTCAGATGGAGCTTTTGATGTTTTCCCCGCAATTCGTGTGTGCAGCTCACGTCCAAAGATTAATGTCCAGCCAGCGAAACATCTGCGCTGTAATTCTGTAACCTTATCCGGCCCAAATTTAGTCATGATGTACACAGGGAGTGAATTGGGAGTTGATTATCCCATTTTATATTCTTGTAACAAATCTTAATTACCTTAAAGACCTTAATGTTTTTATCTTAAACAATGTAAATTCAATACTGAGAGAAAGGATTGTACTATTACATGCTAAAGGTAAATAAAAAATTCTATAAATTGTTAGTGTTACTATCAAATCTGAAATAGTTTTGTGTTCTGGAGAATGTTCTATAATTTCCTTTGGTGAAATATTTATATTTTTATCAAATAATTTTATACACACATTTGCTCAGACACTCATCTGTGTAAGGTATCCTCCTCTATGATTATTAGAACATCTTGTATAGAAGTAGCCATTAACTATAATAGATTAATGTGTGTATTTTCTTTTTCAATAACAATTTGGAAACATTAGATGATCCTGGTAAGAATATGCATTAATGATAAGTGATAATAATCCGCTCGTCTTCCCTTAATGTACTCAAGTAATTGGCATTGATTTCAAGTGTAAAAATATCTACGAATACAATTTGCAACTAAATCGATAAGACAACGTTTTCTGTAGTACATACATTTTATTTCTGTTTCTGTGTGTGAATATTTGTATTACCATGTACCATGGTTCATAGATTCAAACATTTTTCTTAGACATGACATAAAAATGTTATGTTTTAATGAACTAATGATACCGTGGTAATAGGGCATGTTATTGGTTTAGTTGCATACGACTCTTGAGTACAATTTACTTCGTCTGAGTAGTGAATGCAACCTGATCGTCCCCGATTGTGTCCTTTGCAGGTCCCTTTTTCTGTCTGCTTGTGTGCTAGTCTTATCTCTGTATGTTCCATGACCTTCTTCATTTGTTAAAATTGGAAAACCTTCCAAAATATTCATTATTAAGAAGTGTTCAACAATTTTAACAAATTTCATCTTCTATAAATAATGTCAGTGAACATCATGCTGTAGCCAACAAATATATTGTTGTTTAGTATATTATAAAAATATATATTAAGAGTAGTATAATAAATGTAGTAATGTTAAATAATTTGTAGTGATCCTGTTTGCAATGTTATTTTCTTATCTGTACCTACAACAATTTTTGTTATTAAGTATTAAGCACACGCCATTCGGTTCTAATAAACACGATTTACTAAAATTAAATGACCCTTTATTAATTTTATTTGTTATATTTCAATCTGGAAGTTCATGTACTGGTTACCTTGAGATCGTTGATTTGAAAGTAGGTCAAACAAAAATATTTTATTTTTTATAATTAAGCACTTTGTTATATCGTTATTAATTAGAAATAATCTTTATTGAAAATCTTTAAAAACCAAAGTATATGGATTTTGAAATTACACCTCTTGCTACACCTGGGCGAGTGTGTTTATTGATCAGACCACCTACTGCTTCATTAGATAGCCGCCTCGAAACTGTTAATCCATTACATACATACATCCATGATATGTAAGATAGTAAAGCAATTCTCGACCCGCTTCATATTCTTTCAATACAATGTGTTTTTTACTTTGAATTTGCGATCAATAATTAATTTCACTTGTTATTTAAGAATCAAATAATATTCTATTGTCCAAAAACAGATTATTATCAGATTATTATTACTATCAAGAGTAGTCAAATTATATATTATTTTAATCAATCATATAATTTTATTATTACTACATATGTATATAGTAAAAATCTGACTAAAATATATATATAACTAATTTTCTTTTTTATCAACGAAACACATTCAAGGTTACAACTTGAACTCGTCGTACGTTCCCATATAAAATGAGTCTCATCATTATGGCGGCTACATATTAAATAAATACTAAACCGACCGTAATCGTGGATTATCTTTAGGGTCTAGTTTATATTAATAATAGAATTTCTATCATTAAATGTATTGAAATCGATGGATTTTTTTTAGTTTCTGTCTTCATGTTTTGTTCTTTTCGTGTTAAATTTAACTTTACTCCTTAAAGTAGAATTAGCAAGTGACATTTAAATTTCATCTCCGTTGTAGTAGGTACTTAGGTTAATTAGTATAAGTATCCGCAGATTATCCAGTATATCTCAATTTGCAGAATAATCAATAAAGACAACAAAATTTAGAATATAGCAATAGCATATGTGAAGATTGTGTCGTTAAATTCAATATTCTGCCTTTATCACCGAGTGTGCTACCTGATATGGTTACTTAATGTACTGTTATCTCATTCACACCTATTATTGTTACTGTTCACGACTGAGATAGAACTACTGACGTGTCGTCCAATATCGGTTTATTGAATTAATAATGCCGGCTAACTGGGTGACCAATTAACTAATATATTTATCACAGTGCAGAAACCCCAAATGTACTGTCTTAATTGAACCTAAATATCTTTATGATCTCGTTGGTTTCGTGATGTGGTTAAATTAGAAGCAAGCAATGATAAATTAATTCTTGTTAAGTGTTAAATTCACTCTATGATTGATTTAGTGGCACACTTTAGTTGAAATATACCCTTCTGTAGTATCCTTCCAATTAATATAAGTTTTTGTTTGTTTAATTCCATCATTGTTCTATTGTTACAAATTTACAACAAATGGTTTATACGTATAAATTCATTAACACTAAAGCTACGTTTTTCTTTAAATTTTTCTCATTTTGTATTTCGAAAGATTAACTTGGCCAGAATGGTTGCTCGTAGCAACACATTAATGGTGATGGGATTGAACAAACAAACATTGTATCAGTACTTGGTGTAATAGACTTCCTGATTAAAAAAATAGTTGTTCCCAATACTGCACTTGGAGTGTTGAACATCTACAATCAGAATCAATTAGTTTTAATTACAGAAGCTCTGATTTAATATCTTACGTAGAATTTGTGTTCGTCTATTTAATTACATTAATTGCTACCTTCAGTACAGGGGAATAAGTATCTAATTGTATGTTTCAGCTCATCTGGACGAAGAGGAAGGCCACTATCAATGGATCGAGGGTCTGGCGATCTTAATATCTGTCATAGTCGTCGTTATAGTCACAGCGTTCAACGATTATACGAAAGAACGGCAATTCAGGTTGGTACAATTATTTGGAAATGGCCATTACGTCTCATATTGTAATAACTTATCCACGTAACGGTTCCCGTTCAGGTTGTAAAATAAACTTCCGTTTCCTCATCTTCTAAAACCTACTCTAGATATTACACTAAGGGCGCAATATTTTTATTTTTCTATACAAAATTAGCAACTTCAAAAGGCGTTTCCCTGTTCATATTCCAAATATTTTTCTATTTAATCGAAATACGAAAACATTAAATAAAATTAACTAAACTAATTCAGCTATTCTCATGAAATGCACTGACCAACAAAGAGGATTTTATTTTATTTATATAGATAAAGAAATTGAATATTGAAAATGTGAATCTGTAATTTTTTAACTCCTATTCTAAAAAAAATTATTTTATCCTAGGTATTAGACATATGCTCGCTCTGCCTACTCCGTAATGGATTTGGCGTGAAAATAGATACAGAAAATGTTTTTGGCAGCTTACTAGTGTGATATTTATGGTATACTGTCGCCATGTAACGTAAAGCACTCCCTTAAGACAAATCTAAGGATAACCTCTGACTCCGGCCAATTTTGCACTAAATATAAAACACTTAAAATACATTACTCTCCTTTTACCGGTAGTTGGATAATTACATAGGAATATGGCATCCGAAATGTTTATTTATTTTGTCTGGAACGATAACGAATTTATTCATACAGTCATCCAGAGTTCGGTGAACTCACCCGCACGCGCGTTTTTTTTTTTTATATAAGACGCGTGCCCAGTGACGTGTCTATTATACCATCTGAGACCCGGTGATACACTCATCGGATAGGACCCTCCATTTACTTAAAAAAAAAGTTATAATTAAATTTTTGTATAACACTAAGTAAATATGCATATTTATTTACCAACACAATTACAAATTAATGTCTCTAGTGCTGGTTTTACTTGAAAATACCTTGTAGAAATCTTGATAAACAAAGAAATTGAACAAAGCCTATTACACACTAAACGATTACTTGAATGACAAATGTGCATGTTAGTCCAACACGCACGGTCTCTTTAATGACCAATTTTAAACATAGTACATTAAAATAAATACACATAATGTTATGTTAACATCAAACATTTGTTTAAAAGATTAGTTAGAGAAGTTTCTTGCGGGTTCTTCTCAGCAGATATTGTTATCTGAACCATGCATTTCCGAAACATGCATTCATAAATTAAATTGATTAATTACATTTTTTTACAAAATTATGGAATAAATGTTAGGTTCTTCCTGTGCTCCCCCACCCATTGGAGCTAGGAGTCACTTCAGACCAGGGGCTTGTGGATTTTACACTCTCTGCCACCTTATTGTTAGGACACTGCGCGTATACATACATATATCAGTAAATAAGTTTTAGATTAGTTTAAAATATACGGATACTTATAGCTTTTATTTGAAACATAACTGTCAGAGATATATTTCCGTTGACTGTCATTCATCATCAATATTTTATTTCTTGATTATAAATCAATTCCACCATTTTATAGCTTGATGATTATGATATACTATTGTTGGTTCCGTGTGCTTCAATAGAGAATTTACGACTTCGATTCAATTTAATCAAAAAATGAAATTTTTGATCGATTCGAAATCGGTTTTCATGAAATCGAATTTCACAATTTTGCCCAAAATTGAAAGCCCTAATTCATATCAAGTTCCTACCATTTATCAGGTATGTAGTTTTGACTGCCATTACTAAAGTAGTCCATAGAATCCAGAATACCAGTTTACTTGGATTTACCTCGATTCATTCTAGGAACTAGACAAATACTAAAATAATGTTCCTATTTGTATATACGTTTACGCTACGCACACATGACAAGGAACAAGACGCCGGACGCTGCTGTCTGTCCTATCTCATGCATCAACGAAACTAAAGATAGATACGTTTGTCATTTGTTTAGCCGTTTTGTTCCTTTGTACTGGTACGAATTTGATTTATTTTACTTTTGAAAGATTTCAAAATTAGAAGGTTTTCAATTCTTCTCTTGTTTTCATGTGTGTGTGTTTTTTTTTTATTATTTGCTCTAGCTGATTCCGCAACTTCGCCCGCGTGGCGAATTCACGTTAGGAAAGAATAATAAGCATCTTTTCCGTCGTCATAAACTTTTACGTTTATAATAATAGAAAGTGTCCATCCTTTTAAACCTTGCTATTTTGTTATTTCCAGAGGACTCCAGTCTCGGATAGAGGGTGAACACAAGTTTGCAGTAATCCGAGGGAGCGAAGTGAAACAGGTGGCGATCAGCGACATAGTCGTAGGCGATATCTGTCAAATCAAATATGGTGACTTGCTGCCCGCCGATGGACTGCTGCTTCAGAGTAACGACCTAAAGGTAAACCTTGTTATTGTACTACACTTACTCACGATTAGGAAGAATAAAATATTTATTGGTCATCGTAACAGAGTCAATGCATGGGATGTATCATGGGCGAAACAGTATATGTTATGTCCATGTTACTGCTCATGTCTATAGGCGACAGTTACACTTTCCATCAGGTGGGCCATTAGCTTGTTTGCCGTTCTAAGTTACATAAAAAAAGTGTAGAAAATTTACAAATCTCATTTTACTAATATAATAAAATTGTAACTAGACTATACCTGCGAATATTTCAGAAACATGACAGATATTTAAGAAAATGGATTAAAAGTGTCAAAACAATACTTTTAGAACCTTCGTCTGTCTATATGTATGTCTGTTACAGCACCACACAAAAAACTAATGCACCAAATTGGATGCTGTTTTCAGAGTTGTATTCATATTGAATAACCTTTAAAAAATTATCTCTTTTATTGATTTTCCTACTTCTGAAATCCACGCGTACAAAATAGCGGTCAAAGAGCCAATAAATGAAAAAATATTTTTGGAATAATTCTAAACTTACGGATTATTATAAGTTAAAAATCCTTACGTGATACATATCCCTTAGAGCTAAAATTACATAACAGAAAATGCTTTTAATATAAAAGGTTCCTTTAAACTACAACCTCTTACGATACCCACGGCAAAACAGCCCACCATTAACCCAATCTGATTAACAACGTTTCCCTGTCTAACGGGAGATCAATTAATCTTTGCACAAATAAGCTTATAATGAGGGGAAGGCAAAATGTCTCCAAATCTCATTTATAGACAGAGGGTGTGAAAATTTATATATTCACTGAAGTAAAGTAATTGTAAAATATATTTTAAAACTCACAGATAAATCTTGAGTAAAAGGGGTGGAGAGTGGTAGTCTCAGCGCATCTCACCAAAAACCGGTTTGGGGCCAAATAAAAGTGCCTTGAACAATTTATAAATGTTCCTTGTACTATCTATCTATCTATATATATGTATCTCTTGATTTGTCCGTTTGACTGAATCAGACTCGTTCGTCTATAGAAGTGTAATTCAATTATTGCAAACTGCAAACATGATAAATATTTGATCAGTCGAAAAATAAAAGTTGAAATATTTCATTTGTATATTCGTAACTTTGCTATGCATATTAAATTCGCCCGGTCAGTGAGCTGAGCGCGGCGGGTCATCACCTGGAATGTAATAGTCATGATGGATTTTATATTATAGATACACAGTTTTAAATAGATATGTTTTAACTAACTTAAAAAAGGAGTTTCTCAATTTGGTTGTTTCTTTTATGTTAGTTGTAAACCGACTTACGAAATTCTTTTTTTATCTGAAAGAAGACTTACAGATTCAGAAGTTTAGTTTTTAATCAACATAACTGGCTTTGTCACAATTGAAATCGGTTTTACCTTTATTTAATCTATTTTTATTGGAGGCTTAACCTAGTGTAAACGGCGGATCTACCAGCCCACCGTAAACAGAAATTTATGTATAATTTTTGATATGTACTGTACTCGTATACTACTGTATTTCACTTGGATTTTTCTAATTGTCATTGTATATTTTAATGTTTTTGTATATAATAAAGAGATAAATATAGCATCGATATTTCCGTTCTGTTCGATAAACTGACCTGAAACGTCGATCTAGATCGCGTTTATTGTTGTTTATCGACCTACTATAGAAATGTAATGGACAAAGGGTAGTACTGTTGACATTATTGTGTCAAAGTTGTATACAATGGCCTACATATTACTTTCTTTAAAACAAAATCAATAGAACAACTCTAGAGCGTCACTGTCACATTTGAAAACTCAATTAACCCGTTCTGTTCGAATCAGACTTTGAAACACGTGAGGGTTCAACAATAAAATTTTCCTACGACTCTGTATAGATTTTGGGTGGGTCTTTGGAAACCCAACGACAAGACCACTTACAGATGGCGTTTCAAGTTAATGCCTAAATAAAGGCCTCTAGACAAATGGCAAACGAATTCGTCGATGGAATCGACATCGCTAGCTAGTCCGTGAGATAGAATAGGATAGCAACGCCGGATAACTCATTCTAACTTACGGACTCGCTAGCGATATCGATTCCATCGACGAATTCGCTTGTCACTTGTCTAGAGGGCCTGGCCTCCTAAATAAATGACAAGGGAATCCATCGATGCAATCGTTATCGCAAGCAAATCCATAAGTTGGATGAATCATCGGACATTGCTATCTCTTTCTATCTCATGGACTCGCTAGCGGTAACAATTTCACTTGTCTAGAAAGCATTATTTTAGGTTAGACTTTAAGAAATATAACTGTGAAAACCCCATCCTATTGGGCGTAGTTGTTTTTGTTTTTGTGATGCCGGAAAAAACACACAGAAAAACTCTAAAATAAAAAAAAAAAAACTTCTTTGGCTCTTACTAAGAACGTTCATATCAACTTTTCTACAATTTATCCCATGCACAGACATTGTCTATTAAAAAATTAAAAATATTATCAACCGTGCCCGCTGTAATAGTTTTAATAATATATACTTTATCTTTAAAATATCGCTGTATCAACAGTTAACAGGTAGCAATATTTTTTTTTATATTTACCTTTTATCAGATTTATTGATAACGTGTGCGTCACACAGATAAATATTAACGGTTACCGTAGTCGGGTCGATATTCTGTATATTGGGTTACGCTATCTACAGCTGCTCCTTTCGTTATGTGACCTTCGAATGTTTTTTCATTATACTACTAAAGTAGAATCTCGATTATCCGAATCAAATAAAACCGTAAATTCGAAAATTCGGATAATCGATTTTAAAGTTAAATAAAACGATATGTAATTACATTTATTTTTTTTTTGTAAAGGGTTTTATATACGTCATTTAGACAATACTATATAAAAAAATTAGGAGCTATAAAGATAATGGATTACATAATAGCTATTTACCCAACTAATACTATTATTAATAATCGAATATTCGAAATTTTATTTGTATTATTATTAACAGATAATTATTTAATTTATAATTCGATTAATAAATTTTATTTAAATAAAATATTAATGTAATTAACAAATTTTAATTTAAATGATTAATTATAATTAATAATAATCGCTATAATTATTTATTATTTTAAATTAAAAACCAAAAAGTACTAATTCCTGTCTTAAATTTTAACTTTTTTTAAATATTTTAACTTTCTCGTTCGTACGTAATCGCCAAAGCTGGTTTACAATTAAAAGAAAAAAAAAAAAAAAAAAAAAAAAAAAAAATATAAATAAAAAAATCTATTTAATTTTGCTGTTCGTTTATTTGCACATGCATGTTTAACGATAAAAAGACATATCAAGATTGTTTACGAATTCTGTCAAATATTTCTATATTCACTTTTAACAGATCACGCCATTACGAATATGTTTTATAAAATTTTTATCTGTCAGTCTTTTTGCGTCAATCTAGTATTATGTCACGGCACAAACAGACGTATTCAGTGATTACAAATAGTCACTGATAATACGACAGAATGCGGCATTTTTATCTACCACGTTTGTAATATTTGTGATGTACTTTACAAATGTAGTACAACATATCTTACGATATCTTCTTTTTAATTTATTCCAAATATGACATATCTTTTTACTAATAATCTTCTCAATGCCATTCAGCAATAATAACAGCTGATGGTTGGTATTTTTTTTTTATACAATTTGCGATGGTAAAGGCTACAGACCAGCTAATGAAAAATGGTGACCTATAGACAAGTACAGCTTCATAAATATACACTATCGCCTATGGTATTGTCATGAATTACCATTTATGGCGACTAGTTTTAAATCAATATACTAAATATCACTAAATAATAGTAAAAACATACACAAAATTCCTACCCTTCAACCCGAAACATAATCATGCAAACAACTTCTTGGCAACAAGAACACTAACAAATAACTTTTGTACAGTCCCTAATTTATAACATATTATATAGTCATATAGGACTCGGCATAGAATAAGCCATCCCTAACTTTCCCGTGGATGTCGTGAGAGGCGACTAAAGGAGCTTATGGTGGAGGGATAGGCAGCAGCGTCCCTCTTAAATCACTCACCAAATCCTTACTATGGTTGCTAACCCGTCTACCAAGTGTGGCAACTACTGGCGAAACCCGCCAAGGAGGTCTATTTTCAGCAGTGGACGAATAACGGCTGATATGATGATGATGATGATGATTGAATTAAAATAACAGTATTGAATGAATGAATGAGTATACTTTATTTGCATTATACAATATAGGAAATAAGCAAGGCAATTTACAAACACAACGATACAATTGTATAAGTACAGTAAGGTACTGTACAGCAAGTATTCTCTCGTATACCTATTAAAACAGAGCATGATTCACCTGTATATCTAATCTTCTTAGTCCTTTAAGTGTTATTCAATAATAAACATGTTTACCAACCTTCACATTAATAAAGTTGGATATAACAATTTATATTGTGAGATTTCAATAAGCATCCAAATTAAACCTTATTTCCTAAAGATTATGTACTTTTATGCAGTGGATTACTTAGTCCCTATTTGTTACAGATCGACGAGTCATCGCTGACGGGCGAGTCGGACCATGTCAAAAAGGGTGAATCTTTTGATCCCATGGTGCTATCTGGTACTCACGTTATGGAAGGTTGGTACATTATTTTGTACGTCTCAAGGACCAATTTTACTTGCGACGATACGTAAACTCCTTAGTACCTTGCCGCATTGACATTATTTGTGTTTCTTAAGAGTTTATTAATATACTAGCAAGTTATTAATACGACAAGGTGCCAACTAAATTATTAATGGGTACATAACACGCAACTGTATAATAAATATTCCACACGAACTATTTATTGGTAGAATTTAAGCAACTTACTTAGATTGATACCACTCTCTTACCTATTTCTACCTATGTATGTACTTTATGTGGGTGTCGTAAGTGGCGACTAAGGGAGGACAAGGGATTGGCAGCAGCGTCCTTCTTGAAACATCTCTTATACCTGACTGCGGTTTCCAATCCGCCTGCCAAGTGGGGCAATTACTGGCAACCCCCTCCCCCCAAAGGAAAGGCTTATGTTTAGCAGTGGTCATTTTTTTAATAGATGATAATGGAATGGTAACTCCGCCTGCACTATCTGTATAAGCTGGCGGGGCACCAGTGAGGTATGATAGGTGACAATGAAAGCAGGTCAGTTAGCCCATCGTGACGAATTTCACTAGAATTCCACGGTACTTTCCAGGGGAAACCACGTGATGACCTGATAGAAGGGTGTATTGTTAGCAATGGGATTATCATTACTAACACTCTTGCAGTGGACAGTTAACAGCTGATGTGGTAATAGTATTTTGTCCTTCAGGATTGGAAACGCAAGATAACATAAAAGCCTACTATTACCCAGACGGTCAGGTGGCTCGGTGCAGGCTTTATTTCGAGTTCAAATTGACCTTTACGCGGTCCCTCATTCCGCGGTTGAAAACTATTGTACTTAATTCTTATTCAATTCGTCACATTGAGCTAATTTATTTTCTTCTTTCTTCGCCTATCACACCTCACTAATACCCGACCAACGTATATCAATAACAAATACGGGATAACCATTCTATTATCATCCTTTAAAAAAATCTAATACTAATCTAACAAAAGAATTGGTCGTCACTCTGTCTACAGGCCGTGAAGTGTAGATAGAAAAACAGATAAAGAATAACTAACTACATTACATTCCAGGCTCTGGCAAAATGCTTGTGACAGCGGTAGGTGTGAACTCACAAGCCGGCATCATCTTCACACTACTCGGTGCCGCTGTGGACAAGCAGGAGAAAGAAATTAAACAGATGAAAAAAGGTCAGTGTGTATTAACATTTGAAATGGTTGCGGTAGCCAGTATTGTTCGATTAGTTGGCGCTTTCTGATGATTTTGTAGTGTTGTGCCCGATCGTACACTGCGCGATACGACAGCGACAGCGGAGAGTGAAATCGTTGATTAATTGTTGACGCTTTATTAAGCTATTGTACTGGTAACTAGCTATTCCGCGACTCACAGATCGTGAATAAAAATATTTTGTTACAATAGAGACCTGCTTCAATTAGCACACGGGAGTATGTCTTGTCGATTGGAAATATCTTCCAAAACTGGTATAGAATTGGCGATGACATGAAGCAATATTATTACTTAAATAGATAAGTGACATGAGGATAGAGCGATATGAGAAAAGGATGAACCTTTTCAAAGTCTCTTAATCAATTATAATAAAGATCTCTAAAGATTAAATTACTTACTACGAATATATTTTAATGAAATAATCTTAAGTGATCAACTCGAATCCATAGTTTGCATCGTGTTGTGAGTTAAGTTGATTGAGGCAAATTATCGTGCCGACAAGATACTGGCACGATGTGTGGTTTTAAAGCTGTTTATGGCATGCAAAGGTCTCTATTTGCTTGGCATAGCGTTGTACTGTAAGCAATAAAGGAAGTGTGTCCGTATTCGCTTCATTTCACGCGATATTATAACGCTTTACGTTCGGCCTCATTAACATTAAATGACAATTAAAGTTATGCATAAATTGGAGAATTTTCAAGAAGGGCGACTCTGTAAAAGCAAACTTAAGGTCGTGTTATTTTTACTTATACGTAGTTGCTACTCGAAATTTCTTTATTACATAGAGTATTGACTTTACTCGCAGTAGTAAATTAAACAATGAGTTTCCACTATCACAAAATAACAAGGTTGATTGTAAGAGACCCCTCTATGGGTCAAGTCCGCCATTGTATATTAAATCTTTTTTTTTTGTGTCCAATGTAAAGAATGAACAATAAGAATATATATTCAAATTTGTTAAATTTTAATCGATCTTTCCATTCGATCAGATCGAATTGAAGCCTTACTCCAAACAAATATGAATAAGCCGATAATTTAAACTATAGAAATTAATACAAACTTTAAAAATTTTACAAATTGTAAAAAGCTTTCCATACTGTTCTTTATTCATGAACCCTATACACCTAATTACAGAAGTGCCTTTTTTGGAAACATAATTAAGTATCGTTTTGCGTCGATTAATGTTTAATGAGAACTAACGTGCGTTATAGCAGAAAACTCCCAGACGTATAAAAATAAATACAGCAGTTTACGTTTGGATACGTTGTAATTTTAATGATTTCATTTGCCGACTTGTTATGTTGCGCAGTGTGCGATGGGCTTTATGTTTATAGTATGGTGGTAGTTATTGGCATACATTTGTGTAACGCATAATATTACATGTTACATTCGTGAATAATAATTATTTTGTGTTTAAAAGTCAAGTTCTTATAAAAGTATTGTGAATCTGTATTATGTGTAATGAAAACTACTAATATCTTATTTATTTTGATCCGCAAAGAAAAACGGTACCTATTTTTGAAGATTTTGACAGACACTTGTAAGTATATGTCCTGATTTAGCCTACGATTCGTGACTGAAAGTAAATATCCCTCTTACTAACTACAAGTGTGTTTGAAACCTTCCTGATGTCCAAGTATACATGACGTATAATTGAGCATAGTTGGTTTAATAGTATCCAAGTATAAATTTATTTAATGTAAATTTAGACCTGATCGCTTGTTTTTATAAAACAATATTTAATTCTCAAATCAGTTTACAGCTGATGGAGTTATGAAATTCTTCTTTTTGAAATCTGTTGAAAACGACAAACAAGCTTATGCCCCCGATGGAAACTGATAACCGCCGCCTATAGACATGAACAACACTCTCTCTCTCACACATACACATACACACACACGCGCACGCTTATAAAGGAGGGTAAAGGAAAATAAGAAAGATATGTGTGTATGTGTTGCGTGAACACTACACAATAATTTTATACAACACAAATGCAAATAAAAAATTACTTACAAATCTTTTTGTGTATTGTATACATGATTTCCTTATATGCAGTATTGATACTTTTGTGGATTTTTTTTAATGGATAATAATGGAATGGTAACTCCGCTTGCGCTATTGGTATACGTTGGTGTGGCACCAGTGAGAGGATGAAAGCAGGTCAAGAATTAACCACGATGGTTTCCAGGAGTAATCGCGTGGAGATCGTTCTGATATGGTATATTACTAGTAATAAGGCTGTTAGACCCCATTACTGACAATCCCTTTTCCCGTGTGATCTTGACATAGACTAGGCCACCCCTTCCTTTCCCGTGGCTGTCGTAATAGACGACTAAGGAAGGGCAATGGATGGGCAACAGCGTTCCTCTTAAAACATCTCTAAAGCCTGGCTGCGATTGCCAATCCACCTGCCATGCGTGGAACTACTGGCAAACCCCCCAAAGGGGGAGCCTTATGTTCAGCAGTGGACAGTTAAAGGCTGATATGACGATGGTGATATACGAAGCAAGTTCTAGTACAATTCGTGTACAACGGGGTATTTAACCCTTCTTGTGTTGCAAGTGTTTATGGGCTCCGGTAGCCAATTATCATCAATCAGAGACTGTAGGCTTGTTTGTCTTCTTTCTTCGTAAAACAAAAATATTAAAAAGATTAATTTTTTTTTCGGTTGATTGCATTAGTGAACCATGTTGTCTCAATATTCGCTCGGGACTGTGTAGTCACATATTATATTATAGAAAAAAAAAACTATTAATTTATTTTTTTGTATTTCCAAAACGCGACAATTTAACTCGCACGTAACTCCGACATTATCGTTCCGTCCTTTCACTCCAATCAATTCACAATTATGTGCAAAAGAGTCAAATGTAAGTATTACAATATATTCTTAGGAAAACATGTAAAGTCATATGAACATGTATGCCATACTATAATCAGTCATTTCATCAGTAGAATCAAAATCATCAGATGGAGCATCCCAAATAGTGCGACTTCGCAAAATACCTATAGTTCAGCATTGTGTTAACGCTCTGTTCATTTAGTTATAGTTATAAAGCATAGACAGACTTACAAAAAAGTCAAAATGCTTGTATGTACGTACTACTGTATATTAATAATATAAATAAATATTTCAATATATCCCTGAAGACAACAGATTGTAAATCGTTTTAAAGTTAAAAGATATTTTTTTTTATCTGTGGTCTTTTTGATTTGACTCATAGTGAATAACTGAATAGTCTGCTGTTTGTTGTAATCCTTGACACGTTCATTTATATTGAAATTCTAATTTGACCATATGTGAATACGTTTCATGCAAATACAACCATATTAATTTTGATTTCGTTTACGTACGTATAGACTATTTTTTACCAAAGGAAAAGCTTCACAAAATAAGTGAAAATAAAAATACAATCATAGTTATTTAAAAAAAAAAAACATATTTTTTACATCGGTTTAACTTACGTTTTAAATTCGAATATGTCCAACTAGTTCTGAACTGTAATAGAATAAATATATTTTTTTTATAATTAATTGTGTAATAAATATTCAAAGTTTAATTACTCAAATTGAGCAAAATTACTTTAATTTACGGTAAAAATTCTAACACAAATAGTTATAAAATTTATTTCAAACTAAATATGCTCACGACTTCATTCCCAATGGTCTTAGTCAGGGTTGTTTAGAAATAATTTTATTATGAATTCTGTCGAACACCCATATCCTACTTAATTGTAAAATTTTGAAAATTAGTATAATGGAATGACCATCTTTTAACACATAAATAACTTTTTATTACAAAATAAAGCTGCAACTTATAACTAATTTTACGAATAATTCAATATATGTTGTAACTATGTATCCTTTACAGCATACTTGTAATGGTTGCAAAACAATGCGGGGCGTTATAGCATTATAATAGTCTTATTACTTCGCTGAATACTCTATATACGCTTTTATGTTAATAGTGTTAATGATTAAAATAAAAAGCAGACTTTAAATTAAATAGTATACTTATAAAGCAATAAAAATAAAGTTTCCCATAGACTAAATGAGCATAGTGCGAGGTTTATGCTTTATTGCATATTTTAGTGTACCCACAATGAAGTAAGGAGTTTCCCCTACCATCCACCATTATTCACTGCACCCCTTTGTCCCTTTAAATATAATATTTATTGGAAGAAATTCGATAAAAGCAAAATATAATTTTGTAAGCGTTTTCGTATTTTCTCTATTACTTAATTACAGTTCAGTTCAATTATAGTTCAGTTCATGTATAATTATCAATTTCTTCCAACATATGAGATTATTTTATTTATTGATGATTTTTTTTATTGTATTGACCACAAAGGTTTTACGTAAGGTTATGGTTATATACAATTTTGTTATTTTTACCGTCATTGTTAAATGTTGTCTTTATTGTTGTGTTTGACTAATAGCCTGAGTTGTCTTGTGGAAGCATGGAACTATTATTAAATACGAATTTACTATATTATTCTGTATTTTTAACTATGTACCTATTTAAAATTCCATTTAAATGTAAAAACATCAATAAAATAAATAATCTCGTCAATTAAAATCATAAACAAATTTTAAAAACCAACCGTTAAAAGCAACCATTTGTAAATGCAATTTTAGATGCGACATTTAAGTACTTGTGGCCGAAAAAAGTATAAATTGATTATTTTAACGCCACAAATACTTGAACGATTTATGACATTAATTTCCATAGAATTAGTGCCACGAAACCATAGTGTGATCCGTTCAATGACATCCAACTTTTTTTTCTCCACCCCCGACCCCGGCCTGCTGCACGCCCACCTCCATGTCGCCGATGAAAATAAATAAATAAATATAAAATAAATAAAAACATACACATTGATACTGCATCGTGTAACTGTCGTGTTGACTGCATGATGTATAAAAAAAAATGAACTCGTTGCCATAAATGTGTATGCTTGTATATTATTGAAAATTACACTCGCAACGGATATGGAAAATTGATGAAATTAGAAGCTAAAAAGCAGCAACGAAAAGGAACCCAACGCAAGAGTTTGTCCGGTAAGTAATCCCTTTGCTATCCCCCGCTTAAATGAAAACCCTGCGTACATTCAGGGCCAGAGTATTATATAAGTATTGTATTGTGTTTTATAGGGTAATGTTGGTGCTTAAATTTGTAGCTTCGCTTTATTGTGGTGGTGGGATTATTAATCTGTCCTTAAGTGTACGCCGAGCTGGTTAAATTATATAAATTGTAAACAATCTTTTTACGAACCGTAGTTAATTCTAGCTGATACTCGTACAGTAATACAGTAGATAAAATTCTTTGAAAAGCACCTAGTATAGTGTATCGAAGTTTTAACTTTTTAATAATGGTAAAGTTGACTAACGCCATTGTCATACCATCCTTTGACGCATTTTAGACTTTTTTGCATAGCATTCTACATTCTTTTATCACTATAGTTTAATATAAGTAATTTATTCATATCTACTTACTTTCTTTAAAATATAAGCTTTAAAAAGAGACAAGAATAATGTTTACTAAATTTTTATCCTAATATGTAGTTTTATATATTTATACATATTCTAAACCCACAATACTGTTTTTGAAATACTTTATGCACCTCTTAAATAATAAATTTGTCCCCAAGTGCAAAAAAACTTTACAATAAATATTGTTTGGTATGGAAAGACATTTTTTAATTAATAAATTTTGTTCCACAATATGAATTAAATGTTGTTTATTTTTTTTTTATTAGTGTAAAAGAATATTTACCACTTCTTTTTGGAAAATGGTTTTGTTACATCTTATAATCTTTATATAAATATTAGTGTGTATTTTATATGTACTTTCATGAATATATTACATACATTATTACTATTTAATTAAATATATATAAAACGTGCGTTAATAGTCCAAATCTTTATATCTTAATCTATACAAGACAATAATGACATTCTTATTAAAACTTTAAATCAGTAATATACCTATATATTTTTATTTATTTATTTTACACTTTATTGTACCATTTATAAAATAATAAATACAGTTATTAAATAATTATATTAACTGTTTTATGACCATATCCAAGCTTAAAAATAAAAAAATAAACTTGAGTTGTTATGCACAGATGTTTAATATTATTTACCTATTATTATTATGTAAATATATGTAAAAACGTACATGTAAATTATATATTTAACAAACATTTAATTCAATATAACTTTAAAATAATACATTTTTAATTAGTAATTTAAAAAAGAACATACATAATCATTGTTACCCCAAAACCTACAAAAGACCGTACCAAGCAATATCTCTTTGTTGGCAATCCATTGACGCGTACGTTGATCGTGTAGGGGACGAGGATGCAACACTGCCAGCGTCGGGCAACAGCCACGGCGCAAACCACGCGCGGCCTGACGACAACCACGTGCCCGCCCCGGCGGTCGACAAGCCTGCCGCCGAGGCTGGACATAAGAAGGAAAAGTCGGTCTTACAGGCTAAGCTTACTAAATTGGCTATTCAGGTACGAATTACGTGTAACTGTCACTTAAAACATAGTAATTTCGTCATAGAGTTTTAATTTTGAATGTTACGTAATTACCCCCTAGCTACTGCGGGGTAATCGGATTAGTAATAGATTTTTATTATTAGAAATGACAGAATATCGGCGTCTTTGACTAATTTTTATTCAGTTTACTACAAAGCACACATATTTGTATAGTTTTGAACATTTTAATAAGGTGAGGACTTTTTTTAGTTTTTATAGCTCCACGTACATATAGTTAGAAGGATATATTTTTGTACAATGTAATAAAGAGGTCTAAAAAGTAATGTAATTAAAAGTTACATAATTATGGTAGCTATTCTAATTAGTTTATGTTTGTCCCCTTGCATATAATATTATTATTAATTTTCACTTATCGTTCAACAGATTGGTTACGCCGGCTCCACCATTGCGGTTCTCACTGTCATCATCTTAGTCATCCAATTCTGTGTGTATACCTTTGTTCAACAACAAAAGAAATGGAGCGCAGTATATGTCAACAACCTTGTCAAACATCTCATCATTGGTGTCACCGTATTGGTGGTCGCTGTACCTGAAGGTCTACCGCTTGCTGTTACCCTCTCTCTGGCTTACTCCGTAAAGGTGAGAATGAGATAAAAAAAAATATACGGTAAAAGAAAAAAGAACATAAACTAAAGATTAGTTGTCACACAGTTTATTAGATTGTACTATTCTCCTTGTGATACATTGTAATTCTTTATTTATAATAATTATAACTATCGTTATTATATATTGCATAAATTTCCCCCTGGGGTTACTTTAGTTATCGATTAAAATTATTACTACGCTCATTTAAAAATTTATATCAAGTGTTTAACACACCTAATCTAATTTTATTTTCCTGCAGAAAATGATGAAAGACAATAATCTGGTACGGCACTTGGATGCGTGCGAGACGATGGGTAATGCGACTGCCATCTGTTCAGACAAAACGGGAACCCTCACCACCAACCGAATGACGGTCGTACAATCATACATCTGTGAGAAGTTGTGCAAAGTTATCCCCAACTTTAGGGATATACCCTCCGAAGTTGGAGAGACACTCGTCGAGGGTATATCTGTCAACAGTGCGTTCACTTCTAGAATTATGGTAAGATTTTTTTTTTTACCAACAACCGTCCACTATTCATACAAACCAGACGTTCTCATCACCAATACGTTTCAAAACAGAGGTGATGAATATAACAAGAGAAAACTGACTTAACTAGCTAACTGACTGTCTTTTCATTGGATCTGATTAAAGCCTCTATTTATTAGGAAAATGGCATACCTTTACCCCAAATTAAACAATTTAAATAAGTTAATGTACAGAGAAGAGATGTTCGAATGATGAACAAGAAATGTTCTTATTTATTCATTATACCTAGCGATTTCTAACTGATCTTTGTATCCGTACTTAGTTTTAAGTTTGTAAGGAACTTGACACAAACCTTTAAAAACTTGACAGGTTTATGTCACGTGACCAAACTGGCCTGTTTTGTCTACATTTTTAGTGCCAATTTATATAGCGCTCATATTAAGCCTGGTATTAATGATTACTCTTACCGCACAGCCGTCTCAAGACCCGACCGGCCCACCAATGCAAGTCGGCAACAAGACGGAATGCGCTCTTCTCGGGTTCGTTGTCGCATTAGGTCAAAGCTACGACGCAGTCAGGGAGCGACATCCCGAGGAATCCTTCACCAGGGTCTACACCTTCAACAGTGTACGCAAGAGCATGTCCACAGTCATACCGTACAAAGGCGGCTACCGGTTATACACAAAGGGGGCTTCCGAGATCGTTCTCAAGAAGTGAGTGCATTGATTTACTAACTTAGAAGTTATTTTCCTACTAAGTTTATATTATCATATGTGTAGGGACTAGGTAGAAGTAGCTGACCCGATAAACGTCCTTTTGCCCCCTTTCACCATCTACTGAACCAATTCTTAATTATAATAATAAAGACTATGCTGTCTCTTATGTTGGAGCAAACAATCGATATTTAGAACGTAAACTGTGAACGAACACCTGACACTTCTTTAGGATCATAATATATAAAAAAATATTATTTGTATGCAAGTGTATATGAAACTATTTCACAAATATTCATACACTTCATAGAATCTCTATTTATAATTAGCACGATGTGTAGTGTCTCCATTTATCGTTGGATAAATGGAGACACAGAAGAAACTGTTCGTAACTGTATATTTCTGGATTCATATGGCTACGTATGAATTAAAGAGGTCTCCGGCAAAAATGTCAATAAATACAACTAGTGCTGCCCGTTAGTAAACTTTAAAAATTCAGAAGCACTAGTACCCCCATCCCGAAGCTTGGGACCCCCGCAGCGCAGGGTCTATGACCCATCGAGTCACAACATACGAGACTACACGAGTATCCATCCTCCATCATCATACAGAATTATAGTATATAAGTGTCATCACATATACAGATGCGCATTCATCTATGGACACGAGGGCCGGCTGGAGAAGTTCACGCGTGACATGCAGGAGCGGCTCGTGCGACAGGTTATCGAGCCAATGGCGTGCGACGGCCTCAGGACCATATCGGTGGCCTTCAGGGACTTCGTGCCGGGCAAGGCGGAGATCAACCAGGTCATTTGCTGTTTCCACTAATATTATACCAATCACAAAGATGATTTGCCGGGACGACCCCTTCTTCTCCTGTAGGTGTGAAAAGAAGCGACTAAAGGAATTTAACGATCGAGGGATAGGCATCAATGTCCTTTTACAACGTCACCAAAGCCTGACTAAAGTTTTCAACCCGCTTGCTAATCGTGGCAACTACTGGCGAAACCACGCAAATCTATATTCACCAGTGGACAGTTAACGGCTAATCTGATGATGAGATAGTTATAGTCTATAAGTTGCTATGCAGACGACAGTACAGGAGATACATTATATACCGGTCATGCAAAGATCTCGCGGGCACATACCGATGAGTGCCGGAATAGACTTGTGTCTGAAATCGAAACTTCACTCCATCAAGTTTCGATCTGGGGTGAACAAAATCTTGTCCAATTTAACCCCAAAAAGACACAAGTCTGCGCGTTTACCGCAAAAAAGACGCCGTTTGTCGTATCTCCTCACTTTCAGGGCACTTCCCTTGATAAAAAGTCGAGTCTAGGAATTCTGGGCGTTGATATATCTTGCGACGTCCAGTTTTGCGGTCATCTGGAGGAGAAGGCTAAGATAGCTTCCAAAAAGTTAGGAGTGCTCAATAGGGTGAGACGATATTTCATGCCAGAACACCGCCTGAAATTATATAAAGCCCAAGTCAGGCCGCATATGGAATACTGTTCTCACCTGTGGGCAGGAGCGCCACAGTACCAACTCCTTCCGTTAGACCGCATTCAAAGTCGGGCGGCTCGAATTATCGATAGTCAACGCCTTACTGTCCGACTTGATCCACTGAAACTGCGCAGGGATGTTGCATCTCTGTGCATCTTCTACCGAATTTATCATGGGGAGTGTTCTGAGGAATTGTTCGGATTGATACCTGCTGCTGATTTTCACCACCGTACAACCCGCCACAAACTAAAGTTTCATCCCAATCATCTGGACGAGTGGCGGTCTTCCACCGTGCGTTTTTCAAGGCACTTTCTTCCACGCACAACCATTCTTTGGAATCAACTTCCAGCAGCAGTATTTCCGAACCGATACGACAACATAACCTTCAAGAAAAGAGTATATTCCTTTTTAAAAGGCCGGCAGCACACCTGCAATGCCGCTGGTGTTGTGGGTGATCATGGGCGGCGGTAGTCACTTACCATCAGGTGAGCCGCATGCTCGTTTGCCCCCTGTGTTGTAAAAAAAAAAAAAAAAAAAGTCTATTATGATAAAACTTAATGAAATACTTTTCTAAGTTCCATTGGAGTTATCATAGAAACAGTATAAATGAAATTGGTAAAGAATAGAAACAACTAATAAATAAACAAAAAAAATGTATTACTTTTTGGATATCAGCAGACTGTCTTATGGTAGGGTCAATTATTCATTTGTTTACATGTTTACAGATAGACAAATATATATTTATTACAATAATACCAATAATTGTCTACTTAAATCACCGGGTTTTAAAAGACGAATTTCAAGATGATGATAAGACCCTATGTCACTTTACTTCATTATTAACTGTTTAACTATACACAGGTGCACATAGACCAGGAGCCGAACTGGGACGACGAGGACAACATAGTGAACAACCTGACCTGCCTCTGCGTAGTCGGTATCGAGGATCCAGTCAGGCCCGAGGTATGGATATGCTTATTTGTAATTAATATTGGTTATAATAGAAATCTAATCATTATTTTAATTGCCTTATGAGCAATATACAGATACGAATATATATATTTTTACATGTAAATATTTTTAACATATGTATTTTTTTATCTTAATAATAATAGTGTATACTATTAAGGCTATACTTTCACCATTTCTGAATAAATAATGCTCTTTTTTTAATCAGAAGGTTTACTCCCGTTGGCCTTGAATTTTTTTTTTTTATTTATTACTTATTAGCAGTATTAGTTATCACTCAATAGTAAATATTTTTAGGTAATTTTTTAAGTAACTCTACGTATTTAATTTTCATAATCTATCTTGATACAGATTTGCTAAATATCTTTGCTTAGCGTTGTATATTAACGCCATCTAACGGTAACAATAGTAACTATTGTAGTACAATCATACTGAAAGGTATTGGCGAAAATTATTTTGATTTCTTAAATATACATAATTAGATTATGTATACGTGATTGTTAAGGTGCCGGAAGCCATCCGCAAGTGCCAAAAGGCGGGCATCACGGTGCGCATGGTGACTGGTGATAACGTGAACACGGCCCGCTCCATCGCCATCAAGTGCGGCATACTCAAACCGTCGGACGACTTCCTCATACTCGAAGGCAAAGAGTTCAACAGGCGGATTAGGGATAGCAACGGCGAGGTATCCTAGCTTTTTTATTATAAACTTATTGATCTGCCATACGTTTTTTATAAGTAACTTGCCATAATACAAAAGTTACCTCACAAATTGAAACAAAAAACATACATTTACAAAATTTTATTAAAATCGGTTGAGCTATTTCAGAGATTAGTGTGAAGGAACATCAAAACATGGAATTTTTATATATTATGTATGTACCTTATAGAGTAAACCAACTAAAATCTTTTGCACAAGTTAAAATACATTAATATAACCTAAAAATTGTTTTTTGCCAGTTAAACATAGTTTCAATTGGTCAAAATTCCCCCAGCTTTTTTTGTTGTCAAAAATACTTCGGATTTCTTATGACTTGACATAATTATATAATTATATCGTTGCAGGTCCAACAACATCTAATAGACAAAGTGTGGCCCAAGTTACGCGTACTGGCACGCTCCTCCCCAACCGACAAATACACGCTAGTTAAAGGAATGATCGAGTCGAAGGCGTTCGACACTCGCGAAGTAGTCGCCGTCACCGGCGACGGGACCAATGACGGGCCGGCGCTGAAGAAGGCTGACGTTGGATTCGCTATGGTGAGTCATCGTGATTGTCACAACTCTATTCTGTACTTACAACATGTTTGTCAATAATATTATAAAATGATTTGAGACATATTTTTATTAGCACTATTTGAGACCCCCCTCACCCCTCTCCTCTCCCCCTTTTCTCTCTCCTGTCTCCTCTCTGTCTCCCCTCTCTTTTTTCTCTCTTAACTCTCACCACTGCATCTCTCTCCTACCCTCCCCTCCTCTCTCTTCACTGAATACAAATAAATAAATAATAATAAAACATTATAGGTTCATTAAATATTTACATAACAAGCGGCCATCGACGTATTCCAGGGCATCGCTGGCACAGACGTAGCGAAGGAGGCGTCCGACATCATCCTGACCGACGACAATTTCTCGTCGATCGTGAAGGCGGTGATGTGGGGCCGCAACGTGTACGACTCGATCGCCAAGTTCCTCCAGTTCCAGCTGACCGTCAACGTGGTGGCCGTCATCGTGGCCTTCATCGGCGCCTGCGCGATACAGGACAGCCCGCTCAAGGTTCGCGCGCGCATGTCACCCGTGCACCACTCACTACCATACCATACCAACTCATCTAAAATTACAATTTGAATATAATTTGAATAATGGATAATTTAACGAAACTGTTGTGATATGAATCATCGAGCATTTGAAACAGTTTAAAATAATCTTACTGTAATATAAAAAAAAAAAAACTTATTTTAAAAGATAGAAAATGTGGCTTCAAAATCGACTCCCAACTCATATTATTGGCAGATTAGCTGACTCTTTTTAATGGTCTGTGCACACGAGGGATATTCTGTTTTCAGACAAAATTTCACTTTTTATATCTATACACACCTCGTCGGCATGGTCGGTTTTAAATCCGACAAAAGACGGTGTTGACAGTGCAGGAAAAATTAAAAAGGAAAAAAGCATTACCAAAAAATATAGAATTTTCCTTAAAACCTTGATTTATGGAAACTCAAAATTTGATAAAATCAATTTAACCTCAAAGAACATTTCTTTGATACTAATTTTGATTTTACCTGTTTCATATGTATCTATATTTTTTCCTTTTGCTGTGGGTGTCATAAAAGGCGATTAAAGGATATTAATAGTCAAGGGTTGGGCAGCAGCGTTCCACTTTAAACATCACCACAGGCTAATTGCGGTTGCCAATCCGCCTGCCAAGCGTGACAACTACTGACAAAACCCTCAATAAATAAATGTCTCTGTTCAGCAGTGAATAGTTAATGGCTGGTGATAATTATATAATGATGATGAATGGAGAATGACATCCCTGTTACTAATAATTCCATCCCGCCTATATCACCTATAAAAGAGTAATTGTTGCCTTCGACTCTGTTTGGAATTCAATTGTAAATATATTAATTCCCCACCAGGCGGTGCAAATGTTATGGGTGAACCTGATCATGGACACGCTAGCGTCGCTCGCGCTCGCCACCGAAATGCCCACGCCTGACCTGCTGCAACGAAAGCCGTACGGACGGACCAAGGCGCTCATCAGCCGCACCATGATGAAGAATATCCTCGGACAGGCCATATACCAGTTGTTCATAATATTCGCGCTGCTGTTTGTTGGTGAGTCACGTTACGCTATATAATTATACAAAATATTATATTACAATACATTTATTTAAAAGAATATCTAAATAATGGTGGAAACATTATTAAATCAGTTGCGTGATTTAGAAGACGTAAGCGAAAAAAGTGCCCATTACAGGCAGTGCCTTTGTTTTGGACTATTTAGAACTAAGCTGAATGGAACTGTAATGCATTTAAATTAGAAATCAGCAGACATACCGTTCTTTATAGAAAAACAATGATCCAAATGCCAGACAAAGCATGATAAACCGATTTGTATTCCAGGCGACATCCTGCTGAATATCCCATCGGGGCGCGGACAGCCGCTGGGCACCGAACCGACTCAGCACTTTACCATCATCTTCAACACGTTCGTGATGATGACTCTCTTTAACGAGATCAACGCGCGAAAGATTCACGGCCAAAGGAACGTGTTCCAAGGCCTCTTCACCAACCCTATATTCTACTCCATATGGATCGGAACGGCGTTATCGCAGGTATTAATTCATTCTAACGTGTAAGTGTCGCTCTCAGGTGTCGATAGTTATAAATCGCCGTTATTATATAAAATGGCCTGTCATGTGAACAGGTGATTTTACTGGTCATCTAAATTATTTCCAACTCGAAATAACGAATAAACTAACGGTTAACTTGGAGCGTAGTAACCGCTGGCTTTTTTTTTATTGGTAAAAATGGATGGAAAAGGGTGATAGATGAGAATGAAAACAGGCCAGTTAGCCCAACATAATGAATTCATCAGGAATTAACCATGAAAGTTTCCAGGGAGAACCGCGAAGAGGTCGACCTGGTTGGGTATATTGCTAGCAATAGGATTCTCAGTCTCCATTACTAACAATCCCTTTCCCCTCTACTCATAGATGGGATTGTCCATTCCATTTTCACTCAAAGAAAGAACTCTCCCTGACGACTATAGTGTTGTGTCTCTCCACTCTGTAATGTTACTATCATATCCCACTAGAGGTGGTAATATATAACAATATCTATATATTTTAATTAATAATATCCGGCTCGAAGGACCAAAATGTTGGGTTAAGCAGTGTTGCAGTGGTGGGAACTTCAAATAATAAAGTTCATAAATGTTAAATAAATGTTTGTAATGTTATGTTAATTATTAATGTTAATGATTGCACGTTACGGTGACGGACACGGCACTGTCGTTTTTGGGTCAAACGGATATAACTCGATGAGTTTGACGTCATTGTTTGGTGTCAATTATCTATACACCGAACATGTATATTGTCCCAATTATGGATATGTTAGATATTACCTAAAACAAGAAGTATAACCACAGAAACCGACGCCTACGAGAATAAAGAGAAGGACAGGTCGATCTCATTATGTACATTTTTGTATAGATCTTTAAATTCGAAGAAATTCGAGAATAAAAATATCTTCGTTTAAATCGAATCGAGATTGGAATCTCTAATTTCACTGCCCAAACCAGATTACCAGGACATCGTGATAATAGTGACTGCCGCCAATTTCCAGGTAATCATAATCCAATTCGGCGGCATGGCGTTCAGCACGGCCGGCCTCTCGATAGACCAGTGGCTGTGGTGCCTGTTCTTCGGCGCTGGCACCCTCGTCTGGGGACAACTCGTCACCACCGTGCCCACTAGGAAGATACCAAAGACTCTCACGTAAGTATCCACAGATTGATTTGAATGTCGTCAAATGCAGGTCTAGATCTTATACCTTTAGATGGAGTATCTCAATAGAAATGCTTTGTCGAAAACAAGCCAACTTCTTTATTCCTATTACGTGTTTTATGTAACTATCTCTTTTTAGTTTTCATTCCATTCATTGTAATTTATATTTGTTAATATAATTTGGAAACATTATTGCATTGGTTAATTATTACAATAATATCACTTTGAGAATCATACAATTATAATTTTACAATTTGGTCCTGCTGTCAAAACAGCTGTTTTGGACCAAATTGTAAAAACCAAATTGACCAAAAGTGACAATAAATATAATAAAATATTTGTTGTATCAGCCATTAACTGACCACTACTAAACATAGCCGCCCCTATGAGAGGGGTTTTGCCAGTAGTTGCCACGCTTGGCAGGCGGATTAGCAACCGCAGTTTGGCTTTTAGTGATGTTTTAAGTGGGATACTGCTGCTCTACTCCCACCATAAGCTTCTTTAGTTTCCCAAGGGAAATGCATATTTACGGTGTAAATATTTACGGTGTATGACCAGATGGGGCCGCGGTCAGCCAGACCCTGAGACGATCCAGCCGGGGCCGGATTACGACGCTGACCTGGACAAGAAGCCCCGCGCGGGCCAGATCCTCTGGATCCGGGGGCTCACCAGGCTGCAGACGCAGGTACATACGCCCATCCACTCGCCCCACAGCCCCTACCACATCCCAGATCCTGAACCGCCCGGTGCGAAGTACTAGCAATACAGCCTAGTTCGATCTTCTTTAGTAATTTAATCGAGTGACAAATAATTTAGCAAACATTATACTAAATTTTTTTTATTGTTGAGATTATTTGACAACTAAATCACTCGTTACTCTACTAAATTACTAAATAAGTCCGAAGGCCTGTTGGCGAATACTAGCACCGTTAGTTCGCCATTCGCAATCCGCTCGGCGCTCGTACCAAGTGGAAGTGACGTCAAGGGACGGGATAATTACTTATAATAAAAATAATTCTAGTGTAGTTTCTATTTTTTAAATATAGCTCAAAGTACCTGTAACAGGCAGCTTTATCTGCATGAATTAAAGTATAAAATACTATGTGCGTATCTAAAATATGATCTCAAAAACTTTAAAATTTAAAAATAAAGATACCATAAATTTATTTTTACAATTTTATAATATTAATAGAATATAAGACTGATTTTTTAAATAATGTTTTTTTTTTTATATGGCAATTATCTCGTCTATCTATGTCTCCTTGGGAACCCTATCTATGGCATTGAGTTTTTTTATTATAGTTATAAAGAATTCTTGCTTAATATTCTATAATAAATATTATACTCGTTTTAATATTTAATATAGAATTTATATGGGAAGTGTAAGTTTAGGGGGATATAAATGTTGGGAATTTGTCAATGTATCTGAAGGGTGTCCATTATTTATGATTGAAACACGTCCCACAGAGTTCAAATGTGAATCTTAAAATATTAAACAAAATATTTTTAGAAATCAGATTTGAATATCGAAAACTGTAAATAATTATCAAAATAGAAACTATTTATGTGTTTTATATTCACGTGAAATAAAATATATTAAAAAAAAAAATAATAATAAAATAAATTTTAATGGAAATGTTATTTACGGTTTTTAAACTGACGGCCATCTGCAATTTATTCTGAAATTCTATTGATAATAGTTTATAAATTTTATAATTCAATATGGAATCGTTATAATTCGAAACAGTAGGCCGTCAGTTGTTTCATATCATAGACAGCGTCATGGATATTGGCGCTGATACAAAAAATAATCAGTACCAATAAACCATGGTGAAATACTATGATATATTTATATAATATTTTCTAAGAGTGGTCATATTGTTACTGTATAAGCTGAATTTAAAATTAAAATATAAACTTAATTATATATTAAATTTAAACAAACTATCTCATACAGTAACAATATTAATTTAAAAATTTAAATATGGAATTTAAAATTCAAATATGGAATAATATGTTAAAAAAAAAATAGGAGTGGCAGAAACATGTTCGTGCTTAATACGAAAGAGGGATAAGTTTTTAGTTTACAGCTAATATATAAAAATATATACAGCAAAGTCAACAGGTCAACACTGCGGATACCTTGGGCATCCTAACGCTAAGTTCGATATATTGTCCATTTATATATACTTTTACTATTTTGCATACAAAACGAATAATACCACCATTTTCAATTATACTATGCATCCATATATAGAATTATATCGCCATAGAACAATAGAGATTACGCTGATTCATTTTATTACACATCTTTTTGATTTGTTGGTACAGTAAGCCGGATATATCACTCGATTTTAAATAAAAAAAAAAATATTACACTAATATAATTTCGATAAGAATCAAACTTTCGATATAACTACGTTTTCATACTTTTAGTTTTTTTTTTCTTTTTTATTTTTTATTTTTTTTTTCAATCTCGAACCTTTGTTCTTTTTTACGTCTCGTATTTTCATTTCGTTCTCCTATACTTCTGTTCTCGTTCAGTTTATTTTATACCTACACAGAGAAACACTTTACAAAGTAATAATAGTAGAGACGCTATATTATTTTTGGCCCATACTTAACGTAGATTAAATATTGTTCGGTCACTAATTTTAACGTCAGAGTAAAGCACCTATGTGTAGCTTAATTAGTACATAAAACAAAATTGGCAACCGAGCAACGCTATACTTACTAGATTTTAATTTCGAGATACTTTCATTGATTTCTCTAGTGCCTGGTTTCATGACGCCATCTCTCTACGTGTTTGTAGGGCCGTCACTAGAAACGGCACCGCTTCGACGTAGCAAGCAATTTGTCATTTAAATTTCGACTTTTAATTGTGTGTAGCAGAATATATTTTACTCTTGTCTTGTTATGACAAGATAAATTATCCGGCAAATTTGCCACTACTATTGAAAGGGAAAATGTATCGTGCTACACATAATTTAAAGTCGAAATTTAAATAACGGGTTGTTTACTGCATGTAAGCAATGCTGTTACGAGTGACGTCCCCACGACTAAACTTCATCTGTCTCTTATTTCAATCTCGCTTTACTTGCTCGTGTTCCTATATATATATTTGTTTCCACCTAAAGTTTCGTTGTCATGAAACCGGTACAGCTCCGTTAGTATAACACTAATTAGTACATCGCGTGTTACTGCCGTGCATGATCAGCAGTACCGTATACAGTCTGACGCTTCCCGGTTTTGTTTATTTTACTTTTACTTCATAAAACCTGAGTTGACTGTACCGCCCCCACCCTTACCCTATTGGCATGCTCTTTATGTAGGCTGTGACGATGTTACTTATCCCTCAAAACCTTCAAACAGTTACTATGACTTCTCCTAATATTGTATGATATATCACTATACATGAACTACATCGCGGTATGAATATGACTATCTCTTTTTCTATCTCTCTTTTATTTACTCTGAGTCATACTGACTGTTTGATTTTTTTTTTCACTACTTTGTTTTATTTTGTTTTATTTTTTATTTTTATTTTTGTCTGTTTAACGTTTTATTTTGAGGAATAGTGTTTTATTTTTGCTTGTAAAACGCCAACCCGTTACATCCTCGCTACTATCCAAGCAACCCAGCTCTGAGTGTGGTGCCGACGACGCGGCCCGCCCGCACACGTTCGACTAACATACCGTTACCGATACGTAAGCAGTAACATGTTCGTTTTCTAATTTATCCACTGTTATATATTGTTTTTGGATTTGATTTAATTATTTTACCGTATTGTGTTCAGTTACTGCTGTTAAGGGAACGTTAATTTGAGTGTGGAGTGGATTTTTCTTGAGAGAAATAAACAATATAAGTACACACGTAGCGAGAGCATGCCGAGTGTGCTCGCATTACTAACAGATGTACCGTAATCGTTCGGACCTCTACCCTTTGCCCGTTGTGTTACTGTCGATGTTTTGTGTTACCTTTATATATTTTTTCTGTTTGTTTTATATTTTATTTTCGTTTTTGTTCTGTGAATGTTTGTTGCCCCCTTAGAGCCGTGCTATGTCGGGGTGTCATTGTCATTCAGGTGAAATGGGTGAAAGCGTCAAACTGGCCAGCGAAGGGTGTTCAAGTAGTGTGCCTATGCCTTGCAGTTGATAATTGCCTTCATTGTGTTATTTTGCGTACGTTTGTTAGGCTTGATGTAGTATCCATAATATATAATGTATATAGTGGTATTCAATAGGTGATGCTGCTATATCGGTAAGTATATATATAGAACAAGTAACGTAATCCAAATATTTCCTTTATTAAAATTGAAATAATAAATGATTATTTTGTTTAGCTTTCTAACATATGTTTGATTGTACATTTATGGAAATATTGTAATTAATTACTAAATTTAATTATACACATAATTAGTTTAATATAAATTATATATTAAATATATATAAATATAATTAAATTCATTAAAATTATATATATAAAACATAATATTTAACTAAAGATGAATTATACACTTTATATTTCCATAATTGTACAATGTCAGAAGAATACTAAAAAAATATCGTGGACTGTTCCTCCTTGGCTCCTAAATTTTATGTGTTTTAATAAAAAAATAACATGGCATGGTAGTTATTAGACTAAGTACCTATTGTTAATGTCACATGTATATGTAACTTCGGTGAAATGCGAGCCACCACCATAGAGGCATAAATTAATATGGAATTTGAATAAGTCTAAATAAAAAAAAATTATAAATAAAAGTTATGCATTCTTTTTTTTAATTAAATAGAAGAGAATAAAATTGAAAGCCATTATACTGTGGCATATAAAATTAGGTGTTACGGTGAGGATGGTAGTGCACCCTGGACCCCAACCCAAGCATTTGTAGGAAGACATCTCCCTGCGTTGTGTAGGCTTAGTGTAGTCGACAGTCGATCTTCAGGGTAGTTAAGGCCTCGATCGAATCCTATTCTGTTTATTTCCATTATATTTGAGTTGTTTTCTTTCATTCGGTTGGCACTCTTCCGAGTCATATTCGTATCACGTGACACCGGCCGCTCAAGTGCCGCATACACGCATCAGAATGACACGATACACATTTATTTCCTTTTTTTTTTTTCAAAAAGGGTCTGTTTTTCCGTGTTGGCCTGCTTGTGGCTAGGACAGATATGGGACAAACTTTTTGATATTCTAATAATGATATTGACACAAAAAACACAATAACATGAACGTAAAACTGTAAGTATTTTCTATGTATATATTTATTTCAAGTTTTCCTTTAGTTTATGTGCAGTCGATGTGAATGAATGATCTTTAGTATTAAAAATAATATATAAGACTGCACTCATAGATAAATTTTATTACAATTTCTGTCATTTTTTTAATTAAAACAATAAGTGCATATTGATTAATAAATTTGAATTGAGACGAGTCTTTTTGTGAATAAATGGAAATCTACAAAAAAAATAAGATTTGTAGTTGCAATCTTTTTTTATATAATTTAAATATTTGTAACTTTGTTTCAATATAAATCCATATTATTTTTAATATTTTTATTCATTTATTGCTTAAATACTTTTACAAACAAAAATAATTACAGCTTTTTTATATTTGAACATGCATATAGAAGTAATAGAATGTATTTTATCAGTTTAGTTTTTGAACTTTAATAAAAGTTTATTCTAAAACGATTATCGTATTTAAATATTGCTTTCCATTATATATGAATAAAAAAAAACAATTTAAAACAATATAAATTTTGTAATATTTTATAAATTATACATATTATATAATTTACACAATTATACAATATAATATAATATGTATAATATTATACATATATTAATTTAACTCAACTAAATGTTAAATATCAAAAATTCCTAAAAAATAAAAACTAATTTAATTTATTTTCATTTGCAACTAACCTGAAAATCGTTTAAAAATAATAATACATATTTATTAAAATCATCAGGTTTATAGAAATCTTACATACACAATATTAATACAAGTGGTGTATATGACAAATGTCGATTATATACAGTGGATTACACAGAGCACACACCGTCCCATATCTGGCCACCGTGCAGTTGTAAAGCTAGGGCGTATCCGCGTAGGACGGTGTCGAATGGGGCGTCGAGCCGCGCGTTGAGAGATGTTGTTGGCAGCAACGGCCCGTGCTCGAGACCGAGGTGTAGTGGCGGCCGCGGCGGCTGGCGGCGCGCTGCGTGCGACGGACGCTGACGGTACCCGCACCCCTAGCCCCCGACCCCCGCCCCACACCCGTCCGAGCCCGCCCTAGCATAGCGTAGAGCCCCGGGCACGTTCCGCGAGTGGCGAGCGCGACGACACTATCTATTCTAAATTCAAATATTCTTATTTAAATTTTAAAATTGGAATATCACTTTATTTTTTATACACTGGCCTATATTTTATAGGAAGTGGTGATGCAGTTTCTACAATGTAATAAAGTTTATACGTTTTATATATTAAATAGTATTTTAATCTTTGGTTATTTAAATTTTGAAAAATATATAAAATAGAATTGTTTTTCTGCATCAAGTAAATAATGACCAAAGTAATTTGATATTATTTGTCTTTATTATAATCACTATACAGTAACGTTAATTTTGTCATATATTTCTAGAAGAAATTTGAATTCCATTGCGGGATACGCAATTAAAACAAGTGTCGTTCACTCGCCGCGAGCACCTATAGTTCTGTTTGAGCGTTTGTTTGCATCCCACGTCTTTCGTTTGTACATCGCCCTGTCCGAGCATATTCCGTCTTGTCTGTTCATCTGTCTCCATGGCACCGTCTCGTCGACCCGAGCACCTGTCTCCGGCCCGACCGAGCATCGATGTCGTCACCCTGTCGTCCCCCCGCTTTGTCCCGTTAGCCTCTAGGTTTGCCGCGTAGTACACGTTAGCAGTCCCGCTAGCACCTAGTACTTAGCTCTGGCATGGCCACCCACGCACCGGTCATCCATCGGTCATCACTCGGTAGCGTAGAGTCAATCGCACAGGTCTCGATAGCTGCATGTTTAGCCCCACGATCGTCGATGTCCCGAACTCTGAATACAGACAGTATCGGTCATAAAGAACATCCACACCACACTCTCTGTCGAGCTATCGGTGGCGAGTAAGTAGCGCGGGCCGGGTCGCGCGGCGGTGCGGGTGCGAGGAGTGGAGGAGGCGGAGGAGGCGGCTGAGCGCGCAGGGTTGTTGTTGCAGCTGCGCGTGGTGCGCGCGTTCAAGTCGACGCTGGAGGACCTGGAGGAGCGGCTGTCGGCGCACTCGGCGGCCGGGCTGCGCTCGCGGCTGCGCGCGCCGCCCGCCGACATCGCGTACATCGACGCGGACGACGTGCCCGCCGCCGCCCGCACCGAGACCACCATATTCTAACGCGCCACCGGCCACACACACACCGACACCCGCACCCGACGAACCGTTGTTTTTCTTTAGTTCTGTTTATTTGCGCCGGCGCGCGGGTCGACCTCCCGCGGCGACCCGCGCGCCATCTCGCTCCGCGTTCGCATCGGCTCCCGCTCGGTTCTCGGCCGCTCGGACGATTTACGATTCTTAATTTAGTGTAAGATTTTATTATTGTTGAAAATATTTAGCGCTAGGTAGTCGATAGCAATAAACTAATAGAGGACATTAGAGGCCCGACGTTAGACTCCTAAACCGAATTGTGCCTGTTACGCGCCCCCGTTCGGCGGCGCGCCTGAACGTTTTCAATTCATGTTTGTACTCTGTTGATGTTTCACGTTATCGTTCCGACGTCGCGTCCACGCCGACGAGCGTGCGACGTCACCTTCGGGACCCCTCGTCGTATACACACGTGTACGTAGATGGTACGAATCTATCTGCCAGTAAATGAAACACTGCTATTTTAGAGACGATCGTGTTTGTACATAAGCTAGAGATTCTTGACGTCTTATTATTATGTATATCGGAGCAGTGATATTTTGTATAGGTAGCTATTTAATGATGAAACAGATGAGGCAAACTCCTTTTTCAATATTGTAACTTTTTAAAAATTAGACTTGAAATTTTACTGATCTTTTAAAATTTTCAATCTCACTAGCTTTTTGTGTAAGTAGTTTGTTACGGAATATATTTACTTATTGTAAAGTTTTTCGATACTCGGAAGTCAGTGTGTTTTTTTTCATAGTAAATTTTGGGACCACTTTTAACCCGTTTCTAAACTTAATAACTGAGATACAATTAGATCTAAAACAGTTATGTACTGAACTATAATATTTTTATCGAATTATCTGTCTAATAACGTGTTAATCTATCTATAAATTGTATGCAGATGCCTAAAGTTTAGTATGAATGGGACACCTCACGCTTAGTAAGCAAACGAGAGCTCTAAAAATGTATTATCTGAATTACTTTGGTTTTGCCAATGTTACGAGAACTATTTATATTGATAAATAAATTTTCAAGCAAATTCCATAGCATTTTCTTTCGCCACTCGTATAGTTATGGTGGGGGCCGCCCAGTTTTAGAAAAATCGCTCTATTTCAGATGTTGACGGTAAGTTTAGGTCTGACTCGCATAGGGAGTAACGTTTGTAAGTATTTGTAAGCGACCGGCGAGGCCAACCATAGTAGGTACACCATAACGAGTGATTAATTAGTCATTAGTCATTGTGTAGAGCATGGGATTCATGTCAATGCACGACTACTGCGCAGTGACTCGCTCTTCGGTACATACTCTCTTTGACACAATCAAATATTATTGTTAAATAAAAATAAACAGGAAACGCTACAAGAGTTGTATTTAATAAATCAGTATACATTTATGACCACCTCTAAAGGTGAGAGCTCTGGGCGCCATTTTGTATGCTCGAGTGCACAACAAAATGGCGCCTCATTAGTCGTATAAGTATTGAGTATATATTGAAGATAATGTGTATTATTGGTACGAAAGCCAATTTTTTAATCTTTTTTTTTTTATTATGCTTGGCATTTATAGAGTGTTCGTGCTTATGTTTACAGTGTTTTGCATGTATACAGATGTCTGTGAGTATGCACAATTTGTATATTTTTTTCATTTTAAAATTGTTTTTAATAGATGTTTGGTACAAAGATTCTGATAATGTTTAGCGTTAAAGTGTTCATTTTATATGTAATCAGTTTCTCGCATAAAAGTTTTATATCCGAATTTTATTTTAGATTTTTAAATATAATAAGTATAGTTTCTTTTTTTTATATATTATACATATAATATAAACTTACCAAACTTCTAACATGATAGTGTTTAAGCTGAATAATTATATAAAAAAATATTACATATAGACGTTGAAAAAAATTGAAGGTATCTGTATAATCTCCACTACACCAAAGTAGTCTAATAAGAAATCATATATCACTTTAAACTGAATAAAAGCGGCTTTTACATTTTATTTTCGCTTAGTTTTATATCATTAACTCGGTTGTGTATGTACTTATTTACTAAGTTGATTTAATAATTTATTTTGAGTTTTATGTAACGAGTCTTATTTATTGTTAAAAAAAAAATAATTTTTAACCGGCTCTAAACTACCAATATAAATCATAAAAACTCTTGAAATAAAATTATTTATTTCAAAAACATTGATATTTCATTTGTACCTCAATCGAATGACACAATACTCGAGTGGACAACAGTAACAAAGCATACAGCGCGCGGTGTAGCTCACATACCGGATCCTATAGGTACTTACCTGCGTAGTTTACTAGCTTCTCACACGGTAATTCCTATTTATCTTTTTTTTTTATATAGTATTTGCTATTGGATGCCCTCGTTTCCCCGACCCAGCTAGTGTGAATGCCCCCTATCCTAGTTCAAGTTAGGCACCTGTTTACTAACGAAACTGCTTTCTAAATTATCCTTTATTTTATAGATTTTTTCTACAGCTACAACTTCACTTCTTAGTAGTTTTTGAGATTCTAAAGCCAAATTTCATATTTGTTCACATGTGCCCGAATTATATTATATTTATATACATATATATTAATATTTATATTTGGTTTTGGAGTGCCAAATATCCCTGTCCCCACGTTTTGTTTAGAATTGGCAATAAAGCAGTTTGGTTACGGCTGTGGAGTGTAGTAGAGACGGACGCGCCCGAGCCGGGACTGACACGGCCGTCATGTTATTTTGCAGCAAAAGGCGGACATATTGGCCGGCCGCAGGATATTTGTCAATAATTATTTGGCGGAGCACCGGAGGATCAGCGTGCAATCCGGCGGGAGCTCGCTGCCCGCGCTCAGCCCCACATCGCATCAAAGCGATGAATAAAATGTCCCCAATATATATATAACCAAACCATTCAAAACAATACAAAAAAAAAACAAAGCCGGAGACGCAATACTCCGCGAACGATCTAAAACAACGACGCTCTGCAGGTTTCTATACTGTTAACAGTCCAAACGTAACAAAATTATTACTGCCAATAAAACAAATATAATATAAAATTATATAAATTATATTCTAAATAATTCATGGAATTCTTATTATTAAATTAAACAAAACCTTTCTAAAACTTCTTAAAATGTAAATGCGGTAGATATCGTGAGGTTATAATGTGTACTAAAATATTTAGATTTAAGAGAAATATTAGTGAAATTGCAAAATATATTTGAATAGATTTGTATGTAATTATTATGGTGCACCATTGTTTCGGTCGGATATCTTAGATTTTTAGTAGTGTCATCTGTTTCATTGCCAATATAAAATTAAAATTGAAAAAAAAAATCGGAACACACACTTTCTGATGTATTTATTTTTTACTAAAGATATTGTCAAATAAAAATTACTTTCTGTAAATACATACTTATATATACTTTCATCCTTTTGTAATTAATATTATTATAATATTTATATTTGTTATAAAACTAAAGTATAAAGTACATAATATGAAAAAAAAACGTGCCATTTTTTATATAAATAGAAAAAAAAATAACATATTCACAATTTGTGCTACTCAAGTGCTTTTATAAACGTTTTTAAACTAGGATGATATTTAAATTTGCTTGTTATCGGTTTATTTGTTTTATTTGTATTTTGAAAGAATGCCATTTTTTTTAGATGTGTGTCGATACCGTGAACTGATCATGTTTAAGTGTTATTTAGATATATATATATATATATGTTTTTATAGCGGCTCGAAGCTCGTTGTGTAACTCCTTTATAATTGTGTACCGTAGTGTGTGCAGTGGATCCTTGTATGTCTACAAACACTACCGACACACGACCTGCTAATTCTTAATTTAACTTTGTTTTTGTTGATTTCTTTTATAGTTTACAGATTTTAGCAAAATGTAGTGCAAATAGCAAAATTGAATGCATAGTGCTGGTGGTTAGCACTAGGTTTTAAATAGATGCTGCCGAATGCATGGAGATAAGAGACGGTTGAATCAACAAAGAAAGCAATAAGCAAGATACCTTAGCTACTTATTTCAAGTGTCGTGGTAATGGTACGTGTACATAGAGTATAAATATTGAACGTATAGTACAGTAGTCCGAAACTGAACGGTACACCGTTACCACGATACGCCACTGTGACCTTCTTTATACACTATACACAATTCTCTATAACTCTCTGGTCTTCCATACTTTCCTATTCTTATTTCTTTATCATTCTTTTTTTCTTTTCTTATCCAAGGTATCGGATGTCAAGCAAATTTAACTATCCGTCGATATGTACCTACGGTGGGATATTAGTATATCATATAACGTTTATATGTTAAGTATAATAGCTAAAGTATAATTATTGCTGTGTATTAATTAATACTTAAATGAAAAACTCGTCTAAAGCACTTCGTGTAGTGTTTAAATCGTTGCCTGCTACATGAATGTTAAGATTTAAATATAATATACATAAAATATTATATTAAAATATAAATGATTAATCGTGTCTTGGTGTACCTTAAAACCAAAATTAGATGTAAAATTATTTTTCATTGAAAGATAACTAAATACGCTTATAGTGAGTACTCACACGCCGAATAGTGGATTCTAATATCACTAATATCATAGTGAAGCATGATCTCCTGCTATACCTACCTACCTAAACTGGTACTGTCTGTTAAATGATTATTTCTAACGCTTCTTGTCTCTTAAAATTTAGTAATAAAGTATCTATATTCCAAAGTAACTTTCATTTCACCCAACTGTGCCACGTTGCGGAGCGCTGCATATTAAGGTAACTGGCCATCATGGGAACTGATGTTGTATCGATGTTGGTCCAAATGTTTGTTGTTGGCGGCCCGTGGCCCCCATGGGCCCGTGTATGTCGTACGGTCTAGATCGATGTTAGACTCGCTTAGCGCTTACACGCTACTGTACTGTAGATATGTAGCATCACCAAACTAGATGAAACAAAGTGACGTCACTGCATACACTCCGTGCATCATCTCAGAATATTCGAGTAGCTCCTCGAACTCGTGTGTATGCGTTGACTACGTTCCTATATATATATATATGGATTGGACTGTTCGTAGCTTCTTAGTGATCTGCCATGAAACATGTAAATAGTCCCACACATTTAGGGTTCTGTTAGAAACGTTAAAATAGATATGTAGGTAACTCAGTTGTTTATTTGCAAAATCACAATGTCCATTTATATGCTTTTGTATATAGTTGTTATTATGTAGCTTATTAGTGATTTAGCGACTGACCAAGATTTATATCATCGTATAGATATCTGGTATGTGAGCGACGACGTCGAAACTATGTGTGCTTCACTATCACTAGATCATAATAGTTGGCATGAAGATAACATGAACACGACACATACACACACACACATACACGAGTGCCGTTCATTAAGTACTCACACACATACACAGCAGCACAAAAACAACTGTTTCTTTTTTAATGATTATTACATAAATACATTGATCTGGATGTACCACGCTTCACGGAGCTCGCAACGACCAATGTTGGATAAAACCATATAAATGTTCGATGTCCATGTATCAATGTTTAAATATTATGTTAAGTTCTTTATGTTCTTATTGTTTATATGAGTTGACGTTTCCAAACGAAGTAACGGAGCCCTGGATGGAAAATGTATAAAATAAAGAATAGTTTTAAGTGCACAACCCATGAATGTGCTTCTTAAGGTAATAAATAGGACGAACCCTGCGTTATATATTATTTTGTTTTACTCTGTATTTATATTTATATATATATCTTCTTCCTATAATATATTCATCGCTTCGCGAGGCGCACTGCTTCGTCAGTCCCTGATTTCTATACTTTCTGATATACACATTGTTGGTGATAATACTTCCACTGCTTATCGAACGCCCTTCTAAATTGTGTTTTAATCATTTTTATATGTATCATGAATTATTTCATTATATATATTATATTTATACAAAATAATATATAATTATATATTATACAATTTATATTTAGAATCGCGTTCGATATCAAGCACCGCAAATATCTATGTACAATATCTATTCCTATACAGCCGGGCGGCTGCCCGCAGTCCTAATTTCTCTCTTCGTGTCGTGACTCTTTACTTCATGTTCTCGTTTTTATTTTCTTTTCCATGAATACCCCATTGCACACGGAAGGTCATAGGTGGCGAGTTACAAGAACGCTTGATACCGGTCCCCTACAGCAAGACATCAACCGATCAAGCTGTAAGATTTGATACAATATGTGAAGGAAGCCTGTTTCGTTTCACTCACGTCTCTTGTTAACTATTTTTATGTTGGTTTTTTGTTTTGTTTTTATGTTCAACTGTTAATACTGTACTCTGTCTATCTACCTACAACTGTATCCATTCTGTCTACTATTGTCCCATTATGTCTCGTCTTGTCTACGCTGACCTTATTACTTTCAAAACTTGTCATATATTTTTAATAATTTTTACATATTTTAATATTATATATATATGTTTATAAATGTTGCTTCCAAATTTTTTACATAATTTGAAATTAATAGGTCAGTGTGAAGCTGCATGTTCCAATTTTATCATATTGCATGTATCCTGACGCATGCGCTGTGTTATTCATACAAACTGTAATTTGTAAATATAATCTTATATATTCTTCATAAATCTTTATATTATATATTTATAGCTTTTAATCGACTTCAAAAATTTCTCAATCTTTCTACACGTCAATTTTATTACTTTCATTATATAAATAACTGCATATCTATAAATATTGCATTAATTAATGTATTCTTTCAATTGAAGTCGATTCTTTTTATATTACCTTAAAAATAACTGCTTATGTAAATGTTTGTACATAATCGCCGTATTTCATATTGAATATCTTGTATTCCCACTAAATTAAGTGATAAATATTATAATTTTTTTCTTACTAATTCAACGCTGTGATGAGTATGTAATTGCTGAAACATTATCACGGATGAACAAATCAATGTTAGTTTTACGACGCGGCTCCCAGACTGGACGCGAGAGAATAGCTTTACAGTATTATTTTATGTTCGCCCCATACATCATAGCATTGTAGTAGTGTTTATTTTTTTGCATCACATTCTGCACTAAATCGATCGATCCTGGGTTCGACGCTCTACGAGCAGGGGTTCGTAAGGGACGCTTCTAATTCATAAGAATCTCCGCATAAAATTTATCGCTTTTATCATTAAAATTTTATATATTCTAGGCTAGTGACAGTCGCTTAGTCTTAGGTCATGGGAAGGTTTTGGTCTAGAGGGTCCGTAAGCTTGTACGTTGCTTCAGAAATGTTCGGATATATAGGACATGGAGAGCGCTCGATGTTGCTTAGTATATCATGTGCATAGTTTGTGTATAGGGCAACAATACAGCTTCGCGTACAAGTAGCCAGACCACTAGGTAAACATCCGAATACAGTCACAGAGTAAGTCAGGGAGTACGTTGCATGACACGGCCCGGGCCCGTACACCGACGGCACCGCTCCGGCGACGACATGTCTGTATTCAGAGGTGCAATACTGAGGAAGCAAGTGTGGTTTACCTATCACCGAGTTCACTGCATGGCATGAGGGCCGGAGGCCGCCGGCCGATCTGTGACTGGGATTTTGAATTACCTACCGCTTTCTCGCCTCTTTTTTATGGCTCGGTGTGCTTCCATTTATGTTCATTTGACAATATTATATTATTATATGGACCCGTCGCTCGCTCCCTGCGGCCCGGTACGTTCGCACTCCCTCGTAGTGTCACCGTCGCAGGGAAGCTGGCCATATGCATTTGTGCCGCTCTGATTAAAACTATTCTTTACTTATGAACCGAATCACCTTCGTGCCCTTGTCTTTTTATTACAATCTATTTACAATAAGTAGACGACTGACAATTACTATTTCTACGTTACCCTAGTATTTATAAAATGAAAATATTAATCAAATCTCTTGTAGTATTTCGTAGGACAGGACACATTTAAGAGTTATGTGCTTTCTTCTCCAATGTTAAGTTACCCAATTATGTATTTGAATTCGAGTTTACATTTGTGGATATCAGCCTCTGGGCACCGCTCACGAAGTCCCCGCACTGAGTGGCAACAAACTAACTCCCTCTCACCAACCGAGTCAGCTTGATGGTCGCACGTCGCGTCGTGAAAGGTGTCCATGCAGTCTCTCAGCCTGTCAGAGCGTCACCAATGGCATATTTACGCGGCAACAATTTTTCTGTGCCGAAATCTCGCAGCCAGCGTTTGCACGAAAAAAACAAAACATCTGAACCCAGTTATAGCAAAATCGGCGCTGGTTCGTAATAGGTCATCTAATTTATAGCGCAACTGACCCCCATATCTTATACATTTCCCCGTACTTAAAAAACTGTTTGAAACATGCTGCGACGATGGTTACTGGCGGCGAGATTTCGGCGCCGCAAAATTGCGACCGCGTAAACGCGGCTTGCAAAGCGAGTCGCTCGGTGTGGTGAACTAACCGCGGTGTGGTGGTGGTGGCAGATCCGCGTGGTGAACGCGTTCCGGCAGGGGCTGGACTCGCGCGGCTCGCTGGCGGACGCGGCGCTCGCGGAGGCGCTGCGCAAGCAGACGGCGCTGTCGAAGCGTTTCTCGCACTCGTCGAGTATCGACTACGCAGACGCGGCGCGCGACACGCTCGCGCCGCACGACATCGACGTGGAGCGGCTGTCGTCGCACAGCCACACCGAGACCGCGGTGTAACCGCCGCCGCCGCCGCCGCCGCCCCTGCGCCCCGCGCCCCGCGCCGCCCCGCCCGCCGCCGGCAGTGTCGCTTCTCTATAGATATAGGTATACAGTGCCCGCGCGCCGCAGCTCACCGATGCAATAATTTAGCGATAATATCAGTATTACGCAGGCGCGGCGCGGCGCCGACCGAGGCGCACGGACTTCTCCGACCGTTACGCTGCCATCGCTCTAATTATATTGTAATAATGCTAAAACGATTGTGTATAAAATCATATTTTTAAAGTAACGTGGATGATGAAGTTTCGTATTTGATTTTGAACATGTATGGTTGAGTTGAGGGTATGCCGTGCTCGAGCCCGCGTGGGGCGGCGTCGGCGCCCGGCGCCCGGCGTCCGCCGCACTCTGTACCTACTCACATCCACCAGTGTATTTGAGCATAAGTTATATTGTTAACTAGTGTGTTTAATTATTCGATTGTTTTGAAAATATTTTATTATTATACGCGCGCGTCGTATCGCGCGCGTCTGTTGAACAAATAAAAATATTGTCTAATTATTAATTTTAGATTTAAGCGCAAGGACGAGCGAATGGACGTGTGTTTTTTGAAAATAAAAGTTTTCGCATACCATCGTGTCATCTCTTACACGGAATGAAATGTTTTATATTGCTTTTGTCAAAGACATGTTGTGGGAGTGCCGCGGGGAGGGGGCGCGGCCGCGCGGCCACATCGACTCATCCTTTTGTATAAAGTTATTTCATTTGTAGCGCAGCATCATCGTTTGTACGTACGCCCGAGTGATATTAGCTGCGCAGCGCGCCCCCCCTGCCGCCAGCGCACACTATATATACTTGAACTAAATTATTGAAGTATTCGTTAAGGTGTTTGTTATAAATTTCAATAACTTTTTTTTTTGTTTTTACAACCTTTTTCCCCTAAATCTAAGTATACATTTAAGTCATATCTCGAAGCGTAGACGCATCAACTAAAGGTTTCTACACAAGAACCGTAAAGCAATATTCTTGTGTAAAAACTGACGTAGTCCACTTTAAACATCTTCAAAATGTTTAAAATAGAAATAAACATTAAATTGTATAGCTGAAGGTATTTATTTGTAATGCTAGTCTCATATGAAAACAAAATACTAATTATTCAATTATTATAATGTACTTATTGATTATTGATAAATACTTCAAGTTTATTAAACAAGATATAGTCTACGATGTAACGAATTGATTTTGGAATTTTTTCTCTACGAGCAATAGCGAGGCGCGCGTCGCTGCGGTCCCGCGTCCCGCGTCCCGTACCGCGTACTGGTTACCTGGTATACCGTATACCGCTAAGTACCGCGTAGCCGCTACTAGCCGCTAGTAGCAGCGTACTCGCCGTGCCAGTGCCCGTGCCAGTGCCCATGCCAGTGCCAGTGGCGGGCACGCGTAGCCCGCGGCGAGCGCGCGCCGCCGACACGCGACGTAGGATCACAGCAGTGGCATTTTCAACTTATAACGTAAGACATGTACTTAATCGACTTAGTGACGGGTTGACTCGAGAGTCTCACGAGAGCGGCCGACCGCTCGCCGCCCACTTGTTTTTAGTAATAAATAAATCAAAGCGATCTAGTGAATCGGCAATGTTCAATTTTGTATAGAACGTTTCATAGTAGCGGTATTGAGAAGTTGTTACGTTTTATTTGTGAGGTTCGTAGGCGCGTTCCGTTCCACGCAAGCCGCTGTGTACAGACAGACAGACGCACCAGTACGATAGAGCAAGGACGGACGAGTGGCGCGACAACTATTAAACAATCTTGTAAGTAATTAAGTATTAGCTTCAAATCAATAAAGCCTTTTTAAAAAATTAGTTAAAAATGAAAACTATTGAAACTTCACATGTTTAAATAAATAATAAATAGTTATGATTTCAGTGAATTAGAGAGTTCATGGTATCGTTTTGTGTATTCTGTATTTTTTGGTTGTAATTCGTTACCAGTACCCCAATGAAAGACATAAATTAGGAGTCTACTGTAATGTAGTGCCGGACGCGGCCGCCGGCTGCGAGCCGGACGTACCTAACAATAAATTGTTTTGACACGACAGTCTGCCACTAACCATTTTAGGTGATAAGTCCCATTGTTGTATTTTTCGTCTCACAATAAATGAAAATCTATTTTATTGTTTTTAATACTGTGGTTTTATTTATTCCTTCGCGAGTGTGTCGCCCGCCAATTTCGCTAAATAAACATTAAATACTTGTAATTAGTTCCATCCTTTTAATTGGGAAATTCTATAGTTATTTACACACGTATGTGCATAATAAAAATATTTTATAATAATCACAATGGAACTATGGTCAGGCAGGTGGCCGGTCGTAAAACTAAAAACCAAATCTTTTTGTAATATGAATAAAATCATATTACGCCGACCCCAAATGATTGGGATAAGGGTAGGAAGATGATGAAACACTATGGAACTAAATATAAGTATTTAAAAAAACATATAATCAGTATAATGAAATTGAAATAAAAAAAAAACTATATTAGATATCAAAAACCTGTGCAGGCGAGGTACAATACTTGGCGTTATTTTAATCAGTCATTATAAAATTATACGCGATCGACAGAGATATTTGTCGTACGCCGTTAAAATTGCCCGTCGTCTACACAGGTTTGCGTCGTTCATCTTGATTATGGGAATATATATCAACTAATTTTCCCCATAATAAATAACATACTATTATATAATATGTCAATTGGGAACGTCCATTATATACAATTCTTAAAAATTTGGACCTTACTCTCCGTCACTTGATAAGACGTGGTGCCTCACCTTTCTATTCTACCTTAGTGAGAATTTAAATGTATTTATTACATTGGTGACTTTTTTTTCCATTATCTCTTAAACACCAATCTTCTAATATTTTTATACCAATTAAAATTGACGACAGATTTTCATTGGCCATATAAATAAATGAGATTAGAAAAAATACCAGCCCCCCTCTCCCTCCTTAAGTTCACGTAATCAATAGATTCCCATTGCCCTTCAGGTCGAAATATTTTTTTTATACAACTTAGAATGGCAAACAAGCTGACGGCCCACCTGATGGAAAGTGGTAACCGTCGCCTATAGACATGAGCAGTACCATGGACATAACAGAGTATACTGTTTCGCCCATGATACCCCCCATGCGTTGCCATTCCTGAGGACTCAGATGTTATTCCTCTGTACCCTGTAAATTCACGCCATATCCCATCCTTCAAACCGAAACACAGCCACGCAAACAACTGCTTCACGGTTGAAACACGAATGGTAAATCAATACTGCTTCATACCAGAAATAGGCAAGCCAGTATTAGATACCAGATTAATTACATAATGCACTAACCCTTATACATAAATACTAGAACATGGTACAAACCTATTTTATCTGTTAGTGTTTTATCATTGCCTTTTAAATTGAGAATTTAACGCAAAAAGACAAATCACTTCAAAAGCTAAAATACGTTTAAGAGAGATGGACGTTTTTATGAATAAGGGGAACAGTATTAACCCATTATTAAGAGAGAAATAAAAGCACAGATATAATAAAAAAAAAGTTTTATATACATAATGAAATAATACATTTACAATTGAAATAGACGCGACATTACAAATATTACAAACATACTTAGGGGTACATATCACTAAATATAAGATCACGTGATCTCATTCATCACATTGGGAATTGATATTTTGTCTCTAGCATCAGGCATCACTTTTTTACCCAACAATAAAAAAAAATATTAGCACTTAAATGCGCCAGTGAGTAAGTAAATTGAGAAATAATATTATATATTTGATAGTACAAAAACCTTCACAGATGAAGATCAGTCAGTATTTTAAATACACTATCAGGAATGAAATTTTTTTTGCAAGTAAATAGTACCTACATATCTGTTTCTTTATTGCGTTAAGTCCCGATAGTGTGTTTAAAATGTGTTTAAACAACGCGAAAGCTTAAATTAACTACCAGTCAATGAAAATATAAAATTAATACATAAAAATTGAGACCTCTCTCACTATATTGCTCGCGACTATGAGGTGGTCAGTTACATTTTATAAGAGCTTAAAGCTCGGTCGTATGATCTTATTCTTGTAGACATACAAGTATTATACAAGTTGACCAATTGTTTACTTTTAGAGTTAAGTAACACAGATCAGATATGGATATACATTTTTTTTTATTATAACAAAAATTGAGAAATTACAGAAAACATATTCTGTTAACATACAGAAACCACGTAGGTTTACATTAATGCTAAATACATTGAGACAATTCAAGTTGTATTATTTGTATTATCATGCAAGAAGAATTAAAACAGGGATGGGCGGCAGCGTTCCTCTTAAATCATCTCTAAAGCTTAACTGCGATTGCCAATCCGCCTGCCAAGCGTGGCAATTACTGGCAAAACCCCAAAGGGGGAGGCTAATGTTCAGCAGTGGACGTGAAAGGTTGATATGACGATGAGGGTCCATGCGAGGTTGCGCGCGCAGGAAAATTTGTTAATGCCATTCTTTCAAACGTTTTAAGGATTTGTTGAATACTTCAAGTACTCTATTCCCGTAGATTTACGTCAAAATTATTATATTTTAATTTAGGATGGTGCATAAAACAGTTACAATTGGGTTTCTTCAAAAAAGGTATATTACAATTTCTTCAGAGTCGGCAACGCGCACGTGACACCCCCAGTGTTGCAGACACCCATAGGCTATAGTGACCGTTTACCATCAGACGGGCTGTATGCTTGTTTGCCACCTTTGTGATATAAAACAAAAATCGCGAAATTATTAAATTAAAATATTACTTTAAGCGATAAGTTTATAGAAATTGCACCTCAGAATCGGCGCCATTATTGATAATTCTATCAATTAGTCAAAACAGAATAAAGTCCAGAATGTTCGTATAACATATTGTTTTATATAAAAAAAATATATTTACACATTTATATACATGTCACACTAGTGGAAACTGATGAGGCTGGGCGGCGGCTCCGGCGGCATGAATGGAGGCACCGACGTGTTCGGATCTGTAAGGACAAAAAATATTTCAATTATATGATACTTGGTTTCAACCTGAAACGTCATCTGTAATCCGAGTATATGACTGTACCGAAATAATAATTAAATTCATGATCCAAAAAAAAAAAAAAGAATTTTCCAAATCGGTTTACAATTGACGGAGTTATGAGGTAACAGAAAAAAAATGACCGTTTGGTCCCGGCATAGAACAGGCCACCCCTTCCTTTTCCGTGGGTGTCGTATATGGTATAAAAGTAATGAAATAATGAGGCGAAGACTATATCCATCATATTCCATCAGATTACTTGTTCGCCAAAAACAAGTTGCATAAAATATCCTACAAATTTTCAATACAACTATTCACTATTTGCAACGCCACCTTTTAAATTTAAAAGCCAATAAACAAGTTATGTAATTTGAAGAACTGATAAAATCAGATAAGGGGGAGACGAGAAAAGATTCTCGAGTGGCATTTAGCAATGGTACCAGTGACACAGTTTAATTATTGTTAAATGTAAAAAAATAATAAATCAATAATAACGTCATAATCTCCCGAGGGAGAGGCCTGTGTTGCAGTGGACGGCCAACGGCTGATATGATCATAAACGTCATAATAATATTATTGTGTCAATTAATTAATTAACTTTGTTATATTATTCTAATAATTCTCATACTTTACCCAATATTTTGAGTTACTTTTCAATGAGCGAGCCCAAAACAAAATATTTCCTGAGAATAGCCCGTCCAAATATAATGTTATATATCAAACTCACAGAGCAACAGGCGGTTTGATACCATCATCATTACATGATAATTTGGAAGACAACTAGTAACAGGAATATAGTCCTCAGGTAGGCGAGGTTCTTATTTGTCAATCGACTTTACACAGTGAATCTAGATTATCCGAATATTCGATTATCCGGACATATTCTTCACGGCTCTCTAATTACCGATTTAGAAATGGTATTTATTAATTTGGTAAGTATATATTATTATAATCCTTTATCGTTACAGCTCATATTTTTTTTGTATCGTATTCTCTATGTACGGAAATGACGTATTTAAACAACTGAACATAATAAAATAAATATTAAAATATTATTATTGTGTGATTTGACTTTGAAATCGATTATCCGGATTTTCGATTATTCGGAATACCCCTCGCTGTATTTGATTCGTATAATCGAGACTCGAGTTGGTCTGACTTGAGCACTGACCGAACTTGTGGTGCGGGTGCGGCAGCAAGGCGTGCGGCGGCGGCAGCGGCAGCAGCGGCGGCGCGGCGCGGCGGCGCAGCAGGTGCGCGGGCGGCGCGGCGGCGGCGGCGGGCGGCGGCGGCGAGCCGGGCGGCGGCGGCGGCGGCGGCGGCGGCGGCAGCGCGTCCCACAGCGGCACGTGGTCCGGGTGCGACGCCGGGCACGGCCACGCGCACCCGTACCGACGGGCCTTCTTCTTCTGCACACCAACGCACATACATATATATTAGGGAGGGGAAGGGATTGTTAGTAATGGGGAAGTTTTTTTTAATGGATGATAATGAAATGGTAACCCCGTCTACGCTATCGGTATACACTGGTGGGGCACCAGTGAAGGATGATAAGTGAGGATGGAGCAGGCCAGTTAGCCCATCGTGACGACTTCAACAAGAATTCTTCACGGTGGTTTCCAGGGGTAACCACGTAGGGCGTATTACTAGCAATGGGGCTATCAAACTCAATTGCTAACAATCCCTTTCCCCCCGTAATAGGTAAGTTAATCTCCATTGCTATCAATATACTCTATCAGGTCGACCTCCATGCGGTTCCCCCTGGAAACTATCGTGACTAATCACAATGGGCTAACTGACCTATCTTCATCCTCATCCCACATTTACCATTCCATTATCATCCATTAAAACATTACATGTTCATCTTCAAACGACCTCAGTCGTATGACGAAATGCTTCAATATTTTCCGATAGTCGGATTCAATCTTCTCACAATACACATATCACACTAATATTTTAAAGAGATTTTTTTTTATTTATGTTGAATAAACTAAAAAAAAAAAATACTTAACTGATTTCAAAAATTGTTTTACCTATAAAAAGCTACAATAAATAAAATACACTCCATGTAATTCGCTAGTACACACTGTATTTCATTAAAAAAAATGCAAATCTGCAGCAAATTGTAAATATGGCTTGAAAGATAATAAATCACTGAAAACAAGGGGCTTACCTTCTTAATCGGCGGATCCTCTGTGTCTGAATCCTGGCCGGGCTTGTATCCGTCCGCGAAGCTGACACGCTTACCCGATTTCGATAACGTTTTGCTGCAACATACATAGTTCGCCATGTCACATATCTGTATATGTTGTATTGGTATTACTATCCAAAAATACGTGTGGTATAAATATAGAATACTCCATCCTCTCTTTCTATCTCCATTTTGATTTTCATATAAAAAAAAAATCGGAACACCTATCATAAAGACTTACGTATGCAAGATTCCTTTCCCATCTTTATCTGCGTCAGTCTCTGGCATTTCCTTTGCAACGTCGCCCAAAACTGAAATATAGTTTTAATACATAGTTAATAATAAATATAACAATGTTATTTTAGTCTAGGTATATTTAAAAATCTTATTGTACGACATAAAGAAATTCCAACTTCGGTACTATATATATAGTTTCTGGTACTTCGAGCCGGATACATTTTACTTATACACTAGACAGAACTATTGTATATTCAAATGACTGACTAAGTTATTAAGAATATAAGTGCTTAAATTCTATATTACGTTACTTGTTGAAATATTACAAGTTATACGATTTGAAAAAAAGAAACTGTTACCTAATAAAATTCTAACGATAACTACTTACTATAGATATTATCATACCCTTGCAAAAAAAAATACCCAAACTCTAAAAAAGATTCCAAAAAAGAAAGTTTTTTTTATCACGTTTATTTATCATATCAAAAAATCTCTTAAAAAATTTGTTTACAACTATCTGTTCCACGCAATAAACATGGGTAATATTGATACCAATCCGATATCTATATATTGGGTACATTTATAGTACATTGATTGCGAAAAAAAGGTCATTTCGATATCGCCCATATCGGTCGGATATCTATTTTCGAATATGTTAAAAATCTGTTATTCAATATAACTTTTTGGAAAACTTGTATCCTGTAACTTGTATTTTATGTATAAATTATTTGAACAGACTTACAACATATTCGTCATTGGATTAGTATTTTTTTTTTATACAACTTAGAATGGCAAACAAGCTGACGGCCCACCTGATGGAAAATGGTAACCGTCGCCTATAGACATGAGCAGTACCATGGACATAACAGAGTATACTGTTTCGCCCATGATACCCCCATGCGTTGCCATTGCTGAGAACTCAGGTGTTATTCCTCTGTACCCAGTAAACGCACGCCATATCCCACCCTTCAAACCGAAATACAGCCATGCAAACACAACTGCTTCACGGTTGAAACACGAATGGGACAGAGGTAGCCAAGCAATCGACTTTTGTACAAAGTCTCCCTCTAGTAGTAGTATTGCAACTAAAATATATAGATATTGCTATATATTATCATCCCTATCACTCAATACACTGACCTGTATTCTGAAGTGCAAGATGTATCCGTGCGTCGAGGGATCGTCTTCCGGTGGGGCGCTGTTGTTGCTCAGGCTCCGAAGGCGGCTGCTCGGGCTCCGGTGACAGTTCAGGGGCAAGCTGCGGCTCCGGTGCCGGCGCGAAGCAATCTCCATACTGCAGGCGGTCCGCCGCACCGTACATGTCCATGTACGCCTCATCGTAGCTGTATGGGAAACTGGACCTTGGATATTATAATTAAAATACATGCACAACACACATTGGAATAAACTTGAAACCACCACCGGTCCTCCCTCTTTATCTTGGTAATTTGCTTGGTGACTTTGTAAGGGTGATCGATCAACTGACCTGGTGGTCTACCATGAAATGAAATTCCGAATTTTCGGGCTCAATTTCGTGTTTTTGTTCGTACCGAAATCGAGCCAGTAAATGGAGCTTAACATTTCGTTCATCATAAATCCTATCCTAATAGTTCAGGGGAACGATATTTTAACATTTTTAATAATTTCAAACGGCATGTATTATGTAATTTTAACATCAAATTTCTGTTTCGTTCGTCCCCGAAATTTCGGAATTCATTTCATGGTAGGCCTACTGACAACATCCACACCTATCTCTCACTGGTGCTCTAGCAGCGATATATCGACAGTACAAGCGGGGTTACCATTTCATTATCTCTCATAAAACAGAGGCTGGAATCTATTCCGGAGTATTACCTAAAACTTAAATTTGATATTGCATTTTAACCAATGCTAAGGACAAAAAGGAGTTACAACTATTATCAAACGAATATTTCATGTTATTATTTTTACATGAGTCGATAACTGTCTAGTGCTGAACATAGGGTTCCCCATAAAGGGGTTTACTAGTATTTGCTACACTTGGCAAGCAGTTGGCAATCACAGGTTTTGGTGATCTTAAGAAAGACTGCTGCCCCTCCCTCGACCATAAGTTCCCTAAGTAGCCTCTTATGACAACCATGGGGAAAGAAGGAGTGGCCACCCTGTGTTGGAACAACACAGCAATGTTTCAAGCGTTTTACAGTTAATCATATCAATCTTACTTACAATTCTATTCCACTGTATTTGACTTTCAGAAAACAAAGCAAAAATATGCAACTTAGAATGGCAAACAACTCCTTTTTATGCAACTTAGAATGGCAAACAAACTGACTGCCCACCTCATAGAAATTAGTAACCGTCACCTATAGACATGAGCATATACCATGGATATAACTGAGTATACAGTTTCGCCTATGATTGATGAGGACGTTGTTATTCTTCTGTACCCTGTAAATTCACTGCCATATCTGACCCTTCAAGCCGAACACAGCCATGCAAACACAACTGCTTCACAATAGAAACACGAATAGGACAGAGGTGTCCAAACAAACGACTTTTGTACAAAGTCTCCCTCTAGTGTAAGTACGTTGACGTTAAAACTATCCAGCTCACCTAATGGACACATTATCGTGGCGGTTGGCGAGGCTCTCGATGCGGTACACTGGCTCCACGGTCTGGATGGGGAACTGTTCACTGCCGCCTGTCAGTACGATGTTCACTTCACCCGGTTTCAGACCTGATTTCATCATATTATCATCAATCGATATAGATCAATCTCAAATGAAATATAGTTCAGTACACAATTATAGGGGGAAGCGATTGTTAGCGAATCTTTAAAACTACGCAACGGATTTTGAAGAAGTTTTTTTTAATAGATAGAGTGATTCAAGAGGAAGGTTTATATGTAGAATACATGCATAATATTGTAGAAAAACACTGATAAATTTAGAGATTTCTAATGTGATGTCGTAAATAAAAAAAATATTTCCGAAGATATTACAGATTTAAAATGCAGGGACATAGCAGTGTGGCGGTACCGGCCCGGCCGGCGGCGCGTGCCTATAAATAGCGCTAGAAAGCCGCGCTTCGCCCTATAGCACTTTATCATGTTTGTATTGTCTAATGTCATAAAAGCTGTAAACGTTGTTGTTATAAGGACATTCTTTAGTAGGTAGGTATATTTAGTATCAGCATTGCAGCCGTGTGAGGCCGGGGCGGGTCGCTAGTATTATATAGATGTCAACATATTTACACATCGTGCTACATTCCAAGTGTATACATGAGGGTGGGTTAACTGACCTGTCATCTTTCATCCTCACCTATCATCCCTCACTGGTGCCCCGCCAGCGTATACCGTTAGCGTAGGCGGGGTTACCATAACATTATATTTAATTGAAGTACACAATTATGTAGTACAGTAGTATTTTTTATTTTATTAAGAGGGAAAACCTAAAAGTGAAAATGTTTCCCAGTGACTGATTTTTTTTTTATGGGTGAAAATGGTATGGTAATAACCCCGCCTGCGCTAAGGGGATACGCTGGCGGAGCACCAGTGAAGAGTGATCGATGAGAATGAAAACAGGCCAGTTAGCCCATCATGATGAATTCATCAGGAATTTACCATGATAGTTTCCAGGGGGAACCGCGAGGAGGTGGACCTGATTGGGTATATTGCTAGCAATGGGATACTGAGTTTCCTTTACTAACAATCCCTCCCCCCCCCCCCCCAGTGACTGGTTAGTGGAGTACGTACCCCAGCGCGAGGGCCGGTGCGGCGCGGGCGCAGGTCGGTCGCCGGCGCGCCAGTCGCACTTGATCTCGCCGCGGCCGCGCGCGCGCACCACCGTCTCGATGCGCCGCGACTCGTTCGCCGGCGGAGACGCGGCCTGCAAACGTGTCTACGATACCGTCATATTGTATCGATTTACCAGAGGAAGACTTTGTACAAAAGTCGATTACTTTTTTTTTACACAACTTAGAATGGCAAACAAGCTGACGGCCCACCTGATGGAAAGTGGTAACCGTCGCCTATAGGCATGAGCAGTACCATGGATATAACAGAGTATACTGTTTCGTCCACGATACCCCCCATGCGTTGCCATTCCTGAGGACTCAGGTGTTATTCCTCTGTACCCAGTAAATTCACGCCATATCCCACCTCTGTCCCATTCGTGTTTCAACCGTGAAGCAGTTGTGTTTGCATGGCCGTGTTTCGGTTTGAAGGGTGGGATATGGGCGAAACAGTATACTCTGTTATGTCCATGGTACTGCTCATGTCTATAGGCGACGGTTACAACTTTCCATCAGGTGGGCCGTCAGCTTGTTTGCCATTCTAAGTTGTATAAAAAAAATATACTTTGTACACTACCTACACCATCCATATTACCATCCTTACGCACGTCCTATGCAAATAGGTGTCTCAGGGGTCTATTCTGAACCCACTGTTATTTTTAATTTATAACAATAATCTTTTTTTGCTGTTTAGTAAAGAAGTATATTTCTTATTAAATAGTATATAATTTTATAGAAATTTCTAACAAAAAATATCGATCATACGTTAGTGTCGATTACCTAGTAAATGATTTATTTATTTTCATTTTTCAACAATACGTTTATGTTCCTCGGTTTTTTTTAAATACAGTAGAATATCTGAGCCCAAACTGTATAAAGTTTTAATATAAAATTATGAAATGAAAATAGCAGTAGCATACCTGACTGGCAACATCGCTCTGGTACGCCATTGCCAACTGTTCATACATTTCGTAGTTGCCTTGTTCGTAGCTCTCATACTTGTCCTCTTCCAGTTCCAACCCCTTCTGGTACAGCCCCTGACCTTGACTGGCGCTGATGACATCATTAAAACTATAGTTGGAGTTCTGCGACGACGGCCGGAGGTGACTCTCGTCTTTTTCATACGCCGGCGGGTCTTTGACGCTACATACAGACTCTTGTGACGAACACTGGGACGCGTTAGACTCGTCCACGACAGGGATTTGCGAAATAACTTGAGGTACTTCAAAAACTGTTTCTTGGGGTTCCTGTAAGTTTATTGTTATTTTAAGCAATTTCGCCATATCTTTAGGCTAATTTTGAACCAATTTAGATAATTTTTTATAGGGCATTGCCTCTTATCAATTTGTCATGTCTGAAGTCCCTTTTTTGAAATTTCTTTAATTATTTATTATAATAAATCCTTAATAGACAAATCATGATTCAACAATTATTTCATTAACAAAAAAATCCTCACGTTTTGACATACAAGAGTAATGCTTTCAAGACTCGCATAATCACTAACACTTTTGTGTATAATAATAACATATAGTATAATACAATTACAAGAAGTAAAAAATAACAATAAACTAATCTACTTAATTGGTGCAAATGTATATGTTTTAGACTTACATCAATAGTTATTTTTATAGGTTCTGGCAACTGAATGTGTTCTAGATCAAGCTCCAATACAGGCTCGACCTTACTCGCTTCCACAACAGCACTAGGCTCCACAACGGCAGTGTGTGTTTCAGTCGTAACTTCTTCTTCTACAGGCTTCTCTATTTTCTTTTCTATTTCTTTTGTTTCTTCTTTTTCTTGCTTAATGTGTATATTATTCCCCACAAAATCATTTTGCAACTCTTTAACATTAATAATTTCTCTAGGCTTCTGTTTTCTTGGTGAGAACATTCTTTCGTCGTCAGTCAACCTTTCCGTTTTAATATTATTTAGTACATTAACATCAAATAACTCCTCGCTCTGGCTCGATTCAGATGTTGAATGCTTTCTTTTCTTCTCTTTGTTTTTCTTTCTTTGCGCTTCCTTTTTCTTCTTTCTTTTATGGTCAGTGTCCATTTCTGAGCTGCTGTCGCTACTCGATGAGGAACTTGTCGATGTCGATTTAGCACGAGATTTCCTTTTCTTTTGTGCCTTTTTCAGTTTTAGTTCTTTTTTCTTTTTAGCCTTTTTCTCCTTTCTGCTTTCTATGAAACCACATATTTAATGTTATTACACGATTAGAAGGAATTATACAGTATGTTAATTAAAGTAATCCATTCCTTAAAACTAGTGTTAGTATTCATTTATTAAAATTTATTTAATCTTATTGGGTTCCAAAAAATTTTTATTTTTTCTTAAAAAAACCTAAAAAACTAAAGAAATTGTTGAAAAACAAATAACCTGTGTCTATACTAACGACACTATTCAGTACAAGGCATGTACATACCTATTACTGTAGAATAGATTTCGCTAATTAACAACTATATATACCAAATATGATATTAATAGAATTATTAATCACTGAGGCTTAGTTATTTTTAAAAATTGATACCAAAGCTATAAAAATTATATCAAAATTCTTTTTTTCAAATATTTATTTATATAATCGTATTCAAATAAAATATTAATACCCGTTTCTTCATCTTCCGAATCGGACATCTTTTCCAATTTTACCAATTTCCTCTTTTTCTTTTCTTTTAATCTCTTCAAATACTTTTTATTAAAGCGACGTCGTTTGGCGGACTTCGACTTTTTGCTGGCCTTTATGAAAGAAATAAATATATATTTTATCCCGCTTATTTATAAAAACATTGTCTACAGAAAGAGAAAGAATATAGGAAACATTAAGTAAACATTGAAATGTTCTCTTTTTCTGTAAAAGTATTAAAAATATAAAAAATAAAATTACAAAACACTCTTATAGTTGATATAATTTTGTAACAACATCCTACCTGCCATTTTAAATTTTATAAGGGGATATATATATATATATTTTATATATGAGCAGTGAAAATTCTGATAAATAAATATGTCACAAAATCAGACATGACAATAAAATATTTATTCAAAATTAAGTAGAAATAACATTACTTAAATAGCTATTGAAATAAATGACTCCTTACCTTCTTCTTGGATGCCTTCTTCTTCTTGGGAGCAGTTTCATCACTATCAGACAGAGTAGAGATCGTAGAAGATGAAGAATGCTTGCGTTTACGGACTTTCTCTTTTTCCTTTTCCTTTATTATTTTCGTCTTTCTGCTAAAAAAACAACAACATTATACCACGAAAATATAAATTAATTTAATTTCTTTAATTAAAATAATATGTATGACTAGCGGCCCGTCCCGGCTTCGCACAGGTGGACATTTTTACATTTTAAAAAGTGGCCATTAAGGCTGCACACGCGACGGAAGCTTAAAAATGAAGTAACTTCTCCCGTTTTCCCAACATTTCTCTTCACTGCTCTGCTCCTATTGATCGTAGCGTGATGAAAATATACTATAACCTGCCCAGGAGTATGAAGAATACTTGTACCAAGTTTCGTTAAAATCTGTCGAGTAGTTTTTGTTTCTATAACGAACATACAGACCGACAGACAGACAGACAAAAATTTTACTGATTGCATTTTTGGCATTAGTATCGATCACTAATCACGACCTGATAGTTATTTTGGAAATATATTTCATGTACAGAATTGACCTCTCTACAGATTTATTATAAGTATAGATAGATCATCATCTTCCTACCCTTATCCCAATTATTATTTGGAGTCGGCGTAATATGGTTTTATCCATATTACTAAAGGATTTGGCTTATAGTTTTACGACCAGCCGCCTGCCTGACGTCAATCCTCTTTGGGAATATATATATATATATATATATATATATATATATATATATATATATATATATATATATATATATATATATATATATAAATTATAAGTATAGATAGATATCAACACGAAAGTATACCTTAGAAATTTCCAGAGAAATCATAAAAATAAATGTTCAATTTCAGAAACTCTTACATCTTGACGTCATTTAAAAATACATCACTTTTACTATTAGCTTTACAATTACAGGAGGTCAATGGATTATGACGGTGACGGTATACAAACCTTTTCTCCATATCTTCCTCAACATCCGACTCCTGACTCCATCCCTCGCTGCTCAACTTTATCTTTTTAGCTTTTCTCTTTTCTTCCGTCTCAATCTCCTCTTCGCTTTTCTTTTTCTTCCTACTCTCCTGTCGGACAGGTGTCGTGCTTCTAGACGCGTCAGGTTTTGCCTCGGAACTGACTTCTGGCCAAACGGCTTGCATGAATCTGAAATATTAAGTTTAACTCGGATTGTATTTTTTTTTTTTTTGTAATTTTTTTCTTTTAATAAGCAAATAAAGCATAGAGTTTAAAGATAATCTGCGATTGAAACTAGTCGAAGAAACTAGTTTCAGCGAAATAAACTCAACAACAGTTTTACTTGTAAAAACCTATTTTAAGATTAACACGAATTATCTTTCTGATGGTATGACGATATATTGTTTAAGTACCTACAAATTTACACACAAAACATATGTGTTGAAACTAGTTTCATTGCATAATATGGATCTGTATATAAAGCATAACATATATGGTGCAAAACTAATACTTTAAATAACATATATATATATATATATATATATATATATATATATATATATATATATATATATATATATATATATATATATATATATATATATATATATATATATATATATATATATATATAATGTAAGTAACCAAAAGATAAATTATATATATAATATTATTTTTATATAAGTAATATGTTAAAGAAACATTATTTTTCATAATAGTATAAACAGAATAGCACTTAAAACTATACAAAACGACCGACATTTCTGAACACATTATAAAAAAAAAAATATTCTCACAACTCTAAACCCTAATGGGGTAGACAGAGGCATTTGTCGACTGTCGCCGTTATGATGAACGTAACGCTCGACAAACCCACAATTCGCCGAGCAATTGCAATCCTACGTGGCAGGCCGCGTGACTCGACGTTTTGACCAATCTGGGTCGTTGTTAATGTTTTACATTAGCCGAAAGTTAGTAAATTATAAATCAGATATATCCCTTTGCAAAATACTATAATCAAGATTTCGCTATAAAATTTACTACGTATAGTGGCTTTTTCAGGAATGTCTGTCGATATGTTCCGTCCAGTAAGGTCGTAACATAATCTAACCTTTGGTACTCTGTGTCAAGACAAATCTCCTCATTCCTCTGGGGGGTCAGTGACCTCTCTTTGACATTCGATTTAATCGCTGACTCGACACTTTCATTCGTGTCGCATTCATTGCTTTTAGATCTGAACAATTGTAATTATATTTAAATAAATATAACCATTGAGTATTCTGACACTTCCCTATGGTTGACTGGGAGAGAATGCTTTTAGCATTAAGTCCGCCATGTATACATGTATGTACTAATGAATAAATAAATAAATAAATAAAGTTCTTTCCACTATACGATCATCGTAAAGAGTCAAAAAACTTATCAAATTACTGCGTTCTAATACTACTTAACTAGCCGATACCCGCGGATTTGTTTCCGCGGACCTTTTTTTATGCACTTTAGATAATTTTCACCTACAGAGGTGAACCATGGACTGACAGAATACACCATATGTCCCTGATATCTAGCATCCGTTGCCTCTGCTAAGAACTAAGACTTTTTTTTAATGGATGATAATGGAATGGTAACCCCACCCGCGCTATCGGTATAAACCGGCGGGGCACCAGTGAAGGATGATAGGTGAGGATGAAGTAGGTCAGTTAGCCCATCGTGACGAATTCAAAAAGATTTGTTCACGATGGTTTCCAGGGGGAACCACGTGGAGGTCGACCTAATAAGGCATATTGCTAGCAATGGGGCTGTCAAACTCCATTGCTAACCACCCCTTACCCCCCAGAACTAAGACGTTATGTCTTATACCAAGGGTGGCCGACTTGACTAGACCCAAGATCTACTGTTTACTGACGAAACCATGTGCGATCTACCTATTACATACATCTTGAAATCTCAAATGAAACAACATAGTTCAATACACAATTATAGGGGGGAAATGGATTGTTAGTAACGGAGACTAAGAATCCCATTGCTAACAATATACCCAACCACGTCGACCTCCTCGCGGGTCTCCCTGGAAACTATCATGGTCAATTCTTGATGAATTCATCAAGATGGGCTAACTGGCCTGTTTTCATTCTCATCTATCACCCTTCACTGGTGCTCCGTCAGCGTATCCCGTTAGCGCAGGCGGGGTTACCATATAATTTTCACCCATCAAAAAAAAAATACAGAATTATGTAGTTTTATAGTATTTTTTATTAAGAGGGAAAACATAAAACTGAAAATTATTCTTGATAACTACTTATTTATATTAGTGTGAGCATTGCGTCTGAGCATCTACCGCTAGATTAGCAAAATTCTTTTTTCTTTGTCACGATCGACCGGTAGGCCACCCCTTCCTTATACTCTGTAATTTCACCGTCATGCATTCTTCATGCCGCAACACAAAAGGAAGAAGAGAATTGTTAGTAATGGGGTTCAGTGACCCCATTATTAACAATACACCTTAGGTAAGGGTCAGACAATCCACACAGGGTAGCTCGACTCCAGCAGATTCCCATTGGAAATCATCCTGGATATTTCGTGGCTAATTTGTCATGGTGGGTTAACTCACTTAGATTTCACTTTATTTTCACCTATCATCATTGATTGGTACCCCGCCAGCGTATACTACACCAGAGGGAGACTTTGTACATAAGTCGATTGCTTGGGTACCTCTGTCCCATTCGTGTTTCAACCGTGAAGTATTGTGTTTGCATGGCTGTGTTTCGGTTTGAAGAGTGGGATATGGCGTGAATTTACTGGGTACAGAGGAATAACACATGAGTCCTCAGGAATGGCAACGCATGGGGGGTATCATGGGCGAAACAGTATACTCTGTTATGTCCATGGTACTTCTCATGTCTATAGGCGACGGTTACCACTTCCCATCAGGTGGGCCGTCAGCTTGTTTGCCATTCTAAGATGTATAAAAAAAGAAAATACTAATAGCGCAAGCGGAGTTAACATTTTCATCCCTTAAATAAAATGTACTCCAAAGATTTTTTTTTTAAAGATAATAATGGAAAACCTGCGCTGTCGGTATACCTTGACGAGGCACCAGTGAGGGATGAGTGGTGAGGATAAAAGCAAGTCAGCCCATTGTGACAAATTCCACAAGAATTTGTCACGATGGGCTAACTGGGAAAACCGCTTGGAGTCGACCTGATGGGGCATATCGCTAGCAATGAGTCTATTACAACCGCGTTACTAACAATCCCTCCCCTTCCTCCTCCCAAGTAAAATGTTAGTCATCTCCAACCAACCTCTGATACTGCCTGTCTAAGTAAATGTCATTTGTTCTCTGCGGGGTCATTGACCTTTCCTTCTCTTTGGGTTTCCCCTTCGGCAGGTCGATCTGACTGTCCTCGATCTCCCACTCACTTGATAGTTGCAGGCTACTATTGGTTGGAACACAGAAGTCGAATTGAGGGTACCACGTTCGGGCAGTGGGGAATGGAGAATCTGGAATCCTGTGCAAAGTATTTATTTAGGTTAATATTTATTTACACTTTATTGCATCATTTATAAAAATAATAAATACACTTAATTGTAATATAAAGAAATACAAAAGGCGACCTTAGCGTAATCTCTTTCAATTAAGCAATCTTTGGGTAGAGGACATTGAGATAAAAGACAAAGAGTTGGTTACATTATGAGTGTAATATTTTTAAAATTTATGTTCATTTTATTCGCCTAATTTCAATAAAGACAAAGGGTGGACAAGCCTGGATAACATGTCTGCATGGACGTCGGAGATCGATACACGAATTAAATGATGATACAGTAAGCTATGCATTCCAGACTGTATTGGACAGCTCAGAAGAGAGCAGCAGCGAAGTCCTCCACAGCCAACTACAAAGACACTGATCATGGCCACTGATCTCTGACAGCACTTGTTCGAGCTTAATCGAACGGCAACACTAAAAGCCGTCGGTTGGCTTCGGTTTGGGTCGGCTCTGTTCGCCACTTCGTGTCACGCCACCGACGGAACCTTATGCGTATTTTCATTTTATTATTGCTTTAGTAGTAATTGAAATAACTTCAACGAGAATTATAACTGTTTTTTCATTATATCATTATCCTTTACTAGTAAAGGCCTAAACAATACGTACCTATGGTGAAATAATTTCAATGACTGGATAATATTGTAACAAACTCTTGAAGTATTTCTAAAGTAAAAAAAAAGGGTTGTTTCTCTGTCTCTCCTGTTCGCTGTGCCCAACAGGGTCCATAATTGAAGTTGTAATATTATGTAAATAATCACATTATGGAATCCAATAAGAAATAAATAAATAAAACAATTGGTCCTTCGACATAAAGAAGACAACAAATTGGTCTTCAGATAAGAAAAAAATAAGAAACAATTTAACAACAACCGCTATCTCCGCCCCCATCACCGCTCGCACCGACGTCCTTCACGGGCTCTGCGAGCTGCAGCCTACAGTGCGAGGTGAAATGCTGTGACGCATAGTAACTTCCCACCTCCTCTCCCACTGACGAAAGTTTCCGAATGTAGTCGGAAACGATGAACATAGTAAATTTTAAAATTCCCGTTATACTATCTACTAATACTACCAGTAACCTCTGCCGAATTTAGTCGCTTACCTAGTCCCTACCGTGAAAATTTAAAGAAATTTAGCAAAAAAAGTCGTATTTTATTTTAGCACAGCTATTTGTAAATGCGATTATTATCGTTTATTTACGTTCATAATACGGGGATATGCCTAAATTGCTTCTCCATAAAAAAAAAAGTAATTAAAGTTAAGACTCACTGATCACACCCATAGACTCGATCGACGAGTCCCATCTTGCACATTTCCAGTTCATCATAGACAATCGCACGGTCCTTCACACATGCGCACAGTCGCGGATTTTCCGTATACCAGATCTTAGGCACTGTGTGTGTCTCTCTGTGGAACATAAAAAAGTAAAAAATAAATGAATATGCTCATGATTATGATCCCATAAATGTGAAAGTTTGTAAGGATAGATGGATAGATGTTTGTTACTCTTTCACGCAAAAACTACTGAACAGCTTTGAATAAAATTTGGTACACGGGTAGGCTATATCCTAATTTATAGATAGAACTTTATGTACCGATTCACACATGTAAAATTGCGGAGCACAACTATATACTATCACTTATAGCAATGAAATTTCAATTTGACAATTTAAATAATTTGGTGAAAAGACTGTATTCATACTTTTTTCCACATATCTTCCCAATTTTGCACTAATTTTGATAATTCTTTTTGAAATTGCTCATCTCATGTTAATTTTGCCACAACTGAAGTCACTGTCCTTTTGCAGAGCAAAATCTTTAATTATATTGAAAGATACTTACTTATAACATTTATTCTTGTCATGCCTAAACAGTAGGGGTTGACAAATCTTCAATACGAAGCTCCAAGTCTCCAAGGAATCAACTGTAAACCTCGACATTTTATCCCCTGCAGCAACCAAATCCTTCTCTATAGACATCCGATAGCTATCAGACCTGTAACTATCCCGCGATCTGTATCCACTCTCTGTAGACTTATAACCGCTTTCAGATGATCTATAACCATCTGAATAATGACTTTGCTGACTAGTCAGATCCCTCATTTTATCATCTAATTCAGGAGTCACAGATCCCTGACTCGGGTCTTCCTGCAAGTCACTCCTCGGCGGAGACATATCGTATTCTACTAGCCCTTTATCTTGACTAACGTCACTCATATCTTCCTGTTTTATTTCATTTATAATCGACTCTAAAAACTCATCGTTGTTGTCAATTGACACATCTTTGGATAGTTCATCATAATCTGCCTTCAAAACTGGAGATTCGTACTTTGAATCTTTCTCAGCAATTGGTTGATCATATTCGTCATTTGCATCTAAAATTTCGTCATCATTCGGGTCAATTTCAAATTTAAAAGAATCATTAACTGGTTTAAGCCTTTCCATTTTAACAGGTTTAAGCAACGGACTATCTGTCAATACAATTTTATCACATTCTTTTACCATATTTGTTTCTTTTGTTTGTTCAATTGGCGGTTTACTTTCTTTTGCTGATTTAGCAGCCTTATCTATTACTTTAGGGCTCGAACTATTCGTCTTATCTTCAGTATCTAAAGACCAACTATCACAAACTAAATAATCACTTAAGTTGACATCAGTTTCTTTTATTTCTTTTTCATACTTATCATTTTTCTTGTTGTCTTCTTTTCTATGATCTCTATCTTTTTCCTTACTCTTACTTTTATATTTACCTCTATCATCCTTATGTCTATCTCTGTCGTCCTTATATCTATCCCTATCATCTTTATACCTGTCTCTGTCATCCTTATATCTATCTCTGTCATCCTTCCGATAATCGGAATGTCTTCTACTATCATATCTACTACTTTTTTTCATATCTCTCTTATCAATTGTACTTTGACGATGGTCATCTTGTTTCTTTTCGGAGTCTGGCGCATCTTTTTTGCGTTGGAAAGGATTATCGTAATCTGGTAAAAATTTCTGGATATCAAATTTAAATTTCTTACCCTCTGCTCTAGCCTTTTTAGCCTCGCGAATTAATTCGTCTACTTTCGCTGGATCTAAAATATATAATTAAATCTTAATTAATATGTATAATGAGCGCAAGAGCAATTTTAAATTAGGTAGAGAAATATAGATTATGGTTTATAAGGATTTAAATTTATATTGGATTTAAAGCAATTGTTTAAGTAAATTACGATAATTTACCTTAGTTATCTTGAGGTTTTGACCAGATTACACCGGCCGTGGTCACGTATCATATATAATCATAGTTTACGTAAACGATTACGTTAATTTCCGTCTCTTATAAACCATAAACTATGCAACGTGAAAGTAAAAACCTAACATTGATTATTTTTACAATTAAATTACTTTTACAAGTAATTCTTGTCTAACAACACCTACTTAAAAAGTGCTTTTAAATATACAACATAATGACAATATTTTATTACTAATTTTTACTTATATTAACGCTATCTACGTCTAAAATTTACTACTCTATAATTAACTAAAAATCCTTAACCTAATACTGATTAACTGCTTCAATCTATTTTAGAATAAATAGTTGTTTAAAATCATTATCTTATTATCTCTACATTTATAATTCTTAGTTTCTATTTTACTCTAATTATTAACTAGAGGTTACAATTACAGTTCAAAACTATGCGTAAAGTAAAAATACTGTGTACAATCAGCAAAATAATATTTCATTATCTATTAATTAATATTATAAAGACGAATTATTTTATAATGTATAAACACAAAAAACACCTAACCAATTTTAAAAATTCTTACACCTATGGATAACTACCTTATCAACTAGTAAAATTGACTGGATTTAATTTTCAAAAAGACCGTGCGAAGTTGGGTATTGCAGCTTGTTCCTAGTTTACCAGAGGGAGACTTTGTACAAAAGTCGATTGATTGGGTACCTCTGTCCCATTCGTGTTTCAACCGTGAAGCAGTTGTGTTTGCATGGCTGTGTTTCGGTTTGAAAGGTGGGGTATGGCATGAATTTACTGGGTCAGGAATAACACCCGAGTCCTGAGGAATGGCAACGCGTGGGGGGTATCATGGGCGAAACTGTATGCTCTGTTATGTCCATGGTACTGCTCATGTCTAAAGGCGACGGTTACCACTATCCATCAGGTGGGCCGTCAGCTTGTTTGCCATTCTAAGTTGTATATAAAAAAAAATTGTTTCTGATCATCGGTGAATAAATTACTGATTTTATAATTATATTGCTGACTGTGCAAGAACAACTATGCACAACTAAAAAGCGATAAGAAAACAATCTCTTTCCCAGACTCACTAGCGAAGTCGCTGTTGGCTCGGTGAATAGATATGTGCGGGGAAGGCGGGCGGCACAACTGCAGTGCGGGGCACGGACGGAAGCTAAGGACTGCTACAAGCGGTCGAGGCAAACGTAAACTTAGTCATTGTCCTTTAACGCCTCAAGACCAGATCAGCATAATTTTTAATGGTTGAGAATGGAATAGTAACCCGGCCTGCGCTATTGGTATACGCTGACGAGTGTGAGCGACGAAACTTGAGGATGAAAGCAGTTCAGTTAGTCTATAGTGCAAATTCAATAATTAATAGTCGCTAAGCATGACTTAGATGCTAGTCTGATGTTGGACGTTGGACTTTGACCATAAAGCGAAAATAAAATAGGAAAACCAGTAACATGTCCTATATAATTTGTTTATTTACTATACTCTTTATTACACCAAAACATAAAAATATATAATATAATGACAATTAGAAGGTTCAATATAAAATTTTTGCATATTTACATCGAAATTATTCTAAAACATTTATAATATTTTTTTATAATTTTGAAATAATACACATTGCCTGTGCATTATTAACAGAAAAATAAAAGAAACTAAGTTTCCACTAAAAACTCATTTAACAAATGAGACAAAATCTTGTGTATATATATAACCAGGATATTGCCTTAATATATATATAGCCCCGTATATACAGCTGTTTATAACACTTTTAGTAGATTAATATTAATGATCCAATAGTTTAATGCAACATGGAAGAGAAAACAAACTCACAGGCCTTCCTTTCATCTATACCATAATATGTTTACTACAACCCAGTTATTACATTTTTCCACTTATTTACACTATAAACCATTGTCTGCTTTGTCTATGGGTAAAACAAAGCATTTATTTTACAAAACATACCTTTATCTTTTGTGCTGCGTATGTTAAAGTTATACAAATAAAAAAAAAATCAACTCTAGGTAAAAAAAAGTATAAAAAACATGTAGATACATACCTAAGAATGATTTTATTGGTGGCATGGCCTTTGTAGGCATTGCTTTCTCATTGCTCGACGTTGGACATATGAGACCTAGTGGTATCCCTAAATCTACCAGTTCCATCTTACGTTTCATATCTTCTATCTCTGCCACATTCTTTTTCTGCAGCTCTAAATAGGATGTATCTGTAACAGATTTATTACAATGCTATTACAAACACTCAACTTTGTTTATACATTTAGCATATTTGCTTTAAATTATCTAATTAATAAAGATAGCAGACTGAGAGCTCATAATATGATCGGGCCAAGATCCAATATTTTGTGTCAATTTAAAGATATCACATAAAAGAAGTCTGTGTGATTCCAGTATAGAATAGGCCACCCTTTGCTTTCCTGTGTGTGTCATAAAAGGTGACTAAAGGAACTTAATGGTAGAGGAATGGACAGCAGTGTCCCTCTTAAAACATCTCTAAAGGCCTAGCTGTAGTCACCAACTTACTTACAAAGCATGAAACTACTGGCAAACTCCCCTTATGAGGAAGGCTTATGTTCTGCAGTAGCCAGTTAATGGCTGAAATAAATTAAATGATATAAAAATAATCCACAATGGTAGTAAATCACACAACTGACAGAAAATCAAATCAAAATCTTTATTTAATGAAATATTATAGTATTACAGTAACTATGAATATAATAAAAATATTAATCATATAAATGGAACAGTATGGTCGCTTTGTAATACCTGTGAAGATACCAAGAAGCTTTTAGACAGAATTTGGACAACTGTACTAGCCACAACAACACCACAACAGCCCCAATGAGATGCTTAGTGTGCAAATAAGTGTCCTCTTGTATTCTATGTGTCAGTGTTTTTCTAGAACTACCCTCAATCTGATAACATTTTATGGAAAAAAGGTATTATTATGTAGGGTACTAAAATACAGTTTGTCATAATGTGTAACATGTCAAAAGTCATGATTAATTTATGCTGTTTCTCATTTGATTTATATTTTTTCTTTTTTCTTTTTCTAATCCGCTCATTAGCAATCTGTTCCTTATAGAACAATAGTCTGTCAATCCATTAATCATGTCTCTGTGGAACTTTCATTCCTCGTCATGTCTTTTTAAATTAAGAGAAATAATCTCTTTGTGATGATTTATAATAAGCCCAATTTACATTACAAATAATACATTAGAAAATACATAACCTTGTAAGTTCTCATTTGATATTAAAATCCTATGTTAAGCAAGAATACAAACAAAACAGAAACTACATATTATTATTTATGTGACTACTAGCTATTTCCCACAGCTTCGCCCGCGTGAATCGATATATTAATTGTTCTGTATATTAATATATTCCTATCCGTGTACCAAATTTCATTCAAATCTGTTCAGTAGTTTTTGTGTAAATGTGTAACAAACATCTATACAATCCTATAAACTTACTCATTATTAATTGTAATAGAATATAGTTTATATATAAAGAAATATATTTTTAGCTTCACTATAAGCAACAAATCATTTGTTACTTTGATTTTTTAAATACTTACTATATTAAGTTCCATCAACAATTAATTCTACTTACTTGTAATGGCGTGTTAAGTTCCATTTATTTACAATATATATTATATCAACAAGGCGAAAGTTTACAATTATCTTTGATACTTCCTAATATAATGCTGTTCCTAAGTGATTCATACATATTCTTTTGTGGTAGTTATTGGTTTTTTAATGGGTGATGATGATATGGTAACCCTGTCTGCGCTATCAGTATACACTGGTGGAGCACCAGTGATAGATGACTAATGAGGATGAAAGCAGGTTAGTTAGCCCATCCTGACGAATTCAACTAGAATTAGCCACGATGGTTTCCAGGGGGAACCACATGGAGGTCGACCTGACAGGGTATATTGCTAGTAATGGGGTTATTTGAGCCTATTACTAACAATCCCTTTCTCCCCCCCCCTGGTAGTTATTGGTTTCACAAATTATATAAAAAGTTTTTTATTACCTGATTAAAATAAATAAATAAATAAACTTTTCTTACCATAATAGGAGCCAGGTCTTGGTGGTTTGGGTGGTTTTTTCACATCAGGCTCTGGTTCTGGTTTAGGGGTCACCTTCACACTACTCAACTTGCCTATTAGAACTGTGGTGTCTAAAAAAAGAAATTTTTTAATTCCTTTGATTCTAATTTTTAATCACATTATCAAAGCTAACATATTAATGAATTATGCAGTAAAGAGGCGTCTGGAGAAAGATTATGCTATTACATCAAAGATGAGCATATTTATTTTATTTCTTTTTAAAACAAACTTATATATTTATAAATTGTAAGTTACATTTGTTTGAAAAGAGCAATTGGTGAATTTCTTGTTTACTATTATCAACTGAAATTGCACTCCATTAGGAGTGCAATTTCAGTTGATAATATCTATGCATGTGCATATCATGTGCAGTTCCGGCATAGAATGGGTCATCCCATCCTTTCCCATGGGTGTTGTAAAAGACGACTAAGGAAACTTTATGGTTGAGGGATAGATAGAAGTGTCCCGTTTAAAACATCACCAAAGCCTAACTGCGGTTGCTAACCTGCCTGTCAAACATGGTCTGGCAGTAAACAGTTAATAGCCAATATGGTGATAATATAAGCACTTGCAATGTCAAACAAGCTAATGTCAACTTATTTGCAACTCCAAACTATATATATATTCCTTAAAACAAAATAACATACTCCCACTGGTGACAGTTTTGGGCACAGCTACTGGTGGAATTGCAGCCTTTAACTCTTTCTTCTGAATGGAGAATGCACGCAACTTCTTTTTTGCATTGATAATGGGCTTGCGGCTCGAGGGGCTTGCCATTGGTGACGATTTTACATGTAACTTTATTGGCTGAAAAAATAATTCAATTAAAAAATATATTTTGTTCAGAGAAGAAAAAACCTTTTAAAATAATAATGTAATTATTATAAAAATATAAATATTAAGTTTGTCAATATTCCTCACAAGTTCTGACGAATAACAAGGACAATATGGTGACTCTATGCAAGAATATGAACGGGGAATAAAAGAAGAAAATTCTTTTTTAACTGTTGGCCGTAATTGATTCTAGATTAGATATGATCTTGAAAGTATGGATAAAAATCTCACCTCAATCCCAGAAATACCAGGAGGCGCCGGTATAGCACAATCCTGGGAATCTGGTTTAACTTGATTATTATCGGACGAATCCATTTTTATGGACTTATTGGTTTTATTTGGAAAATCTTTTTCATTATTTAGTAAAAACAATTGCTACATTGGGTATTGTTGTCATATTATAGGCATTATTTTTTTAAAAATACAAAATATATAATAAAATTAAAAGATATAATCACACTTTTTATTTAATAATATATTTTATGACTTTGGATACAAGTTATAACGTGACAAATTCATTATGAAAAGACATGAGCGTAGAAAGAGGTAAGTACTATTCTTAGTCTATGACTGTTACGATTTTAAAGGGAACCGTGTCAAGTTCGACTTCATAGGATATATTATTAACACGTAGTACATTATAAACTAAGTTATTAACAATGAGGCTAATAAGTTTTATTATTAACGATTCTTTCTCTGTTTTGGATTTTCCATAGATATTGGAATTGTATTTCATCTGTGAGCTTTTCGAGCAGAGGACTATGATAAAAATTCTCTAACATTACACATCATATAATTATAAATAAATAGGTTCAATGTAATGTACAAGAAACCTACTTTACGGGTTTCGAATAGTTGTACTGTTTGAAATAGTCAGTCTCTGACCATAAATAGTAACAGTTGTACTCTTGAATACAATTGTTTGTATTGTGCAACAATTGAAACTGTAGCCATAGTGCAATTATAGGAAGCATATTGAATCGCTATATCACCAATATCGCCATAGGCAATTCAATTATAGGTGTCTTCTTTTTACAAAATTAAATAATAGATACTTCGTAATCTGTGATCAGTTTTTGAAAAATGTTTACCTACCCACTGAACTAAGGACTGAATTCTTCGTTTCGATAGAAGTTGATATTTAAATAAAAACAAAAATAGCTATAAATTTAAATTACGAATTTATTTAATACACAGTTAATAATGAAATAATTAAACTAGACTTCAAATATTATATAAGAATTACAAAAAAAGTCAATTTTATTATTTAATCCGCCACCTATCGCATCACATTTTTTTTTTCACCATTTATTAAATTTATCTATGATCTATATTGAGCAATAGAATATAAATTATTTATTATGACAAAGCATTTTCATCGCATAAAACAAAAATCACTTCTGTGATTCGCCAGCTTCAGATTGGGAAGTGTGATCTTTGACTTCCTTCCGCACAGGTCCAGTCTGGGATATGGGCACGACTCTTTCGTTCTTCAGCGCCGGAGTTACTTTGGGAGCAACCACAGTCAATACACCATCAGACGATAATCTGGATTCCACCGTTTCTGGGTTGCAGCCCTCGGGCAGTGCGTACCTACGAGTGAACTGCCGAGAGATGTAGCCGTGTTCATCCTTCTTTTCCTCATGTTTCCCTTCTATTACGACGTACCCATCGGCTGTTTTCACGGAGATTTCTTCAGGCGCGAAGTGCTGTACATCCAGGTTCACTTGGAATTTTTCCTTGTCGGACTTGATGGTGGAACCGACGTCTCTCGCTGCAGCAGCCAGCTGCCGCCAGGGCCGGTAATAGTCTCTGGACATCATCGGTGAAACAACAGTCGTGAGCAAGTCATCTGGAGTAAGCGATAAACCGAAGTCTTGATCTAATATACGGTGAGGTTGATCGTAGCCAATGAAGAAAGGTAGTAGAGACATTTTGTATATGAATTAAATATAGTTTATACAGTGGATTAAAGAGAGTGCTGATGAACCAATTCGCTTTGAATATCGTTAGTATTGTACTCGTATTTAAAACTCGCAGGGATCTTGCTCGGCGACGGGTTTATATACCCCGCTCTAACACGACATCTGACGTCGAGTAGAGACTAGATATTTCAAGAAACGTCCAGTTCACTATCGTCAAAAGTGAAGGATTATACGAACTACTAGAAAATTCCATAAACTTGAAAAATATAATTTATAGAATTAGAATTTATTATTTACTTTTAAATTTCAGTTATAATTACAATATATTAATGCCCATTTTAAATGCCCGGCTAGGAGGACATCTAGCGGTGGGTAGAGGTTTCAAACATCATACACAAGCAAAGTTCCATCTGGAATATGCTTTCATCAGATAGAATTTTCTAAAAATTTCGCGAATTGACTTGTTCTAATTCTGACTAGGTACAATAATATATTTTAAATATCTGCAATTAGTTTTCGTATAAGAAAAATAATAAACTTTATTACAAGTACAGTAATATTAAATAATCATTGTACAAGTGAATACTGTATGCTACGCCATATACTTCATTCAATATACATATAATGATTTCACAACGTATTTTATGTATATATGCAATTTTATTATACAATAAAATTCTGTGTTCATCAATTTTTAAATGAATGAAATACAATAAAATAAAAATAATACGTTACAGATTCAGAAAATACACCTTTTATTTACCTATCTCAGATGAATAAGTGTTTCCAGGAGCAAAGAAATTACATATTTCCATAATTAATTATTTTATCTCCGACTTAGAAATAAAATATGAATCATTTTTTAAGATAAACTACTCTAAGTTAATTAATTAAACGGTCAATAAGTATAATACATTTAATCAAACCTAATTATCCACTTAAGATTTGTTTTAACAAACATTTAAGATTTGTTTCAACAATGTTTCTCAAAACTTTATTTTATAAATTATTACGTTTTTTAGTTTTGAGTACACTCCTGTTTATTTAATATTAAATTGTTACAAATTCATTAAGTATAAATATGTTTTTGACAACTGATAGAGTGCTATCCGTTTTTAAATATTTAAATATCTAACATAAGTTAATTTTAATGGGAAAAACTTTAAAAAAAAGACAAGTTTTAAACATTTATTAAATTTTAATTAAAATAAATCCATTTAACTGCTAGGTACAATCAATGTTTACTAACATTTACATCTTATAAATGTCCAATCTTAGATTATACATCGAATACTTTTTTTTTGCTAATACGAAGCTCGTCGTCGTCGTCGCTCTATAGTCTATATTGATATCCAGTGTTGACCACTGGATATCAATATAGATTATTTTAATATCGCCAATATCTAGTATAGTATTATATTATCTGTGCCGATATAAATATATAATATACACTGAATACCACCAAAAATAATGACTAATGGAATAATTATGTAATATTTAAAATTATCAAAACATATCTGATCAATGGAATTTGTTAATCTTGAATTATTTAGCAAGAACCATAAAATTAAACTAACTTTCCATAATTCACAAAAATATTTAAGGTTTTTTTTTTTTTAATTTATAATTGAAATTTAAAACAAATTATATATCGAACAATACTTACACATAATGTATATATTATTTTTTCATTCATTTTTTAGATTTATTTCGTAGATTACTGATACATGTATATTATTTTCCTCTTATTTAAGTTAATTACTTCTAAGTAAGATTTTTTATGATTTTACTAAACAATGTTAAATAGTATTATAATATTTAATAAAAACTAGCTATATCCCGCGATTTCATTTACGCGAATCAGTATTATAAAGCATCCTAATTGCTAACTTAAGATATACCTAACCTATCCGTGTATAAAATTTCATTCAAATCCATTCAATATTTTAGCGTAAAAGAATAACAAACATCCATCCATCATTATAAACTTTCGCATTAATTATATTAATAAGGTATTATCTCACATAAATTATACATACATGTGTTATTTTTTAAAGCAAACGTGAATTATAAAACATGTTATATATTTTTTTTAATAGCTGGAAACACTGAACGTATTATCTATCTCATTCTAACTTGTATCTGCGTTCTGGTCTACGCAGGGTTATCGGGCAAATTCTCGACTAATCTGGTAATTTCGGGAGACTTCCATAATAAAATCTAAAAACATCGGGATTGGCTGTCAACACGTTGTAGAACATACTCGTCTCTGATTGGTCGTTTAGAGAGAGGTATATAAGGACGTATCTCCGCTATAACTGTCAGTTTATTTGTAAACAAATACGAGTTTTGATCTCAGCGTAGAGTGAAACTATTTACGTACTAAGTTACAAAGAGTTTAAATGAATTTAGCCAAGTTTTATAAAGTATTCAATATTTTGCAACTGTGAAAGTTAATCAATCATAAAACATGCCAGCTATAGGAATCGATCTTGGAACAACGTACTCGTGCGTTGGCGTTTGGCAGCACGGGAATGTGGAAATAATCGCCAATGACCAAGGTAATAGAACTACACCATCGTATGTTGCATTCACCGACACTGAGCGTTTGATTGGAGATGCGGCAAAAAACCAAGTTGCGCTTAATCCTAACAATACAGTTTTCGACGCGAAACGCCTTATCGGAAGAAAATTTGACGATGCCAAGATTCAGCAGGACATGAAACACTGGCCCTTCAGAGTGATCAATGACTGTGGTAAGCCAAAGATCCAAGTAGAATTCAAAGGAACGACGAAGAGGTTCGCACCAGAGGAAATCAGCAGTATGGTCTTAACTAAGATGAAGGAAACCGCAGAAGCGTACCTCGGTTCGACAGTGCGCGACGCGGTGATTACGGTACCGGCGTATTTCAACGACTCTCAACGCCAGGCTACAAAAGATGCGGGTGCCATCGCGGGGTTGAACGTGTTACGCATCATCAATGAGCCCACCGCGGCTGCGCTCGCTTACGGGCTCGACAAGAACTTGAAGGGCGAACGCAACGTTCTCATATTCGACTTGGGCGGTGGCACGTTCGATGTATCCATTCTCACAATCGACGAGGGTTCTCTGTTCGAGGTAAAGGCGACAGCAGGTGACACGCACCTCGGCGGTGAAGACTTCGATAACAGGCTAGTGAACCATCTTGCGGAGGAGTTCAAGCGCAAGTACAAGAAGGATTTACGTAGTAACCCGCGCGCACTACGCCGCCTACGTACCGCTGCCGAGCGCGCCAAGCGCACCTTATCATCCAGTACCGAAGCTACAATCGAGATCGACGCCTTGTACGAGGGAATCGATTACTACACGCGAGTGTCGCGCGCTCGTTTCGAGGAGTTATGCTCGGATCTATTCCGCGGTACCCTTGACCCGGTAGAAAAGGCGCTTCGGGACGCTAAATTGGATAAAAGCCATATTCACGACGTTGTGCTCGTCGGCGGTTCAACACGTATACCAAAGATTCAAAGCCTGCTGCAAGACCTATTCTGCGGCAAAAAATTGAATTTATCCATCAATCCAGACGAGGCGGTGGCATATGGCGCGGCGGTGCAGGCCGCTATTTTGAGTGGCTCCACCGACACGCGCATACAGGATGTGCTGCTAGTGGACGTGGCCCCTCTCTCGCTCGGCATCGAGACGGCTGGTGGCGTGATGACTAAAATTATAGAACGAAACTCAAAAATTCCTTGCAAACAGTCGCAAACATTCACCACATACTCGGATAATCAGCCAGCAGTCACTATCCAGGTGTACGAGGGTGAGCGCGCAATGACGAAGGACAACAACCTTTTGGGTACATTCGACCTTACTGGCATCCCGCCGGCACCACGCGGCGTGCCTAAAATAGACGTGACCTTCGACATGGACGCGAATGGTATACTAAACGTGTCCGCCAAGGAAAACAGTACCGGCCGCAGCAAAAACATTGTGATTAAGAATGATAAAGGCCGTTTGTCGCAAGCCGAAATTGATCGGATGCTGGCGGACGCAGAACGATACAAGGAGGAGGACGATAGGCAGCGACAGCGTGTGGCGGCGCGCAACCAGTTGGAGTCGTATTTGTTCAGCGTTAAACAGGCGGTGGACGAGGCTGGCGACAAGTTGAGCGAACAGGAGAAGGATAGCGTGCGTCGCGAATGTGAAGAAACACTGCGCTGGCTCGACAACAACTCGCTGGCGGACAAGGATGAGTACGAACACAGACTGAAGGAAGTGCAACGTGTCTGTTCTCCAATCATGACTAAGATGCACGGTGGTGGTGCTGGAGGAATGCCTAGCGGTATGCCAGGAGGAATGCCTAGTGGTATGCCAGGAGGAATGACTGGTGGCATGCCAGGAGGAATGCCTAGTGGTATGCCAGGAGGAATGCCTAGCGGTATGCCAGGAGGAATGCCTGGAGGCATGCCAGGAGGAATGCCTCGCTATGGCTATCAGCAACCTAGAGAGCAGTACAGTGGTCCCACTATTGAGGAAGTTGACTAAATTTTATTACCTAATCTTAATTTATTCTAAATAATATTCAATTGAGATCTCATCTTGTGAAGACTGATATTAAATATTTTAGTATTTAAGTGACTTCCTCTCTAGCTTCTCTAGTTCTCTATTATAATTTAACATTATTGTATGTAATTAAGAAATAAGTTGTACCTAAATTGTTGGGTTATAAAATAAAGTGCATTATATTTAAAAAGTTTTTTTTTAATTATTATTCTAAACACCATCAACACTGATACAGTGTGTTACACTTAATATAGGATGTCTAAATACACTTACTTATGTAAGAAACTAATTATGAAAATAATCTAAATAGGTTTATTTTTATCAATGTATATTTCAGAGAATATGAACACATATTACAATATAAACATAATTTTCTTAGATCTAAAATGGAATCTCAACCTTACAATAGGCCTTTAAATAAATCAACATTGTAAATGTACAAATAGGGAAGAATGAATTATCTAAAACCAAATATTTAGAATTTTCTATGTGGTAAGCATACTCTATTTTCCTCTTTTTTTTTTTTGGCGAAATTAGTCACTAATATGAAATAAAAATAAAATAATGAATAATATATAATCAAAATACCAGTCTTTTTAGTATAACAATTTTATTAAATGCAATAAAAACAGACATATAACACACAGAATACATGTATTCTAATCTGTGCCCAGACTGTTTATCAACAAAAAGAGGGTGATGAAATATAAAATTGATAGGTATTGTAAGTTTCAATGTAACTTAACGAAGAAATAAACAGATCTAACTATAAGTCAGCTGATGTAAAATAATAGTACAAATAAAAAAATGGATTAAATATTTCAATTTGCTACTAACAAAATTTTTCTTTAATAATTTTCACAAAACTTGATTACAATTTCAACAGACTTCAAAAAGGAGATTTTCAATTTGATTGTATTATTCTTTAGTTCTATTGAAATAAACTATGTCTACTATATATAACTGAATCTAAATTTAGATAAAAATGTACCTATACAAAATATATTGCATATTTATATAACTGAATCTCACTCAAATATGTTCCAGGTATGATTGCAACAGTGGTAGATTTTAACACTAGTTCTGTCCAATAAATGATGACATCTTCATACTAGTTGCTGTATTTATAAATGACTTTTTGATTATCAGAAGTCATTTCTATCATGAGTTCTGAAAAATCATCACTGAGTTTGACATGCATCAAGGGCTGTTGCTGATCAGTGTTCATATCTGAAATTAATAATTTTAATAAATTAGTAAATGGTATTATTTAGGATGGAGGATATCGAGGGAGATAGTATCTTAAATCTCCCATGTATAAACACTGTTTAGTTACAATTTACAAAAAAACATTAGTAAGATAAGCAACAATTACCACTTTCCAGATGGGTTATCTGTTTGTTTGTCATTTCAAGTTGCATAAATAATGGGATTAAATTATGTAAGTCATTCAGGTAGGAACCTTTAAAAGCACAGATTTATGTCAGAGTCTGTGTTAATATTAAATATTTTTCCTTGCATGCATTACTAACATAATAGCCATATTTATTGGTCCTCTTTAGGGTAAGATTTGTAAAAAGAGGACAAGACATCTTCATCATTATCAAGAAAACTCCTGGTCTAATCCATAGAAACCTATAGGGAACATCCAGTGGTTAGATTTTATAAATTTGAAATTTTGTACAAGGATTTTTGGTGTATGTTACTGAACACATGCTTAGGAGTTTTTGGAAACACCCATGGGAACAGAGTTACGAATGCATGTAAAGGTATAAGAAAAAGACAATAATACAAACCGTTCATGGCAGTGTCCAAAGGTGTTTCAGATTTAACATCCATCATCTGTTCATTTACATCGGCGAAAACCATTTCAGGAATGGCAACATTCAATTTACTCTCTTCACATTCAATCTCATGCTCATCATTGCTTTTTTGTCTCTTACTCATCTTAGTCAGATCCTCTCCCCCTCTCTTTCTAGTTGTAATGTTGTCTTTTCTCTTTTTTGTACTTTTCTTTGACTTTTTCTCAGTGTCTTGTTTTATACTTAAAACTCTAGTCACTTCATTTCTTATTTTCTCTTTAACATCTTCGGATAGATCAATGCCACTATCATAATGTTTCACATATTTTGTGATTGGCTCATTGTCACTACTATCACTGTCATTTTCAGAATCTGAACATTTGTTAGATTCTGCAACAGCATGCTTAGACTGAAAGAACTGTTTCCATTTTTTAACCAAGTCATCTGCTACGGACTGAAATTTAAATTTAAAAACACTTTTATAAATTAATCTAAAAATACAAATAATATTACGATCGAATTGAAATAGCTTCCTTTTAAGGGAGTATATTATAAGTGGAACAGACATTTTTCCCATATATGCACATAAGTTCAAAGATAACATAATAATAGACTCCCACACCTTCATAATGTGTCTATTTTTTAAATTATAACAAGCTCTGAATTTTAGTTGTGTTTCTTTGGAATATATTTTCAACTTCATATAAATCATTGCAATGATAAAGCAAACATACTAGCACTTAAAACCATATTAATTAAACCAGAACAATCAAAGACAGGGTCAGCAAGTGATAATTTATGTGATACCAATCTGCAAAAATATTATACTGGTTTGGCTGATGAGCATAAAGCAACAATATCACTAAAGCCTTTAAGTTGAAATTACACTGTGTTGAAGAGTATATTTGTTTGATTTCACAAAATGATTCACAAATTACAAGATTTATTATTATAATAAAAAATACAGCAATATAATGTAAAAAGCAAATACATACAAACTTCAAAGGCTTGGGTATCCGCAACATATAATGTTCAGGGTGTGTTTCTATCATCTCACATTTGGGGCACAGATCATAGTCTACACAGCTGACACACTTATAACGGAAACCGAGGATCAAGTTCTGGCAGCTGTTACAGATTATATCCTGATGGAACTCTGCGTCTTCTGAAACATCTGCAAAAAATAATATAGATATATTAAAACACTGGACAATCTGAATTACACAAGGAAAAACAGGTGTGACAAATATATATATATATATATATATATATATAGTTGGTTACAAGAAATATTGCTGTATTATTTTCTTACTACCTTCTGATACAGGTGATAACACTTACTAGAAGGTTATAACAACAATCTTAGTATTGTATCAATTTTGTTACGAAATAAATATTTTTTAATTTTTTTATTTTTCATTATTTTCTTACTGCCAGTACCAGTGGCATAACTGTGGAAGTATACATAAAGAAGGCTATTGCAAAAACATGAATGAGTAATAATTTTCTGAAAATACATATACATAAGGCTCCCTTAAATTTTAAGGCCTCTCCCTGCGGGCCTTGCCAAATGTCAGTTATGCCACTGACCTGGTCTAAACAGTTGAATATAGTCTAAATAAACTAGTTATAATCTAAATACTAGACCTTCATCTTTTGTTCCTGGCAGGCATTTAATAGGTATGGCATCTGGACTTAATAGCTTGTTTTTTATACTTGACGGCGGAAAGTGGCGGGAGCAAATGCGATATGCTACTCTATTTTGACTTTTCTCAATGAGATCCTCTCTACCTGCTGCTTTGAGCCATGCAATTTGACTAAAAAAAGATAGATTATAATTTTTTTTGGTGATGAAAATAAATCAATATACAAAAACAATAACATAATTGTTCGCATTAGGACAACATTAGGATCTTATGAAAAGCTTCTTCTATTAGGAATGTTCTCTGTTAACATATATAACAGCAAAATATAATAGGTTTCAATACATCTATATACAGACATATAGCATTTATTTAATTCATAATTCTCTTGTAGTTCTGAGCTAATTCTTACCGGTCTCTTTCCTTAGGCAAACTGTAATATTTTAAATGTTTACTATGTCTGCTATTACGACCGCAGCCAAACACGCAACAATAGTTAACCATAATAAAGACTAGTGTACTATTGTTTAACAAAAAATTATGAGTGAATAATTTACAAGTTGAAATTTGAAAGCATTTCAATACTTAATATAAATAAAAGAAATGAGAATGAATTAAATTATTAAACAAAAACAATTCGATATCGTACAAATTGATAGCTGTTCTGTTTGACAGTTGACTGACTTTTAAGTTATTATCCTTAATCTATGAGCTACAGCGTATAAAGATAATAGTAGTTCCTATCTTTGATCTATGTGTTACTCCAAGTTCTTTGCTGCTACTTACTGCTACTACATACTTTTAACTGTAGATCATTTCCTAGTCACAATAACAGCAAATAGTACAAATAAATGCTGTTTGTTAAAAAATTATTACTACGTATAACGATTATTTGCGAATCGCCCGAATAGGTAAATGGACATTTTTTTTACAAAAAAATGGTTTTTGCGTGTAGTGCTGCTAAAACATACCTGAAATAATTTATAAAGTACCAATAAAATGCATTAATGAGTATGCTAAGAACAAGGATTTGAGTACATTTTACTACATCTATGAAAATATATTTGGAAAATGATGATTAAATAGCCTTACTGTACTTATACAATTGTAACGTTATATTTATTGTCTTGCTTATTTCCTATATTGTATAATGCAAATGAAGTATTCTCATTTGTTAATTCATTCATCAACAATAAATGTCGTGCAATTTTCGACTATGACAACTGCTTCCTATTAGAGGAAAAAGTGATTGTTAGTCCTATTTCAAGCTATTTCCCCAATCAGCTCGTCTTCCACTTGGTCCTCTCTGGAACCTATCGCGATTCCTTTTTACTACGAGCTAACTGACCTAACTTTATTCTTATTTTACATCAATCACCGGTACCCCGCCATCATTATAACAATAGCGCAGGTGGAATTTTTAATAGATGATAATGGGATGGTAATCCCGCTTGCGCTAACGGTATACGCGTAAAAGTCAGTTCAGTTAGCCCGTCGTGATAAATACACCCAGAATTCAGCACGACGATTTCCAGGGGGGAGTGTGGGGAGGTCGACCTGGCAGAGTACATACTAGCAATGAAACTGTCAGTCCGTATTAATAATATAATCCCTTCTCCCCTGTGCAGGTGGAGTGGGTTCTAGGTATTTTTTTAAGGATGATAATGGAAAGGTAACCCCACCTGCGCTATAGTTATACACCGGCGGGGCCCCAGTGAGGGATGATAGGTGAGAATGAAGCAGGTCAGTTAGCTCACCGTGACGAATCTAACAACAAATCAATCACAAGTTGACCGATTAGGTAAGTCCGACTTCAACCGAGAGGTCAACCGACGAATCCAATTCGGCTGGGCAGTGATGACCTATGGAACCGAAACATGGTCCTACACAATTGCCCGTATGCAAAAGCTTCAAATTACTCAGCGGGCTACGGAGAAGGCTATGCTTGGAATTTCTTTGTATGATAGAATCCGAAACGAGGATATTCACAAAAGAACCAAAGTAACCGACATAGCCCGAAAAATAAACAAGCTGAAGTGGCAATGGGCTGGTCACATATGTAGCTCAAAGAACCGACAACCGACGGGAAAGAAAGGTTCTTGAGTGATGACCCCGTACGGGTAAACACAGTGTAGGACGACCCCCTCTCTAGACGGAGTGACGACCTCAAATGCATTGCAGGGAGTCAGTGGATGCAGGTGGCTTAGGACCGTTCTTTATGGCAGTTTATGTGGAAGGCTTATGTCCAGCAGTGGACGGATAATGGCTGAAATGATGATGATGATGATGATTAAACGGCACCGATAATAATAGCACAAATAAACGACAATTATTGTTTTGTAGGGTATAACAACGACCTTAGACCACGACATTTTTCATAGGTACCTTACATTATACATATTTTGAATTACCATAGATCATAGGCACACATTTTGCTTCGCAACGATCATCGATTCTATGGGTGACACAGAATACACTGTAACATACATAACATTCATCATGCGAGGCCATTGACAAGGACTTATGTAGAAATTTGCTGCCAAATTCTATTTATCAAATGGAAATACAACTATAAGCGATAAGCACCGCTTTTAGGCAGTCTTTTATTATTTATTATACATAAATATTGTTGTTTGACGATACAATTCTAGATTTCCAACAAAGTTTGTACAGTCTTATATTGTGATCTTTAATTAAAGCGCGTTCAATATTTGATACAAATATTATATTCCAGAAATATATGTATTCTAGAAATTATATCTAGAACTTTTCTAAAAGTTGATGTTTCTGTAACGTTCTCAAAGCTTCTCGTAGGTGCATTGTATTGGATCAATAGTGCAGCAGATGCGCAGCTATACGAATTTATTTATACATACACGCACAGATTCAGATGCAGGATAGATGCGGCATAGTATTGTTTGCAGACGATACTTCATTGATTTTTAAAGTTAATAGAATGACTAATAATTATGACGATGTAAATAGTGCTTTGCGGCGTCTCCTGCACTGGTTTACAACTAACAATCTTATGTTAAACGCTAAAAAAACAAAATGTGTTAATTTCTCTCTATCTAAAATTTTTAATACTAATTGCAATATTAAATTAAATGACGAATCTCTCGAATTTATAGAATCTACTGTCTTTCTAGGAATCACACTAGATAATAAAACACAATGGGGTGCACAAATTCAAAGCCTTGCAGCGAAACTAAGTTCAGCAGCTTTTGCCGTGCGTAAAGTTAGACAGTACACTGATACTGATACTGCTAGATTAGTCTATTTTAGTTATTTTCATAGTTTACTCTCTTATGGAATATTACTATGGGGAAAAGCAGATATTAAGAATATATTCATATTACAAAAACGTGCCGTTCGAGCGATCTACTGTATGAAGAGTCGTGACTCATTAAGAGAGAAATTCAAAGAGGCAAATATTCTCACCGTTGCTTCTCAATTTATATATTCAAATATTCTATATGTTCATAAAAATCTTGACTTATTTCCAAAAAACAGCAATATTCATAATATTAATACTAGATTTAAAGACAAACTTGCTGTCCCCAAGTATCGTTTAGAAAAAGTTAATAGGTCTTTTATGGGAATAGGTATAAAAATTTACAATAAGATACCAAAGGATATGTTGGAATTACCCTTAAATAAATTCAAAACATCTGTTAAATCATATTTACTGAGCAAAGCCTATTACTCACTAAACGATTACTTGAATGACGAGTGTGCATGGCAATAGTTGTTCATGCACTGAATTTTCATTTAATGTTAGACATAGACACCTATATAAATATACATTGTAAATAAACTGGCTTTAAAAAAAAAAAAGTAATTCAATTGAGTTTCTTGCCAGTTCTTCTCAATTGGATCTATATACCGAACTGGACGGTAGGGAAAATATAAAATTATAATGTAAAAATTTGACGTTCATAAGCGGCTAAAATGTCCTACATGAATAAATGATTTTTGAATTTTGAATTTTGAATTTTGAATTCTTTACACACAATCCTAATGTTTACGCTATTCGAAATCGAGACACATCGAGACTTTTCTCAAAACTTTATTTTGCTATTCGCCACCAGATGTCACAATGAGTGCGGTTACTATATAAACGCGGCGCGCAACACTCCGACATGTTATTTGAACACAAGCTATATCGGAAGTTAACTGGTGCAACAGCGCTGTCTATTAACGAACTGTTTTTAAATTTGAAAAAATGTCTCTGCTACCTTTCTTCGTTGGTTACGAACAACCTCATCGCCTGATCGATCAAAACTTTGGTTTGTCGCTTACTCCAGATGACTTGCTAACGGCTGTCGTTTCACCGATGATGTCCAGAGACTATTACCGGCCCTGGCGTCAAATGGCTGCTGCAGTGAGAGACGTCGGTTCCACCATTAAGTCCGACAAGGAGAAATTCCAAGTGAACCTGGATGTACAGCACTTCGCGCCTGAAGAAATCACCGTGAAAACAGCCGATGGGTACGTCGTAATAGAAGGTAAACACGAGGAAAAGAAGGACGAACACGGCTACATCTCTCGGCAGTTCACTCGCAGGTACGCACTGCCCGACGGCTGCAATCCTGAAACAGTGGAATCCAGATTGTCGTCTGATGGTGTCTTGACTGTGATCGCTCCCAAAGTGGCTCCGGCGCTGAAGAACGAAAGGGCTGTGCCCATATCTCAGACTGGACCTGTGCGGAAGGAAGTCAAGGATCAGACTTCAAAAAATAATGATACACAAAAGTGAATATGAATCTTAAGTACAGTTCATCTTATCTTGCATGTTTTTTCCTATAACGTGTAGAAGTAACACGTATTTTATAATAAGACTGAACTTAATTATTCTATTATTTTTTGTGTAAGTACATTTTATTCAATAAATGTCTTGTGTATCGTAAATAAAAATTTGTTTTTATTATTCACAAAATATTATAGTACCTACAATTAAAATAAATGGTTTGAAATGGGCAATTCTAATAGGTAGGTAGAAGTAGACTTTCACCAGAGGGAGACTTTGTACAAAAGTCGATTGCTTGGGTACCTCTGTCCCATTCGTGTTTCTGCCGTGAAGCAGTTGTGTTTGCATGGCTGTGTTTCGGTTTGAAGGGTGGTATGGCAGTGAATTTACTGGGTACAGAGGAATAACACCTGAGTCCTCAGGAATGGCAACGCATGGGGGGTATCATGGGCGAAACAGTATACTCTGTTACGTCCATAGTACTGCTCATGTCTATAGGCGACGGTTACCACTTTCCATCAGGTTGGCTGTCAGCTTGTTTGCCATTCTAAGTTGTATAAAAAAAAGTAGGAAGGTATTAAAGTTATTATAACTTTATTGAAGCAAAGTTGACCGAGTTTAAGTATATATAATAGAATTACATCGTGGACACTCGCTCTTATAATTAACTTTTATTACTGTGGGTAGGTTATAATTAGGAAAATACATTACTATTGTTCCATTAATCATTTATACAGTATAGAAATTGCTTCGCAAAAATAGGTACTACATAGGGGTAAACCATATAGATGAAAAAAGGATAATTATAGTCGGTTATATTTTTTAAAGTTATTGCCAAATTATTAATATAAAGTGGAAAATAGAATTTTTTTTGTATTGTATTACTATCCATTTCTGAACATAGCCAACCGCATAAGGGGGGAGGGATTTGTCAGTAGTTGCCATGTTTGGCAAACGGATTGGCAACTTTAGTTTGGCTTGTGGTGATGTTTTAAGAGGTTAGCTGCTGCCCATCTCTAGCCATCCCTTAGTCGCCTTTTACGATACCCACGGGAATGGGAGCGGTGGCTTATTCTACGCCGGGACCTACAAAGCTAAATTGTTTATTTTATCCTCAATTATGTTAATATTAATACATACAGGGACTTAGATAAAAAAAATATTGTATTATACTACAAATAATATAACTATAATGCTGGGGTAGATTTTAAGGCGTCGTTTTTCTAAACTCTCATTTTAACTATATTCCAAGCTTTTTACCTAATATTTTAGTTTAATAGTTTCGTGAAATTACTGTTTTATTAACTATCACAAACGGAATTTATAATAATTTTGACTTAAATCTATTACGAATTTTATATATATTTGTTTTTAAAGATTTCGTTTTGACATTATATCAAATTGAAATTTTACAGATAGATTTTTTTTTATGATTTAGAAGCAAGAGAGCTGACGGCCCACCTGATGGATAGTGGTAACCATCGCCTATAGATTATGTATACCATGTATCGCAGTATTATGGGCATAGCATATACTGTTTCATTCTTTATTCTTTATTGTACACAAAACATACTGTTAATTACAATTCATTATAAACATAATGTACAAAGGCGACCTTATCTCTAATAAGAGATTTCTTCCAGCAAAACCTTTCCATGTTAATTGTGTTATTCATGATATCTCCATGCATTGCCATTCCTGAGGACTAGTTTTATTCCTCTTTACCCCGTAAATTCACTGCTATATTCCCTTCAAACCGAAACACAGTCATGCAAACACAACTGCTTCACGGTTGAAACAAAAAAGGGACAGCGGTACTCAAGCAAAACAAAATATTAAAAAATAAAAAATCGGCCACAATACCTATTTTTTTTAATGGGTGATAATGGAATAGTAACCCCGCCTGTGATATCGGTATACGCTGGCGGGACACCAGTGAGGGATGATAGGTGACAATGAAAGCAGGTCAGTTGGCCCATCGTGACGAATTCCACTAGAATTAACCACGATGGTTTCCAGGGGGAACTTCGTGGAGGTCGACCTGACAGGTTGTATTGCTAGCAATAAGTCAGTTAAACCCCATTACCAACAATCCCTTTCCCCCCGCTGCTTACAATACTTATATTGTGCCGTGGTATACTTAGACTTTCTGTATTTGTGTAATACATATATACTTGTTTTGTGTGTGTTCCGTACACTTTTTTACTTATAAAGTGAAACCACTATTTCCATGGTATAAATAGGTAGGTAGATAATAGTAAGATTATTTTTAGTTACCTACATAATTTCAAATTGTGCAATTCGATAGTTACAAAATTAGTATTGTACCAACAAAAGAGAATATTCAGATTGAAAATACTAGGTATTTTTTTTGGAAGACGGAAACTACCGCGATCATTAAGATAAACTAATATAATTTACCTGAATTATCTTAACGTTTTGACCTGTATATACCGGCCATTAACAAATCGTTAATTTCTGTCATTTATAAAACATAAAACATACAGCGCGAATGTCTGTAAGTTAATATTGAAAAATAGGGGGAAAGGGATTGTTAGTAATGAAAACTGAGAATCCCATTACTAGTAATACCCAACCAGGTCGACCTTCTCGCGGTTCCTCCTGGAAACTATCATGGTTAATTCCTGATGAATTCATCATGATGGGCTAACTGGCCTGTTTTCATTCTCATCTATCATCCTTCACTGGTGCCCCGCCAGCGTATACCGTTAGCGCAGGCGAGCCTGCCATTCCATTTTCACCCATCAAAAAAAAATATTGAAAAATAGGTATGAAAATAGAACCAAAATTGGTCTTACTTACTAAAATAATACAGATGACTTGAGAATTATCGACTTATTACAGTACGTAATTTTTTAAACTAAGAAAAATAGAATTGTTAACTTATGTAGGTATTTTTTTTTAATCGCTAAAAATAATAAACTTTTTTGTCAAAGTATTTTTTACTTATCATAAAAATAAATTTAGATTACAACAATGACAATTAAAAAATATATATATATTTATAATGTTCTTATTTTCAGCACTTAAAATTTATAATTATTTTTAACGTCACTAAAGAATCTCGTATCAAACATTCATTTACAGCAAATATTATGATCTTTTTGGGGCACAAACACTGGCAGGATAGCTAGGCAATATATGTAGGTATACCTAACTTAATTTTCACTAAATGCTAGATATATTTTGAATTTAGTATTGATGGCATTATTTTTTTAGGAAATAAAGTAATTTGCCTTTATTTAAACATTTTTTTATTACTCTAAAAGTAATTGTAGTAGTAGGTAAACTAAATATAAATTTCCTCGAATTCCCGAATTCATAAGATAAATAGGTTTTATACAATTGGAGTTGCGGGAACAATTTAATATTTATCTAGTTAATAAAAATTAAAACAAAATAAATATTATTGTAAATATTTATTTAAAAAAATCAGTCTTAATGGTACTTGTAATGACATTGTAACTTAAAATCTATTAGAGTATCTTTTATTATGTAGTCTTTTAAACGTTACATTTTTTTATCTGGTGCACTGCATGAACTCGTATCCTGATTGTCATTCTTCGCCTCACTCGACTCCTTACGTACCGGGCCAGTCTTGGTTATAGGAACGATTCTTACTCCTTTCTCATCGATCACTTTTCTTGGAGCACTCACTGTTAAAATACCGTCACTTGATAATTCGGATACTACATTTTCCGACTCTACATCGTCAGGCAATGCATACTTCCTCACAAACTGTCTTGATACAAAACCATGTTCATCCTCCTTCTCTTCGTGCTTAGCTTCGATAACTACATATCCATCAGCTGTTTTTACAGATATCTCCTCGGGAGCGAAATATTGAACATCCAGATTAATTTGGAACTTGCTTTTGTCAGTTTTTATCGTTGATCCCAAATCTCTTGATAGCGAAGCTAGTATTCTCCAGGGTCGGAAGTAGTCTTGGAACATCCATGGAGTCATCATAGTTGTTAAAATATCATCAGATGTTAAAGGCATTCCGAAAGTCTGGTCTAATAATCTATTGCGATCTCCTTGACATTTTTCGTCCGCAAACGCGAATCTGTGTGCTCCAATGACGAAAAATATAATAGCCAACATTAGGCAGTACGAAAATCCATGGAATTTCTTCATTGCTTTGTATTTTATTATCACAATAATTTAAAAAATACTGACGATAGGCTTCGATTCGATTATATGCGTTCGGCGCTGTCTCGAGTCAATCTAGAATGAATTAAATGTCCCGCTTTGAGTAAGTTTATATATTATACTGACATCTAGCGTTAAGTAGATGATTCTCGAATACACAAAGGTGTAGTGCTACGAATTTACCACGTCGCTGTTTACAATCAATATAGATACTTACTTTTATTATTCTGTGTTTGATTACCTATTTACCTGAACCTGAAATAAAAACAGATCATTGCGATCTCAAATTGCATGATGTTATTTAAGAAATTTACACGACTTTGATAAATTATATAAACATTAAAAATGTTGCAGCGTAAAATTTAGCGTTTCATTGTACTTGCTCAGTATCTTGTTTTTTTTGATGAGTGAAAATGGTATGGTAATCCCGCCTGCGCTAACGGGATAGGCTGGCGGAGTACCAGTAAAGGGTGATTGATGAGAATGAAAACAGGCCAGTTAGCCCATCATGATGAATTCATCAGGAATTAACCATGATCGTTTCCAGGGAGAACCGCGAGGAGGTCGACCTGGTTGGATATATTGGTAGCAATAGGATACTCAGTCTCCATTACTAACAATCCCTTTCCCCCCCAGTAACCCTAGTAACTTTTATTTCTATAATATAACTTTTTTTGTTTAACTTTCTGGAGGCCATCGAAGTTTTTTTTCTCCAAATGGCCGTAAAACTGAACATAGCTGGATATATTAACACCAAAGATCCCTAGACTCTACTCAATATCAAGGGGACAGTTTTGAAACAGAGGAGATACGACAAACAGCGGCTTGCGGTGAGCTCTGCGGTGAACGCGTAGACTTGTGTTTTGAATATCTTGTGTCTAAAAATATCTTACTAACCTATCTACTTACCTAATAAAATTATAAATAGACGATGTTTGTACATGAAAAATTAATATGAAGGTCTTAAGAAGACTAATAGCTGGCAAAATAATAATTTTTAAAAACAGAAAATATACACCAACTATGTTTGTTCTGACATCATGCAAAAATTACTGCACCAAATTGGATGCGGTTTTCAGTTTCAGTTGTTCCTAAAAGTTTAACTTAAAATCTAATGTATGTAGTTAAAATATAGTTTACCAGAGGGAGACTTTGTACAAAAGTCGTTTGCTTGGGCACCTCGGTCCCATTCGTGTTTTAATCGTATAGCAGTTGTGATTGCATGGCTGTGTTTCGGTTTGAAGGGTGGGATATGGTAGTAAACTTACAGGGTACAGAGAAATAAACCTGAGTCCTCAGGAATGGCAACGCATGGGGGGTATCAAGAGCGAACAGTATACTTTGTTATGTCCATGGTACTGTTCATGTCTATAGGCGACGGTTACCACTTTCTATTAGGTGGGCCATCAGCTTGTTTGCCATTCTAAGTTGCATAAAAAATGTTTCATCTTGATACGCCATCTAAAACTTATTCTTAGGGAGAAAAGGGATTGATTGTAATGGGGATTAGTAAACCTTTTGATTGTAGTATACCTTATCAGATCGACCTCCACGCGGTTCCAGGGAAACCATCGTGGTTAATACTTGTGGAATCCGTCATCTATCATCCATCATTGGTGCCCCGCCAGTGAATACCGATAGCGCAGGCGGGATAACCATTTCATTATCATCCATTAAAAAAAAAAAACTAATATACCCGTTTACTACATCTGAAATTTACACGAACGAAGTAGCGAGCGAAAAGTTTTAATAAAAATAAATACTTATATACCTTAAAATAATCTATTGTATTTAGATATATAGGAAACTACCAGTATTGTATTTAGTGTTCGATTAAGTACTATAGTTTTTAAATTACAAGTGCCTTGGCTACCTTCTTATTTTTTTAAAAAAATATTTTATTCTATACCTACATGACAAGTTTTTATCACTATTGAGTTTACGGTAAAAGTTCTATAATTTTAAGAACATACTTATTGATCTTTTGCAGTTGGTTTGACAATAATAATTTAATTATATTCTTGTAAAATTAGACCACTGTGTTACTACCGCTATCTATCGATTAGTAGAAATAACGTAATGTTAGAAAACCCGGGAACCTTCATCTACATTCCAGAAAAAAATTAACGGTCTTATTACTACCGCCATCTATCGATTAGTAGAAGTAACGTAATGTTAGAAAACCCGGGAACCTTCATCTACATTCCAGAAAAAAATTAACGGTCTTCTTACTACCGCCATCTATCGATTAGTAGAAGTAACGTAATGTTAGAAAACCCGGGAACCTTCATCTACATTCCAGAAAAAAATAACGGTCTTGTTACTACCGCCATCTATCAGTTATTAACGATTAACGTAATACTGTAAGAAAAGTCGGGAACCTTCATTTATACTCCAGAACAATATCCTAAACATCCAATGAATGGAGAGTACGAGAAATTTCCTTCCTTGTTTTAGAAATTTCTTTGATTAGATTCTTTTAAAACTAAGAAAAGAGTAATTCATAAAATATTGAGATATCTTGTTATCGTAAAAAATATATTGTAATCTACAGTCGAGCTTTATGCAATTTCCATTTTAATACAATATGATCTAAGATTTGTGTAGAGGGCCAGTAAATATTTACATACATAAGTATATCTGTGTGTACGCGTACTCGTTCAACCAAAAATGAAATATCTACTATATGTCTTTGTATAACATTAGCTGTTTGGGCATCTTTGTCCCACTCAACTATGTATATAAATGACGAATTTTAAATCAAGTTATTTAAAGAAATGCCCCTTATAATATGACACAGTATCATTGCATAATTAATATTTTAGTTCACTACCAAAGCACTTTAAAAACATTGAAAATTGTAGTTAAATAAAAATCCATACAATATAAATACTCAAGGGTATTTACTACAACACTAATGAATAGAAATAATTGTATTGAACAGGAACCGAACCCGCGACACCGTTTAACGCTACACTAGCCGGTTAACGTAATACGATATTGCGGTAAGTGGTCTAGGCAAACAAGCAATGAAACAAAATAATTCTAAATAGTGGTATATTTTCAAAAATATTGTATTACATGACCTGCGTATTTATTTACAAAATTAAAACAATAAAATGATAATTCTCAGTATTACAAACGCCAATACTTATATACGAAAATTAAATTAATGAAATACATTCAAAGGCGTGTGTGATGCGGTACTTACGTATAATATTTACAAAATAAGCGATAACATTTAAAAATAATTACCAAATGTTATATATCACTATTACAGTAACAAAATATTAATTTTGTATAATCATTTTACATATATATGTAACACATATAATATATCTATATGACATAATGTACTAGCGACCCGCCCCGGCTTCGCACGGGTGCAATATAGAAACAATGTGGTGTACGGTCTAAATAGCTTTCCAAACTCCACATAATTGGGGGAAAGGGATTGTTGGCAATGGAGTTTAACAGCCCCATTGCTAGCAATATGCCCTAATAGGTCGATCTCCATGTGGTTTCCCCTGAAAACCACCGTGAACAATTCTTGTTGAATTCGTCACGATGGGCTAACTGACCTGCTTCATCCTCACCTATCATCCTTCACTGGTGCCCCGCCGATGTATTCCGATAGCGCGGGTGGGGTTACCATTCCATTATCAACCATTAAAGAAAAAAAAACTCCAGATAATTTGTTATTATTTATATTAATATTTGTGCCTACTCGCTTTTCGTTATATATAAGGAATAGGTACTTTGCATGCTCGCAATTTTAGTAGTTAGCTGTGGGCTATGGACTGATTGCGTCCGATCTTTGTCGGTGCTGCCCTCTCGCGCCTATCGCTTCTTCCGTTTCGAACATCGTATGAGTAACCGCGACTGGCCGCTCTCCTACAAATTAATTAACGAATAATATATTTCTGCTGTGTTTCGTGTCATCTTTCTGACCATCAGAACACCGGATCCTGTAGAGAGCTGCTGGAATTGTTCGCAGGTGAGTACCTATTCTATTTTTCAAATTACGAAAAGCGAGGTAAAAACCAGCCGGCGACCCGGCTCAAATATCGAAAGGAACAATTGTGATTATTATTAAGTTGCTTCACCAATTTGTATATTTTTTTTTAATCATTAAAATGCTTATAGAAACCTATCTATGTAATATAGAATGCCATCATTGATTTTTTTTTTGTAGTTCTAATAAAGGGGAACGATTCCATCATACATTTTGTTATATTTCAGCATTTTCGATGAAAGTTGTCAGTCGATTAGATTCCGACATCTTAAACAATTATCGTTATATTAATTAACAAACAAAACAATAAATATAAACCCTCCTCTTGAATCACTATCAATTGATGTAAACCGCATTAAAATCCGTTGCGTAGTTTAAATGATCTAAACGTACAGACGGCAGAAAGCAACTTAGTTTTGTATTATTTAGAGACTGGATTTAAGTGAAGATAGAAGATTATTATTAAAAAAATTAGCAACTTTTTTTGAAGAATTTTTCATTAAGACCTATTTTTATTAATTTTTATCGTACATAAACACAACTCCTGACCGTTGAATAACAATTAAATACACTTAATAACAACTTTTTAAATATCTTTTTAAACCATTACCAACTTGTATTACCAAATAGACGGTAATATGTATCAAAACAATATTTTAAGAACTTATAAGAACTGCGCTCTTGTCGGTGGAGCTGTAATGACAAATGAAATGTGAAATGAAACAAACAATAAAATGTGATTTCTTATCTATATTAATATTATAAAGAGGAAAAATAGGATTTTTTTGTATATTTGTTTGTTTGTAACGGATAAACTTAAAAAATATTTAATCTATTATAAAAAAAAAATCTACGTGTTGTATATTAAAATATAATCATTACGTATAAGCACTAGTATAAAACAAAGACGCTACCCGTCTGTCCGTCCCTATGTAAGCTTAGATCTTTAAAACTACGCAACGGATTTTGATGCGGTTTTTTTTTTATAGATAGAGTGATCCAAGAGGAATGTTTATATGTATAATACACGCATAATAGAGAAACACTGATAATTTTAGAGGTTTCTAATGTGATGTGATGTAATGTGCACCCGTGCGAAGCCGGGGCGGGTCGCTAGTGTTGTATATTATACTATTGTACATTGTCCACAATATAGGCTACATATAATTTTTCTATCAACCCGTGTGAAGTTGGAGCGAGTCGTTAGTATACAATACAATTTAATAGGGGGGAAAGGGATTGTTAGCAATAGAGTTTGACAGCCCCATTGCTAGCAATATACCCTGTTAGGTCGACCTCCACGTGGTTCCCCCTGGAAACCATCGTAAACAATTCTTGTTGAATTCGTCACGATGGGCTAACTGACCTGCTTCATCCTCACCTATCATCCTTCACTGGTGCCCCGCCGGTGTATACCAATAGCGCGGGTGGGGTTACCATTACATTATCACCCACTAAAAAAAAAAAAAATACAATTTAATATACATTATTTGTGTTACATAATATATTGAGGGATAAAATTAAAATACAAATAACTTCTGTACGATCTACATATGTATGCGATCGTCAGTACACAATAAGCGTTCTAATATAAAGCCATTCGTCATACCATTTTAGTCATACATTCGTCATACATTGCACAAATAAAAATATGAACTAAACTGGTATGACTAATACAGTATCTCATGTTGTGAATTGAAAAGACGCAACTGTGATGTGCATATTTGTGACGGAGCGAAAGGGACGCAAGTATAAAAAAATATTTAGCGCATCTCTTTCTTTTTACCATATAATAACAAAAACGGCTCACAGTACGTATCTAGTATTTATCAGTGGTCAAACGGAATGAGTGTAATATATTGTAAATTTGCGTGTTTCAGTTAATTATTATAGAAATATTTTTATAATGAAATAGGCATTTAACGTTTTAATATTTAAATTATTACTGAAAAATAATGTTCGTTATTAATTTTGACATAAAACATTGCCTGTAGGCCTGCAGTATAAACACTCTTCGAGTTATTACATATATATTAATTGAGTGAACTAAGCCGGTCAGACACATATTGCACTCACTTCGATTCACACTGTATTTCACAAAATTTGTCCTAACCTAACTTAGTATCGATTTTTTTTTATATAAAAAGATTGTAACATTCCTACATTAATCTTTATATCGTTACAAAAAGCTAAAAAAACATACGGAATCAGTCACGCTTAGGACTTGCATATTATTGTGTTAACATAATAAATATAAGAAAAGTGTATGTAATTTCATTGGAGTGTATGGTTTATTGAAGGACCAGATATCCCCCCAACCCATAGAAAAATGACAAACGAATACATCGATAGACACATTTTCGCTACCGCGCGCATGAAACAGAGCGAGACAGCGACGATCAGTGCAATGCGAAGGGGAAAGAGATTGTTAGTAATGGGAATCTAACGGCTCCATAGCTAGGTATACACCTTACCAGGACGTACTTCACGCGGTTCACCCTAGAAACTATCATAGTTAATTCCTAATGAATTCGTCACGATGGGCTAATTAACTTGCTTTCACCTACACCTATAACCGCTCATTGGTGCCCTGATAGCGTATACCGATATCGGGCAGGGTGTTCTTTATGCATCATAATGGAATGGTAACCCTACCTGCGCTATTGGCGGAGCACAAATAATGGATGATAGGTAAGGGTGAAAGCAGATCATCTATCATCATGGATTCAGCAAAAGCAGAAAAAAGCAAGGTATTAACCACGATGGTTTCCAGGAGGAATCGCGTGGAGGTCGATCTGATAAGGGTATATTGCTAGCAATAGAGTCGTCAGATCCCCATTACTAACAATCTCCTTTTCCCTCTGCAATACTTGAAGGAATCCAAGTTCCAACATACTTGGCAGGTAACAGAGATCTCGGAAGGGGATTCCATAACTCGATTGTCCGACTCATTTATCTGTGAATACATTTAAACAATACAATACATTGTACTGTTAAAAATAAAAAATTAACTGAAATTATTTAAAGCTATGACTTATAAGCCTATCATGATTTTTTCAGCCATTATTCGTCCACTGCTGGACACGAGCCTCGCCCATAAGCCTATATATAGGTGAACAATATGCAAGTCCTCCTTACACGAACATTATTATTTGGGACCTTTGACGGTGTTTGTAAAACCCGTAAAATGTGTTGTCCCATTGTACTGTGCTGTTCAAATACTTTATGCTTTATAAGAGACCGGTCTCTTATAAATTTCAGTATTTACGCGATTAATTTAGGTAAATTGTGATAATTTACATGAATTATGTCGACGTTTCGACCAAGTTACACCGGCCGCTGTAATCTAACCGTCGTAAAAAATAATGGTCTAATCTAATCGGGTAAATTCCCATCTCTTATAAAACATAAAACTTTTGCGGTGTAAAAATCAAAAATTTAATATTAATTTTCAAATATTATTAACAAAATATTGTATAAATATACAGCAGTAATGTTACAGGATGCTGTGTTAGCAAGTGGAAAATTAGATACATCTCCATGGAATTGTATACGTTGTTTCTACAATACATCATTAGGAGAAAATAGTTCGCATTGACAAACAAATAAAACTTAATTCATTTATATATTTTATGGTTGTCCATTAAAAAAAAAATATCGAAAAGACAAAATGAGCAGCACAGTCGAGAAATCCATATGCATCCCAATCAGCAACGTTAACACATTGTATATTTTGTTTAGCTCATACAAAATCTAATTACATAGCTTAATTAATAAATATACCTACTTAGACAGTCGTACATCGACAAGACAATACTGGTCTTGTACTGTTCATACAAAAAACATATTAACCAATATAGTAAATACATCAAAAAAGCGCTTTCAAGCGCCGTGCTCGCTGTAGAAACAAAACTACTGAATGCGTTACGACTTACGGAGTATTTACAGACTATGCACGCACCTTTATAAAAAAAAAAAAAACTTGTGCTAACATTGGGGTAAGTATATTTTTAAATATTTTTTTGGCCTTACTGTTTTGATTCTTTTGAGAACCAACCTAAACACCGATTCGTAAATCTTAATTTTACAATTATATTAACTTAAATCGGTTACAAATGCACTATATGGCCATCGCTTGTTTATTATTATCAAAATAAATAATTTAAAAAATTACATTTACTCCATGATATTTTAATGTCTACTCCTCTTTGGACATGATCTCTTTTGGTATTTACAAATCGATCGACTTAACTCGACACGTCTCACTCTAGCTCCCTCACTCTGTACATACAACGGTTTATTATAAATTATCGTGGTAAACACAGGTTGAAATAGAAATCGCGAGAAACATTTTAAGTACAGGTTCTACCAATAAAATTGAAAAACATGAAACATGTGAAAGATGGTAAAAAAAAAAAAAAATTAATCCCCCATAATAACGCGTACACTCGTCAAATATGGGAAGCTATAAACTTTAGTGTTTCAAATTAAGCATTTTTCAATTATCTTGACAGAACACGGTCTTAAAAGGCTAACTACTATTTCTATTTCACTCTACAATAGTTGCAAAGTGCCAAGTTGAGTGGATCAGATAGTATCTATACCAAAAAAAAAAAAAAAAAAAACTACTATATAATATACTATGACAGATCTACCGCTATGCTATTATTAATTTGTATAAGTTTTTCGAATTTAATGTTGACCTTTTCAAAGTGGCGATTCGGAAAACTTATATAAGTTTGGAAGCGTTGTCGCTGGTTGCATGTATTCTTGCATCGTGCGATCGTGCGAAGTTGCTAAACTTGACGAGTCATTGCTCGATTGGCGTTGAGCGCTGCTAGCTCAGTTTGACAACGGTTGATTACCCTCCGGAGATACTAAAATCGTATCTCGGCTTAAAAGGACAGATTTTTTTAAATTGCCACTTGCTTCGTGAATCGGAAGGCAAATATATCCTCTAGTAAGTGTTTTCAAACTTTCCACGCTAGAGGGCGCCTTATTTAGACGAATAATCGTATTGCTTGAAATTAGGCACTTGTAGTTTTATTATGCATTTAGTATTACTAAAATAATTTAGTAATTATCATCTCTAGAATGTTCCAAAGTATAACTAAGGGAATAAAGTACCATATAAATTCCATTTATTAATGTTTCACAAATACAAGACATGCTCTAAATGTAAAAACAGTTTGCCGCAATTCACTACTGTATTAAAATGTTTCACTATATCTTATGTTACGTTGGTGATTCTTTAAATAAATAAATGCAAGAGACAACATTATTTTTTTAATTGTAAGTGACTACCGCCGCCCATGATCACCCACAACACCAGCGGCATTGCAGGTGTGCTAAGACCTTTAAAAAAGGAATATGCTCTTTTCTTGAAGGTTATGACGTAGTATCGTTATGGAAATACTGCTGCTGGAAGTTGATTCCAAAGAGAGAATTTCTATGATGTTGCCACTTTATAAAGCTTATATCATTAATTATAATAAGAAATTTTATCGCACGATGTAAGAACATATTTAAAGTCGAAGCATAAACATGTTGAAGCGAAGCGGATTCCATATACCTATCTACTATGCTACGGTTATAAAAAAAACTTATACTCGGATATTCACTCATTTGTACATAGACGTCGAATACATTGTTCAATTGATTAATGAAATTTAATGAAACTTCATTAATAAATCAAATAATAATATTAACGATGTTTAAAATAATAGTGAACGGGTAAAAAGCACTTATAAAAGAGTTTTTTTTCAGTCACCTGTCTCTTTTATTTCACTACAGTAGAAAGAAGACGAAGCATCTAATAAGAAATATCTATATACCTAAAAATTTGTGAGATTGGAATAAAGATCTGAAGGTCTACCATGAAATGTTTTCCGAAATTTCGGGTCCGAACGAAACACAAATTTGATGTTAAAATTACATAATACATGCCATTTGGAAATATTAAAAATGTTAAAATATTGTTCCTTTGGACTTTTATGATAGGATGTATGTCGAACGAAATGTTAAACTACATTTATTGGTCCGATTTTGGTATAAACAAAAACACGAAATTGAGTCCGAAATTTCGGAATTTCATTTCATGGTAGACCCGCAGGTCATTATTGAGTGTGGTACTATTAATGACGTAACATTCTCAATACTGAATAAAAAAAAGAACTCAGCCTCTAAACCTATTTCTAAAATCCCCACCTATTTTAGGAGAAATTTTAGAGAATCACAGTTCAGTTTTTATTCCATCACGCTTATAATTTGAATTTGTCTAATTCTATCTAATCTAAAGTTATCTCTAAAATTTGACTTTTTGAAATAAGTTTAGAGAATGACTCCATTGTTATATACAATTTATACGATTTAAATTTCAAAAAAATTTTTTTTAGATAACAGACCCTCTCTCGATCGATACAAAAACAATATGGAATTTTCTCAGATCCAAAATGAATTTAGGAAGAATGCTTGAATTTCTAGAGCAATAGAACTCTATAGATATTTAATCCTAATAATTTTATGTTTATAATTAATTATTCTTATAATGGCATCATTATTTCAAATTTGATCCATTGTAATATTTATTTTTTGCTATAATTTCATTAATAATATTATATTTTGTAAACATTCTAGTACCAAACTCAATTAATTAAATTAACTAGCAAAAGAAAAGTATATAAAATCACGTACAAAAACTAGACTTAATATTAATTTAGTGTGATATATTCGATAATATTAGCTTCACTCGGCGTGTCGTTAACACGCACACACTGACAACTAAACCGTCATTATACAAAGACAATATCGGAATTGTAATATTATAGGTATATTAAAAACAAATTATATTATAATAAAGTATATGCGTGTTTTATTTTGCAGATTACATCTCAATGGAGACGATTCTGAGATGTCATTCTCTAAATATATCTTTAAAATTTTTTTTGTACAACTTAGAATGGCAAACAAGCTGACGGCCCACCTGATGGAAAGTGGTAACCGCCTATAGACATGAGCAGTACCATCGACGTAACAGAGTATACTGTTTCGCCCATGATACCCCCCATGCGTTGCCATTCCGAGGACTCAGGTGTTATTCCTCTGTACCCAGTAAATTCACGCCATATCCCACCCATTAAACCGAAACACAGCCGTGCAAACACAACTGCTTCACGGTAGAAACACGAATGGGAAAAATTAATAATTCTAATTAGATTTTCCCGAAAGTGCTATTTAATGGACTGTTACCAAGTTTATAATAATTTCGACTTAAATCCATTAGAAATTTAGTGCATTTTTACCATTAGAATTACAATTTCACTGTGATATAAAACGTGAAATTTTATTTTTAGACATAAATTTAGAGAATGACGCTTCAGAATCGACCCCAAAGTTTATTATCATGCCCAATGTTTAATGTCGCATTTTAGCATTACTATAATAAAATTCATATTATTTCTCTTACGGTATCATATAAATTAACATATTGGTTATCATAACAGCAGTGCTAAATTCAAGAATCACTTTTATGAATTTAGGGACTTTTGTCTCAATGACGCATGACTCAATAAATGACGCATCATTGTCATAGTCATTCACTCAACACAACACTTTCTTTTTATCTTAATTTCAAACGTTTAACAATAGTTTAGTATTACAAAATACTAATTACTAATTTTGCATATTATATATTAACGAGCTATCGTTGTGTGAGCTACACATTCTTTTAATATTTTCCGTTAGTGACACAAAATATAGTTATCAGTGTGTGTGTGTTAACTTATTTGAGCATTATAGGTCCGTACAAACATTGTACCTTTCAAAATGTCGACTCAATAATTGTTTTTTTGTCATTCGGAAAAAATTGTTACAATTTATTTCATTATTTTTCCGCATTAAAAAAATAAACACTTCTTTTCTAACAATATACAAATATTGTTTTTAAAATCGAATTATTTAAGAATGTATATAGTAGACTTTAGTAGAAATATTACTAATTATTCATTGAATCCGAATGGCATAAAAACCAATTTAAATATTAGTATATACACCATTTATGGGTGTACAAAATATAGGCCGGAAACAAATTTCCCATGTCACCACTCGGCATCGACAGGCGATTACGTAGAATAATCAGATAATTTTTGTTAATCGAATATTTAATTTTAATAAGATAAATGACGGTATGAAAATACTTCATTTATTATTGATTTAGTATATTCCTCGACTAAAATTAATACTAAACCAAAAAGAACTCTCTGGGTACATATCGGGCAGTTAGGTTTTAAATAAATAACAGAAAAAATGGGAGGTAAATTAATGGTAAAATCGGATCTCTTTGTCTCTTGATACACAGAGAGTCTGATGAGAACCGAGATTGCTCTCTAAGGATACATTTACATTAGGCCAGTTATAGGCGTCAGTTAGATAAAGCTGATAACTGGCATTGTTTACACAGAGTTAGCGGAAATGTCTAGGCATATAAACGATTGCTATTTTCATTTCGTGATGTGTGAAATTATTTTCCATTTACACAATAACTCAGAAAAATCTAATATCAGACGTGTTGTTAAAAATGAATGTATGTATGAATTATGATTTTTCTGAATAGTGTACTATTTTACGAAATGAAATAGGGGAATGTTTTGGTACATTTGTATAAAGTTGTATACATTTGTATAATCTGCTTAGAAATTTATTGAGCAACAATCTAATATTAGTAATAGCACTAAACGCATCTCGAGCTGAGCCACTAACTGACGTAATGTAAACCAGCACCAAATCATATTCTAGAACATATAACAAAATATTTGTACAGAGTCTAAATAGTTCTATGGATAATATGGACCCGCGTTAAAAAGTATACGAGGTCTATCCGGAAAGTTCGTATAAAAGTGTTCTGGAATGCGAGAAAGAGGAGTGGGGAG